TGAGAAGATCCACGCGCACCCTATCGTCATCCCCCCGAACGTGTTGGCACGTATGAAGGAGGACTGCGACTTGCACATACGTTGCTGCAAGGAAGCGGGCATCAGCCTCACCCCGAAACACCACTTGTTCCTTCACCTGTGCGACAGGACCGATGGAAATTAAATGCAAACCTTCAACACGCTTCGGGGGTATCCACAATCCTAGGGGGTTTGCTGCAACATGATGGCTACGTCCCGTCCCCTCTTTCCGCATCCTCTGACTCATCTTGCTCCTCCTCCTCCCCCCTAGCACCCACCTCCCATTCCTCCCCGTTCCCTTCTCCCCATCCTCTTCGCCATCCTCTTCAATGCCCACCCAGCCACCCACCCACCCACCCGCCCCGATCCTCGAGGCTCCCGTTTCCGTGCGCGCGGGGCTCATGGCCTCCAATGTTGAAGGTCTTCCGCAGAGATCGGTAACCGAACAGCCCCCCTCTACGGAGGCCCCGACGGCGCGTGTTCAGGAGGTAGGGCGGCAAGAGGGGAGTGACAGGGCAGGACAAGGGAGACGACGACGCAAGGCCAAGAGCGGACTCAGAGCGGACCAAAAGGATGGCGACTACGAGCTTGGATGATACGCTGACCCACTGTGATGTGTATTTTTTTTCGACGGCACCCGCCCTAGAGGATCTGGTGGCACGGGAGCCCGAAACTCTACGCCAATTGGGTCGATGAGGGACTCAACGTGACGCTGCGGGATTGCGCGAAGTTCGCGCACAGACTTACATTTGAATACCGAATATTCTCATTGTTAGCCTTGCGCCGAATCATCGGCAGTGTGAACTGGTGCCAACTTGTCTCGCAACGCGCTGTGTAAAATGACGACCGATAGTGGCCGACGGTCCGTTGAAGGGAGCTCGCACGTGCGGTCGCGCCCCCCTCCCTACCCCACTCCCCGCCGCCCGCGCCCCCGATCCACCAATTTGGGTGCGTGCAGCGGGGGGCATGGGACCAGGAAGGTAAGGAGCGGGGCTGCGATCGACCGCAACGATTTCCCTTCAACGGATGCCCCGTGGAGCAGCGATCGGTGTGAGCGGTGCGCCGAAATGGGAGGAGCTCGCGCCCTTAGTGGGGTTGTGATGCCAGCGGGTGGCCAGCCTGCATGCTCGCGCACATCGTGTCTTAGATATTCACACCGCCCCTCAGCAACGACGTGCACTGAACGAACAGTCGGGGGGTGGAGGACAGGATGGAGGGGTGAGCATGGGGGGATTGCACTGCACGGGCTTGAATGACATCGGCGCCTGCCGCGATGTAGCATGCAATGGCTAATGTGGAATGAGGGGCTTGCGTTGCACGCGTGAAATCGGCGCCTGGGGCGAACTTTCTGGCATCGCGTTCGGGTTCCCGACGCTACATTGACCGCGCCTCGGCGCCGCTGCCCACCCCATAAATCCAGCACCAGAGCAAAACCTGAAAGCTCGCATGTGGCTTCTTGTCAGCAGACGGCGTTTTCGGAAACCTTCAAATAGTTGTGACCATGCGTTCGGGCTCAAGAGTACGATTTGCGCCCCGAGATTGTCAGACTAGCTGGGGGGGGGGGGGGGGGGGGGGGGGGGGGGTCACGGTAGCTCTGTTGTTTCTGGCCATCGCCATGCATTGGGATTCTGACAGGGGGGAATTATGCCAACACAGCTGGGAGATGCATGGCGTAATCAGGACCCCGCCCAGGATGATTCAAGAATTTGAAGAACGTTTCCGAGGCCATCATTTCCCGCGGGATGGTAATGCACTGGTAGCACCCGAGACGTCGCCGATTGATGTCGGCACAATGAGCATCGCGCTTGGGGATCCCCGCGCCGTGACTGAGAGCACCGAGCCTGCCCGCGCTGTGACTGAGAGCACCGAGCTTCCCCGCGCTGAGACTGAGAGCACCGATCCAGCCCGCTGCGAGACTGAGGGCACCGAGCTTCCCCGTGCTGAGCCTGAGAGCAGCGAGCCTGATTCGCTGATGAGGTTTGCCGAGGGCCAGGACATCTCGGGCATGCGTTTCGTGCGGTCGAAGATCGCAACAGGGCGCGACTAGGGGGGGGGGGGGCTTATACGTGGAGTCAGGTGGAGACGGCGGAATAAAACGAGAGAGAGAGAGAGGGGGGGGAGAGGGGGAGAGCGATAGAGAGGGCAAGAGATAGAGAGAGAGAGAGAGAGAGAGAGAGATCGAGAGAATGAGAGTGAGAGAGAGGGGGGGGGGGGGGGGGGGCAGGGAGAGCGGAGGGAGAGAGAGAGAGAGGGGCATGTTGAGAGATAGAGAGAGGGAGAGCGGGAGTGTGAGAGAGAGGGGAGGGAGGCGGGGGAGAGTGGGCAGCGCGCAAGGGAGAGACCACGAGACGGAGCGGTAGAGATATACAGACGGGGAGGGAAGAGAGAGATCGAGAGAGCGAGCATGCGAGAGCAGGAGGTCAGAGAGAGAGAGAGAGAGGGAGCACGAGAGAGAGGAAGGGAGAAATATAGAGAGAGCGAGAGAGAGAGAGAGATAGAGAGAGAGAGAGGGAGAGAGAGCGAGGGAGATGAAAGACGAGCGGGGTGAGCGGAGCCAGAGAGACGCGTAAGAGAGAGAGAGAGAGAGAGAGAGAGAGAGAGAGATAGAGAGAGAGGGAGATATAGAGAGCGGGAGAGAGAGAACGAGATGGATGGAGAGGAGCGAGCGAACGGGAGAGAGAGAGAGAGAGAGAGAGAGCGAGAGAGAGAACGAGAGAAAGATAGAGAGAGAGAGAGGGTGAGAGATACCAGGGGTCGACAGAAAAAAAAACCATACGCAACGAGCGTTTCGAGAAACTAACAAATAACAAGAGGCAAACAACAACATAAAAAAGTGGGGGAGGGGGCATCGGCGGAAACCGACTTCTGCCGACGACGACGCCTCGACGACGACGATGCCCTGACAACGCCGTGAATAACACCCCCACGACCTCGACGATCGACGGCGCCTCGACGACGACAGCGCGACGACGCCGACGAGTCGACGACGACGATCTTAATTCACGCGTGGTTCCAACGCATGGTGTATACAACGATCGTTGTGTATGCGCTATTGCGAATAAGCATGTGTGCGCGCAGTTTTCTAATCCTGGAGATACAAGTGCGTCGTTTAGGTTATAGTGTGAAGTGTGCGAGCTCGTGGTTTCGAACTTGAGCAACTTTTCTTCGAAGGGCCCCGCGTGCCTGTGCGGAAGCTGTACTCGCAGCTGAAATGATGTGTGCTCGCATGCATTGTTCTGAAAACAACGGTGTTCATACACATGCACGTTCCCAGTGTAAGATCTAACAGGCCCCTGCGGGGCAAGGTTACGCATCTCCGATCGGGTCTCGAGGTAAAGTCTCCGAACCAAGAAGGGGTAATAATGCGGGGTCGCCGAACCCCCTCCCCCTTCTTCTCTTCCTCCTCCTGCGCCTCCTCCTGCTCGCCCTCCTGCTACTCGGCACCTCTTCCTACTTGCCCTCATTGTCCTCCTCCCTCTCCCCTCCCCCCCTCTTCCTCCTCACCTTCCACCTCCTCCCTCCTCTCCCACCCGAACAAATCCCTCGCTCCCTCCATTGGGGGAGCCGTTAACACCTGCGACGACCTCCCACCTGAGTGCAGCAACTGCCTGACGTGCTGGCCAAACTGCGACACGATCGGCACCGCGTTCTGTGGTTTCAAGTGCCACAGGTGCACCGCATCTGAGTGACGGTGCCAGGGAACGCTGGCCCTGAGGGGGGATGGGTTCCACATATAGCCCCGTCGGGACTTGTGAGGGCGGGGGTGCCCTCCAGGTGGGTAGGAGGGGGTCCTGCCGCTAGCACCGATGGCGCCGCATGATGCGAAAACCCGCACGCCCCCCGCCCCCTCCCCCAGAAACGGGCCAATTGGCCCTGCGACGCCATTCACGATCGAGGACGTCACCCCTCAGGGCCAGCGTCTCGTAGTATAGTGTTTCTCGTTTGCCGAACGCATGGTTCGACGGCGTGCGCGTGCCCGAGTGCGGCAAGCAATGCACGCGTACGGCGTGAGGGGTGCGTCAAAATGAGCGGGCATTCCAACCGACAACTAGCACCGCCTTCGAAAACGCGAGCTCGCAGGTTTGAAATCGAGCCGCCCTCCAACGACATAACGAAAACTGGGCAGGGGTGGGGGTAACAATTGGAGCAGCACCAAGAGGCGGGGGCCAAGGAAAGGACGTCGAGGAGGGAGCGGCGTCGACTACGGAAACTATTGCTTGGGAGGGGGGTGGGAGAAGACAGAAGGAGATGCTGAGGAGTACGATTTTATTTGAATAGCGAACGCGCAAATGTCGCGAACCGCGCGCCTGGCAAAATGCCATCGGCGGATTGCGCGCGCCAGTGCGCGCGTGATGCCATGAAAATACACGCGTTGCGTTGCAACCGTGATGTTGCCAAGGCGTTCACCAGAGCGCATGCGCACGAACGCATGCGATCTCGAATGTTCGATTGCACGTATCGCACCGAATACGTGGCACGCCGTTGCAATCATGCGCATCCTGTGAGATGATATGCTGCACGATCTGATCATATCGTACGTCGGCGTCAGGGTGCGTTACGGGTGGAACGCTTCAACGCTACAGCTGGCGCATTTGAGCGCTCGGTTTGGGCGCAATCGCCTGGCGCACCCTTGCAAACCACAAGCAAGCGTGCGAACGCTTACACGCACCAGCGCAGATCGCGCTTCGTGAGCGCGCGCTCGAAGCCGATACTGTTTTAAAGGAGCGCAAGCGCAACCATGTTCGCGAGCGCATAAGATGTGGATTCCCATCAGAATCCACATGTTTGTGGTGTACAACTATATGTATAGTTGTACCACTACATGTATAGTTGTACAACTATATATATAGTTGTACAACTATATATATAGTTGTTCAACAGCCACAACTATATTATAGTTGTACGCAACCTCAGGGTATGCCCTTCTGTCCCTGTCCGACTGTATGCGCTTCGCCCCCGGCGCGTGCCCCCCTCCACAGGAGGCGCACGAGGAGGAGCTTGCGCGGTGCGCGTCGCAGCTGCAGGAAACGAAGGCGGGCCCCAGCGGGCTACCGCCTGAGAGACGGACCATCGGGGCAGCACGTCGAGCGGCGAGAACACAGACATGCTCGCGTCGCGCAAACAAAGTATGACGGGAGGTTTTTGGCTGTTTTGGGCCTCCGGGGCCCTCGCTGAGCTTCTGGACCGTCAATCAAGCAGTGACTCGTGATGAATAGCCAGTTCCCGGGAAGAGGTCCAGTCCTCTGGGGGTCCGCGTTGTGAAGAACCTAGACGTCGCATGTCCGGGAAGTGCGCGTAGTACATCGATCTTGGCCAGCCTTTGGCCTCAGGCTCGGTGCAGGTGGATCCCTGGCCAAGACTGGAGCGCGCGTGCACCGACACTGGACCCAGGGTGGGCCTTGGCCATCATCGACGTGTGTGTGCGTGTGTGTGTGCGTGTGTGTATGTGTGTGTGTGTGTGTGTCTGCGTGTGCGTGTGTGTGTGTGTGTGTGTGCGTGTGTCTGTGTGTATGCGTGTGTCTGTGTGTTGCGTGGTTCAGTTCAGTACCCGCCACACTTTGACATCGAGTCGCCGCGCGCGCACGGTCGCCAGGGCAGAACGTGTGGTGCACAGGGGCGGTTAGTCATTCTTTCATCCGTGGTTGCCAGGGGCCCGCCCAGGAATAGGGGCTTTGCGGGAGATGCCATGGGGCGAGTGCCCGGCGAGGCCGGGCCTCCACAGGAGAAAGGTCGAAGCCATTTCTTCTGCGGGCAGCAGGCCGGGTTCCTCACCGAGGCTGCCCCGTGCTTTCCTCGGCATCTCGCGCGAGCGTGCCGCCTCCCCGTCATCCTGCCACCACCCCTGCGCTCTCTGCCCCATCGCCTCCCAGCAGTTCGCCACCTGTACCCATGGGACATCCCGCGCTGCCTCGGATATCGTATGAGGCCCAGAGATTGACACCAACACCGAGATCGACGGTGTGCCTCCACCGAGGGAAGGTGCTCCCGATCTCGGTGATGGTGGTAATAGTCGGGCTCCTTAGCGGCCGAAAGCTCAGCACCAGCACCAACATCTAGGATCATCTTCCCCTGTTAGAGACAGCCCCCTGTGCTGGTGCTGGTGCCCATGTCTAGGCCTCCTCTAACACTGGCTTTCTCGCGCGGTTGTCCTCAGGCAGGCAATGCGCATGCTCGGCGCATGGGTGGAGGAGCCCCAGTGTCGTTTCGTTCGTCACGACGGCCCCGGTCTACGGTCAGGAACTTTGGCTTAGCTTGTCACGTCGCCAGTTCTGGCCCACCGCTTTTCCCCATGTTCCCTTGGCGTGCCACGCTATCCACTTCCCAATTCCAAGCGTCAAGGTCCCGAGCCTTTCGACGCCTCCCGTCCCGCGGAGCAGAGCGACACGCTATCCGCTCGCAGGGCATAGCGTACGTGTCGCCAGGGGCTCCGCTCGGACACGGTAAGCACACGTTCCCGACCGCAAGCCTCGGATACCAATGCGGGAAGTTGGTTGTCAGAAGACGATTCAGAGCAGTTCGCGACGTCCGTCTTGGCCGAGTGACGAAGCTGTCTCAAGCAGTAACGAAGCGTCCCGCCATATCCGAATGCCTACCAAATAATGCTCTTTGACCTTTTCGTGGTTTTGCAGGGCAGCGCGCGCGACGTGATGGAGGGCCTCGCCAGTTGGCGGGGCAGGCCAGTGATATTCGATGCAGCATGCTGCTGCACTGCGGCGCCAACAATATGTGTTTCCGGCGAGGTGTAAGGCGCGCTTGCGAGCAATTGAGTGTTGGAGCTGATATCGCGCAGAATGGCGCAGGCCCCAATGCCCCTGCGTCGCCGCGAACCAGCCCAACGCTGTGCGCCGAGACTGACGCGCAACTGTGAAGAAAATCAGGCGCCGGCCTTTTGACTGCAATCCTTCCTGAGCGTACACTACGATCGTCGGACGCCCGTCGATGTTCGATCCCTCGTCGCGTACCCTCGCGGTGGCGCGTTTCTGGTTGTCGCAGCCGCTAGCGTTCTCGATCGTCCTTCGCCCCTGGCGAACGCCCCCATATAGGCCCCAGCATGTTGTCGACTGTTGGTCCTCTGACGGCTTCTTCGAGGCTCACGGGGGCAATGGTCGGCCTTGGCTTGCTAATGCGTTGTGTGCTGGGGTCTGCTCAAGGTTGGCTGATGCCCAGCTGGGTTTCGAGGGCTCCACTGAGGCATCCGGGAGGTAATTGCCAACAAAGCAGAAAAAAGGAAATCGCCAGATTGGTGAGATTCGCTTGTTCCGAAAGCCAATGCGTTGCGCACCGTGGCCCTCGCGACATGTCCTCAGGGCGTTCGCGGGGGCCTGTGGAAACACGGAGTTGCCTGGACCTACACTGAAGCCCTCTTTGCTCGCCATGAGGCCCTGTTGAGGCATTAGTGCGAAAATCCGAAGCTTGTCAAATCACATCTGGCCCATCAAGGAACGATCCCCATGAGAATTGCCACGGCCAGGGAAGCGCATCAGCATGCCCCCCAGGAGTGAACTTCACATGTCTCCGTGGATGTGCCAAAGGAGGAGGGGGACGGAGGAGGAAGCCGAGGCGGACGGAGGTGGAGGAGGAGCAGCATGCGGAGGAGGAGGAGGAGGAGGAGAGCGAGCAAAAGGAAGAATAATTTAACGGAACGCTGACCCAGTCAATTGGCGAACTCTGAGCGGGAGGAGGAGGAGAAGGATGAGGAGGAGGAGGAGGAGGAAGAGTAATCGGAAGAAGGGCGAGGGGGAAGCGGTGAAGGAGGAGGAGTAGGAAGTGAGATGAGGAGGAAAAGGAAGAGGGGGAGGAGGAGGAGGAGGAGGAGGAGGAGGAGGAGGAGGAGGAGGAGGAATGGAATGCCCTCGAAAGGGGGAGTGCACAGCACTAAGGTCTGATCAAATCAGAGTGACTAGCCAGCTTGTCTGGCTTCCTTCGTACGTATTCGGTCCAACAGGGCCGCCATTCTTTGCTCGTAAGTGGGTGCTTCCCTGGAGGCCGAGAAAACAACTGGCACCACCGTAAAGTCAGGCATGCTCACCGAGGGGGCCGACTCGACCGAGGAGGCGAGCGAGGGGAGGCCAAAGCTACGTCCCAAGAGCACCCGTACTCGACGGTTCGGCGGCTTACCCTGGAAATAACGCCCTAAAACCTCCTGACCTTTCTTAGTGGGCTTCTCATCTGGCCTTATGCAGGGTTTCGCCAGCTTGACGGCACGGCCCTGGGACCAGGCTCCACAACGCATACAAATCCAGCAACGCTTCTCAGGGGCATTCACTTTCACAAACGCCGAGGAGGCCAGTTGATCGCACCGCATCCCAGCCGTGACGACGATGTGTCCCATGGGGTCCCTGAGAAGCCTTCTTATGCCGACTGGGACGCCTATGCATCCGTTCAGCTCCAACTGCGACTGGTCATCTCCTCCCAGCTTAAGGCATCTCCTGCATTGGTGGCCGAGGGTGGGATGATTGTGCCAGTCGTGATACTGCTGCCTCACCGAGGATGTGTTCCTGCGGCGCGGGGCGGCACGCGTCCACCTCGGCGACGCTTCGAACAGAGGAAGCACAAGAGAGGCGAGCTTGATGAAGTGATTCACGCGCTCCTCAGCGAGCGACACAGCCTGAAGGAAAAAATGATCAGCAGAAGGATGAACTGACAACGCCATCTTCGCATGGTGATCCACGACGGCACCAGCAACTGCATGTTCACGCTCCGTCATTTCCAAAGCTTCGATCTCCTGACTGGATCGGTGTGCTTTAACATTGCGGATTCGTTCGATGAAACTCGTACCTTCCAGTGACTGAGCAAACAACCTGATGCCTGCAAACTTCGAAGATGCTTGCAACTGCTTTTCGACGCTGCTCTGCACAATCAGTATTGCTGACGTGCAGTCGGCAGCAAGGACAGTTCGCCTGTTCGCCACCTGACCGCACAGTGCGATGGCAACGTGCTCCGCCATCGCTGGCGTCTGGGGGAAGGTACCGTGGACCACGCCACGCATTACAGCAACGGGCTCGGGCTGATCCCCGCTTGCAGGCATCACTGCAATGGCCCACGACGCTCGCTGGAGCGCGCGGATGGGAGGCTTCGAGCATGAGCCGTCCGAGGCAAGTCTTAAAGTCTCCTCCCTCGACAACTCAGAAATCCTTTCAGGTTCCAAAGACAGCGGGCTTCCAGAAACGTCAAAAATCTCGACCTCCGACGAAACAGAAGGTTTTGGCAGCTCGCTGTCAGGATAAACAAAAATGCCCCTGGTGAAAATCTCCAGGTCGGGCTCTGCACGAGCCGCTTCCATGAACTCCCTTGGGACTTCAGCCTCTTCTCTAGCTCGGGCCACGTCCTCACGGGTGCACTCATAGAGTCTGTGATGGAGTGTGTCGACCTGACCGCAAGAACAACGACCGTCCGTGGCGTAACCCGCACGACAACCTCTCTCGTTGGTCCACACTCCATTGCATGCACAGCTCCGAATCAAAAACTTGGCTTTCTTGCTTAACCCCCGAGCCTTCGGCCCCACACGAGATCTAATCAGATCCAGGGTGGCCCTTTGCCCTGGGGGATGACCTAAACTACTGGCTAATTTCATCTCATGTTCTCGCTGAATTCCCATCGCAAGCTGCTCGGCTAGGAGGGCGGGCGGGGTCTGATCCACTAGGACCTGCAGTCCATTGTGATCGTACCACTCAAGTGGGCCCCTGGCCTCCCAACCCGCCCTTGAGAGCACTAGCACCGCACGAGCCAAAGGCCCCCTCGAGGCACACCACGGACCAGCCTCCAGAGGTCTCGCCGCATCCCAAAGACGCAACAGCTCTCCACGACTGGCTAGTGCTCTCAGGGGCTGTGTCGTCGCAAACCAGATCATTCTACACCACTGCAAGGCTGGGGCAACTGCGATTTTGAAGCTGTGGTCCCCTAACAGGACTAGCTTTGCCGACAGAGACACCCCTCCGTGGGCAGGCGAAAAAGCGCAGCTCTGCAGTCTCTGGTGGGACTTCCATTCGCTGAGGCTCAAACCAGTAACCTCGGCTCCAAAACTGCTGGCTGGTGAAACCTCAGCTCCGAAGACTTTGGCGAACGGGGCCTCCTTCTCACCTCCTCGAAAAACTCGTCTAAAACGCTTGACTTTCCTAAGCCTCAGACGTGCAGCTGCAAATCTACTCTTTTGTTTTGGTCTTGCTCCACGGGCGGATCTCTTTAGACCTGGCATTGAAAACCACGTTGCGTGTTGACTGATTTGGGGCTCTTTGGGGCGCCCTTGGGAGGCTGCATTCCCATGTGGACCCGTCTCATGGCGGTCTTGAAGTTGAAGTTGAAGTTTGAGGTAGGATTGGGGACAACTCTGAGCTGTAAGAGGCCGTGTTGGAACAATGTTTGGCTCAAGGACCCGCAGGCACCTCGAGAAACTCCGGTCCCGAACCAGGGGGGGTATGGGGGAGGGTTAATCCTTTCCCCGAAGAGGGAGACATGGGTGGTGTTAGCGATGTCGTTAAGCCACCTGCGCCCAGAGGGTTGGTGGGACTTCGAACTGTCGCGCGGCAGTCGTGGGGCTTTTTCGGATTCACGATGCGGGCTATCTCGGGCTTCCCCAGATCGCCCCTCCTGCTTAGAGCACATTTTACGTTTTGCGGGGCCACGCTGGGACCGCGCGCGGCCATCGTCAAAGGTTCGGGCCTGGAGCATGTCCTTCGAACATTGCGGCAACGTTGCAAGAAGTTGTTCTGGCATGTTCTACGGACATCCTTGTAGGTTCTAAAAGCATACGTGTCTTGAGTATGTTACGGTTCTACGAACATTCGGTTCATGTTCTAGCCTTACGCCGTTCGGAGAGGCGCGCGGGCCATCTCTGCGCGGCCCCACATTTGGATGCAGTTTGGTTAAGGAGGTAGTTGTTCCAACCCTGAGTGGTTTATCCATGTCTCCTCCCCTGGGTTCGGGACCAGGGTTTCGCGAGGTTTTGGGGGGTCCGTTTGGATCCGACATGGCTCGAACATTCGTTCCGACAGTTTGCTGGCCTCCAGTATGACACTTTATGAGTCCAATGTGGTTCGAGGTAGCTTCCAACGAGTATTAAAGGACCCCCAAGATCGCCGCAAGACGACTTAGAATTGTCACAGAGCCCTCGGAGGAAGCTCTACAGAGCCCCGCATCTTTCAAGCACGCTGCGTTTTCAAATCATGTTTGCTTTCTCTCCGTTTTGCTTCCCCTCGGCTTTGAGGCTCCAAATGGCTCCCAGATAGCCAGAAATATCCACATGAGGGGCTTATGGGCGGCTCCAAGACGGCCCCTAAGAGCGCTTGCTTGCTCCTCAGGAGCACCCAAAGGACCCCAGGAAGCGATTTCGATGGCTCCGACGGGGTGGGAGCAATTGAGTCCGCTTTCTTGATTGTTCGATTGTCTCCAGGGTGGTCCAGAGAGGTCTCCCGAAGCTCCCAAGAGGGCCCCAAGAGAGCCTTCAGAAGGTTGCGAAAGTTCCCGAACTCGTCTCAAGCGAGCCTCAAGATTTTTTCCAAGATTTCCAGATGGCTCCCATATCGAAAGGTCCGCGACGGCCTGCATGGTTGACGCATGTCATCGTCGTCGTTGCCGCCGTCGTCTTCGCGGTTTTCTCTCCTGTTCGCCTCCCCCTCCCACTCCTCTTTATGCTCCTTCCGTGTCCTTCACTGTTTCCTCCCTCCGTCTACTCTTCCTCGATCCTCTCCCTCTCTTCCCATCTGCGGCACACTAGTATATACATCATGGGAGCGCGTTCCATCAAGTTCATTTTCATTATGCCCGCCCTCCCCCCCCTTCCGCGAACTCTTCCTCCTCCCTCCTCCTTTTCGATGTCCTCCTCGTTTTGCTTGGGGGAAATCGAAAATATATTGGCTGATGGGTGAAGGAAGCGTTAAATATATTGACTGTTTGTTGGCGTTCAGTACATGTGGGCCGCATCGGGTTGCTTTGACGGAGGACGAAGGAACACGATCAACAAGGTGGTGTCTAAGGGGGAACATGGGCGGCTTGCCAGGGCAGCTGGAAGGAATGCTCCCTCCCCTCCACCCATCCCCGCGCTCCCTATTCCCGCACGTCCAGCAGGGAGAAGTGAGGAGATGAAACGAACAGGAGGGGGAAAAAGGAAGCGGAGAGGAAGGAGGACGGCACGGCAAGGGACATGAACAGTGGAATTGAGCGAAAGGATGCATGCGGAGGACGGATTCGCTGTCTCATTCGAGTCGCGCGAGGAAATGTCACGCAACGAGCGGCTTTTGAGCGCGCGCATTCAGTGTCATGTGTCCTGCGCGTGAGTGTCGTGTGTCATTCTGTGAACAACACGTTGATCGCCAATCATACCCTTTTGTGTCTGAGTCACATCATACTCCAATGACGTTCTTTTTATCAGAGTGAGGGGGCCGAACGGTCATTCGCTGTCCCTCGGTGCGTGGCTTAAGTCGGGTTCCGCGGTGCGGATTGTTGTTGCGTTGTTGTCGTCGTCCTCGCCCGCGACCCGCCCGCGACCCACCCCGCGACCACCCCTCGACTCACTCCGCGGCCCGCCCTGCGACCCAACCGCGACCCACCCGCGACCCGTCCGCGACCCACCCACGGTTCTTTGACGAAAAAATCCGGGCTGGCAGCGGGCTCATGGCGCAATGTGTTGAGAAATCGGCGCCAGCGGCGAGCTTCTTCAGGAGCCTCGCAGACTGCCGACGACCCCGCCGCCCCCTCACCACTCTCTGGCCGCAGCTGCGGGGTGCTACGTCTTATTAGAGCACTGCTCGGTTCTGCCAGCATTTCTGGGCGGCACCGTCGGGCCGCCGGGAAGGGCAGCTCTTGCCCGAGCCGTCGCGTGCGTCCGCTTCAGCAGAGACGTCAACTAAGGAATTGCTCAGCCAGCAGGTGCCCCACGGAAATGTCCCATCCCCCGATGGCCCCAGGGACACATACAAGTTCTGAGGTACCTCAGGACCCCTTATTTTTCATGAAAGAAATGAGAACGTACAATGAAAAATGAGGAGGTCTTGAGGATTTTCATTGCACGGTTTTCGATGAAAAATGAGGAGGCGTGTTCGTCGAAAGACGCCTCCTCATTTTTCATTGCACGGTTCCTTATCGAATCTGTCCGCTGTCGCTGCTCCTGCTTGGGATGGTTCCCAGCGGTGTCTGGCCGGCATATGGGTTCTACCTGGGGCGCGTCCACGCTTGCGGGCGGCCGTTCAACCTCACCAAAGCAATTAGAGATGCCATCGCATGTGCCCTCAGCGGCCAATCGTTCAAAGGGGCGCGTCAGTGCACCGTCTGTATACTTGGTGCTTCTCTGTGTCCGTCTCTCTCTCTCCCTCTCTCGTGCTACTGCCCGCTGCGCAACCAGGCCGCCTACGAGAAGAGCATCGAGAGGCACGTGGGCGTCCAGGCGCGAGGGCGCGGGGAGCTTGTAGCGCCTCGAGCAGAGAGGGTGGGTTTTCTTGGGAGGGGATGGCCGCCACGAAGAAAGGTCAGAGACCCGAGTGGTCAGGGCAGGGGGCGGTCAGGGATAACTGCCAATTCGGCCTCATGGGAAGGAGAAAACTCACGGTGGTCAGTTTTTGCCCTTTTCAGCCTCTCGGGGCCTTTTCAAAGTGCTTGGACCCTGACCCAGGATGAAAGACCGGTCCGCAGGAAGGGGTCCAGACCTCTGGGGAGTTATGTTGCGAACAGAAGCGCGACGCCAGATGTATGGGAGGGCAGGAGGTGGTCAGGGATAATTGCGGATTCGTGTCTCCTGCTCTCCGCCAAAGTTCCCAGATGATTGCACCCTGCACCAGTTTTCCCCGTGTCACGCTGTGCCACGCGAAGATGTTGTCCAGTGTTCTCCAGGTCATACATGGAGTGCCCCCAAAAATGAATCGTACCCGGACCACCTGCTGCTCAAGACAGGGACCCTGAAGGGAGCGGGTCCCAAGTTTTTTCGCCGTCTTCGGGTGCCCCTGGACCGTCAAAGACGACTCAAGACGAAAAGTTCGTGTTGGGGAGAAGCCCCATGGTCCGGGACCCGTTCCCCTGTTTTTGTCTTGACCAAGTTTTTGCATACCAAGGTTGGGGGCGATGTGTCGATTCCTCTCCCATGCGGGGCCCCTTCCGGCACGGATCGCCCACATCGTGCGAGCTTCGACGAACAAAAAACAGTAACCATCAGGTTTCGGTGGTCCGCGCGGATTGATCGGGTCAGAAGCAGAACCTCCCTGGCGCGCTCTGCGCGCTCTGCGCGCCAGGGCAGATGCGTCCAGCGCCGGCTTGATAGAACCGCGCATGACTCCAACAAAGTATGGTATTGGTATATAGTCGTGTTCCAGAGTGGCTCTGCGACTTCAGCCGGTGGGCTCGCCCCGTCCACGGCAGATGCATTGAAGCTGAGGGACGAAGAGTATCAGTGACACGCGCGTTGTTTTTGAAGTTGTGCGTGTTATCCATTCGCCGTTTGTTCTAGAACTTTGTACATCACTAGCGGTAACTAGTTGATGTGGTCTTCAGACAGGCGTGAAATTGACAGTTCGTTTTGGCTCTCCAGACTGTCCTTGTCATTTGTCTTCCTCCGCCCTCTGCAGTCAGGATCCTCCAGAGAAGCCTGGAGCGGAGTCCTACCCTGATACCAGAGATCTTAGCTGGGTGAGCACTGAGAGTACGTCTCGATCGGGACAGCCCTGCCCACGACGATGATGATTACTATGATGATGATGATGATGATGATGATGATGATGATGATGATGATGATGGTGATAATGATGATGTTGAAGATGATGATGATGCTGATGATGATGATGATGATGATGATGCTGATGGTGATGACGATGTTCAAACGATGATGGTGATGATGCTAATGATGATGACGATGATGATCATGATACTAGATGAATATGATGATTAATACGATGATGAAGATGATGATGCTGATGATGATGATGACGATGATGATGATGATGATGATGATTATGATGATGATGATGATGATCATGGTGATTATGATGATGCTGATGATGCTGATGCTACTGATGCTGATGCTGATGCTGCTGATGCTGCTGCTGATAAGAATTATGATGATGATGATTACGCTGATGATGGTAATGATGATGATTATAATGGTGATGATGATTGGTTTACTCCGTCGTTGCAGCGCACCTATCTGAAGGCGCACTCGTTAAATGCCGAGCTCAAGTCGATGCATCTGCGCCAATCTTCTTTGACTTGAGCACCAGATTCTGAACCCAAGCTCGGCAACCCTCTCGAACCTCACATGTGTTACAACGCCGCCCTGCTACCCTGCTGCCCTGCTCCCCGCTGCCCAAATGATGATGATGACGATGACGATGATGATGATGATGATGATGATGATGATGATGATGATGATGATGACGATGATGACGATGATGATGACGATGAACCCACCCACTTCAAAGACCTATATACGGGACCGACCTGAAATCCATCAGGCTGGAGCGAGCCCCACGCCTCCCACGAGTCCGGCCACCTCGGCCCCCTCCGCCGGAGGCAGTCGGCGGAGTGAACAAAACGCAGTCAAGGCTCTCGCACGCAGACTTTCGACAGCAGCGCTACCTTCGCAGGCCTAGAGATTGACACCAACACCAATATCGGCGGTGTGCATCCACCGAGGGAGGAAGATCCCGATCTCGGTGATGGTGGTAATATTCTGGCTTCCACGGTGGCCGAAATACTGCCACCAACACCGAAATCGAGGATCGTCTTCCCCCTGTGGAGGCAACCCCTTGTGTTGGTGTTGGTGCCCATTTCTAGGCCTCCAATACCTGCCCCTTGAGCACAGGAGAACTACAAACGCAGCCGGCAGCGACCCCAAAACAGTCGGGCGGCCCCGGAGGAAGCCCAGGCACTTTAATGCACGTACCCCGCTGCACGCACTGAGGGGGGACAGTGGGCACTTCTCTGGGGGGCTAGCGCCGCAAGAATTACGAGTGTTCAGGATGACGAGGATGAGGAGGATGATAGTAGATAGATGGATGCATGGAGGTATCGAGGCAGAAGGGAAAGGGCTGTCGAGCCGAACGCTGAAAGAATTACGCTAAAAGGGTGTAGGCTTAGGAAGCAAAGCGTTCCTGCGCAAGATCACGCTGCCCTGGGAGCAAACCTCCCCTGCGGAACACGACGTCGAGGCTGTCACACTGTCTCGTTGTCTTCCGGTGTCCACCGGCCCCGAGCGCGATGCATGAGGAAGAACCCGCATACCGATACGAATGAGGGTAAGGCTCTGGCTCCTGGATATGGACGTGTAATGTCGCTGGGTATTTGGCCAGATAGCAGGGCGATCTACGACGAGGCAGACGTCCAGACCGATCGACACGCCGTGTGAAGGTCCATCCATTCACGCGGCGGTAGTGCTATGCATTCCACTGCGCACGGACTGCTTGTGAACATCTGTCGGAATCAGCGATGATCGGGAAAATCGAACCGAGGCACCAGCCAAGAAAGAGACGTACCAGGCAATACAGTAAAGTATTGTTTGCACGCAGGATGCCAAAACTGCAAGTCTGATCTGCGAGCTGCTCCAACCCCAAGTTATCAATTGATTCCTCTCACTGTTTTCTGAAGAACACACGAAGACCTTGGTGCGCTCGTCCAAGTTGTCCGGCATGACCTGGTTCGTGATGTGCTCAGCCCAGAAGCTCTTCACGTGCTTTGCAGTGGCCACGTCTTTTAGACGCAATTTAACCTGGTCCTTGACAGCGCTGATGGAGTGGTTGTCGAGCTTGACCGCCTTTTTCGTCCTGGGCGGGTTGATGACCTGGCTCAACCAGCCCACCTAAGCCTTCGTGAGCTCGTTCGGCGAGTCCCGCGGGAGCGAGGGCATCTGGTGACGGGGCGCAGCCCCGCCAGCTTGGCGAACTCGGCTGCAATCTGCGCGGGGGAACTGTGCCCCGACGAGCTCGCCGGGGGGGCGGCCGGCGGAGGCGTGGATCCAGCGCCGCCCGCGCCCCCATGTTGCCGAGCCGAGCTGATCCTTCAAGACCACCACGAACATTTTGAACTGCTTTTTGAAGAATTCCTCCTTGCGTCGTTTGGGCGTTTCTTGGTGGCCTTTTGGGACGTCTTGGGGGCCTCTTGGCGGTTCTGGGGGGCTCTTGGGCGTCTTGGGTCCCTCGGGGGGCCCTCTTGGAGCGTCTGGGGGGCATCCTGGGTGCCCCGGGGATCCTCTTGAAGCCTTTTGGGTGCCTCTTGGGGGCCTCTTGGAGGCCTCTTGGGGGCCTCTTGGGGCCTCCTGGGCGCCTCGTGGGGTCCTCTTGGGGCGCGGTTGGGAGCCTTAGCGGCGCTCTTGGGCCATCTTGGAGGAGATGGATGAAATAGGGGGGGGCTTTAATCACGCCCCCCCCCCCCCCTCGGGAGCCCCCAAGTGGGGCCAACACCCTGGTAGAACCAATGATTTCGGCTTCCTCGCCGAGGCCGTTTTGGACGTTTCGACCGAACGCGGAGCGCCACGTCCAGGTCCAGGGGGAGGGTGTCGTGGGAGGGGCAAACCCATCCCCGAAGGGGAAGAAGGAGGGGTAAACGAGGAAACGTTCTAGACCACCTACGCTCAAAGGGTTGGTGGGATTCATGGCAGGGCTCAATGCACTTGGATAAGCAGGGTTCAGCAAAGCTTGCCAAGGCTGAGAAAGACTCCGCAAGGCGTGCCAAGCTTAGCCGGGTTTCGCAAGATTGACCAAACTTAACAGGGTTCGGCAAAGCTTACCAATCTTAGCAGGGCTTAGCAGAGCTACCAGGGCATAACAAAGCATTCCAGAGCTTAGTCGGTTGGCTTGGGACTTAGCAGGGCTTAGCAGAGCTTGCCATGGTTCAGCAGTGCTTCGCAGGATCAGTCGTGCTTAACAGGGTTTGCAAGACCGTTGCAAGGCTTACCAAGGCCTAGGGCTTAGCAGGGCTCAGCAAAGCTCAGCGGGGCTCAAGGCTTCGAACCGACGAGCAGGGCTTAACAATGCCTGCCAAGGCTAAGCACGGCTCAGCAAGGCTCAAAAAGGACCAGCAGGGTTTGGCCAGCATGGTTGGGGCTTGTTCGCAAGGCACACCAAGCATAGCAGGGCTTATCATAGCTATCCAGGATATAGCAAAGCTTTCCAGAGCTTGCCAGGGCAGATTCGGACTTAGCTGAGCTTTTCAGAGCCTGCCAGAGGTTAGCAGTGCCTCGCAAGGCGCAGCACGGCTTAGCAAGGCTTGCTTGGGCCAGCACGGCTCAACTAGGTTTAATCAGGTTTGCCAAGCCTTAGCAGGGCTTGGCCAGGCTCAGCAAAGTGCAGCAGTGATTGAGGCTTCGTAAGGCTTAGCATGGTTTAGGGCAGCTGGCCAAGGATGAACAGGGTTTACCCATGCCTAGCAGGGCTCAGAGGTTACCAGGCCCCAGCAGGGCGTAGCTGGTCTTAGCACGGCTCCCCAAGGCTTAGCAGGGCAAGTCAGAGCTTATCACGGCTGAGCAGAGTCGGGCAAGTTCTGTCAAGGTCGAGGTGTTTACCAGGGCTTGCCCCTGCTGGGCAAGGCTGAGCAGAGCTGAGCAGAGCTGAGCAGGGCTGAGCAGAGCTCAGCAGGGCCAAGCAGGGTGTAGCAGGGCTGACCAAGGCTTTCCATAGCGAAGCAAGAATCAGCAAAGCTTGGCAACGCTCAGCAAGGCTGGGCACGGCTAGGCTTAGCAAAGTTGTAGGGTTTACCATGAGGTTACCAAAGCTTATGTTGCAAGGTGTGGCAACTTTTTTACCAGGGCGTGTCAGGACTTGCCAGGGCGGTGCAGGCAAATATGGCGAACGAATGGCAGGCTGATCTGGCGAGTAAAGATGCTGCACACTGTTGGTCCAGTTGAAGAGGGTGAGGAGAGAAGGAGAGAGAGAGAGAGAGAGATAACAACAAAGAGAGAGAGAGAGAAAGAAAGAGAGAGAGAGAGTGATAAACCCATATATATATATATAGACAGGAATACATGTATACGCACGTAACAGTGAAGATAAGGGAACAGAAAACAACAACTTCCTCTGGAACACAGAGGTGCTCCGCAGTCCCCCAGCTTCGACTTCTCCCCCCCATGACTTCCCCCTGGCATGTCTCTCTCCCTGAAGTGGTTTCCCTGGGCTCTGCGCCGCCCCCTCTGGCATCCCACTCGCCTCCCACGGCAGCCCTTCTGAGCCGCTTCCAAGTGGCCTCCGAGGGCAGCACCCCTGGCGGCGGAACTTTTTCTTTTCGTCGTTCGTCGTCGTCCTCCCCTGGCCTCCCCCTGGCTTCCCTGTGGCGTGGCCTCCCCCGGGCCTGGCTTCCCTGGGCTGTGCGCCGCCCCATCCGGCATCCCACTCGCCTCCCAGGGCAGCCCCCCTGGGCCGCCTCTCCCTCGCTTCCCAAGGCAGCCCCCCTGGGCCTTAGAACCTTTTTCATGTTTTCTTGCACATCTGCGGTCTAGAGCTTGAGATCATTTATCTTCATCGTCGTTCGTTCATTCGGTCGTCGACCCCCTCGGGTCCCCCTGCCCCCGCTTTCTCATGATGGCCAGGATGGCCCCAGGAGTGCCAGGATGGCCCCGCGAACACCCCCCGCCTCCCCCCGCCTTGCCTGGCCCTCGCCCTGCCTCGTGCAAGAGCCAGGGCATGCGCGCCACTTGCTCAGCATCGGCGCTGCTCGATCCGTGGTCGAAAACCGGCCTGATGCGGAATAGCCGCGCTGAGTTCCGATCCCCGCTTCGTTCGGCTTGATTGGGCGAGTTCTGGTCTCATGCTGGCTTAATCCTGTGTCATGGCCCATGAATCGGGCTTCGTGCCCTTCACCGTTCTCACAAAGACCTTCTAGGAGCTGCCTCCTAGCACGGGGGGACGGGCACGGGGCAGCGAGCTAGATCCCACTCCGCGCCGGGGGCCGTGAAGTGGCGGCTGGCCGCCGCGCTCTCCTCGGCCCTTGTGCTGCCCCTGTCGGCCTCCGCGTGTGGCGACACGGGCGCCCTCCTCGGTGTCCGCCCTCCTGCTTTTCCATTCGCCACGGTGTGCAATTTGCTCTCAGCTGCGCCCCTGCAGTTGCTGCTCGACGCCTCGTGCCCCACGTTGCCGTTTTGGCACGACACGCGTGCCGATACGGGCAGGTCGCCCACGACTGCCAGATGCGGTCGCTCACCCCTTTCGGAGGGCCCCTTGGCTTCGACACCCTTCTCGGGAGGTCGCCGACGCAGTGGGTCCCCCGGCTCCTGCGCCCCTCTAGAGCAGGTCGCCGGGACGGTTGGTTCCTCCAAGGGGCGTGTTGGCCGCTCGTAAGAGTGGCCTTTCGCTGGAGTGAGCTTCGGTGGGGGCCCGTTGGGGCCCCCGATCGCTGAGCGCAGTGCGGTGGCAGTGGCCTGTGCGCTTGGCTTTGGCTCCGCCCCGCACCAACGTAGGTAGTGATAGAGAGAGTCATTCTGCATGTTGTAGACAATGTTTGGAAAACAGCTACGCTTTTGTAAGCAAGATACGGGATTACTAAATTTCTCCTGCGAATCAGAACGGAACAAGCCAGCAATCATTAACAGAGAAACGAGCTTCCAAGCACAGGAATGTATGCACTAAGGGTGGGACAAGTTGTTCTAAACGGAAGTCTTCTCCTTACCATTTACATGTTGTTAAGTACTTTGATCACGTAAGGCCGCGCACCAAAGGTCATTCTTGCCGAGGGCCACCCGCCCGTGTAGTCGAAGGGGGCAGGGCACACAGCTCCCCCTTAGGTGGGATGCAATTCCTGGGCGGTCAAGTTCAGCATCGGCGCTGGTAGACCCGTAGCCTGGTACAGGCCAAACTTGGCCTATTCTCGCTCAGTCCCGCCCACTTCCGCTCAACCCCACGCGATCTTGTTGAGTCCCGGTTGATCAGGGACCTCATTTGGGCGCATCCGGCTCAGTGGCCCCGCTATCGGGCCTGATAACCCCTGATCGTTCTGGCCCTGCGGTGCTGTCTGGCGGGCTGGGCAGGACTCCCTAAGGAGGATTTAGCGTCGATCAGCGTCGACGATTCGCGAGAGACAACAAGATGGTATGGGAGGGGGCTGCATTGAATTGCCAGAGAAGGTTGAGCGATGCTCAGTGGTTGCCCGGGGGCCGGGCAGGACTCCCTGAAGGAAGAGCTGGCGGGCCTTCGGAAGAAGCTGCAGCAGGCCCCCTTCTCCTCGCGCCCCCCTGTCTCCGCTCCCTCTCCGCTCCCCGCCCTGCCCCGCACCGCCCCGGCTGGCCTTCCTCTCAAGCAGGTTGGGCGTCGCTTAATGGGGGGGCGACACATGGGGAAGGCAAGAAAGGTGCATTCCTCGAGCCCCAAGGGCCCCCCTTTGGGACCTCAAGCGCCTTTTAAGGGGCTCTGAAAGACGCCTTTTCTGCAGCCCTTGCTGCCCTCCCATTGATCGCCCCCCCATTACGCGACGCCCAAGCAGGAGGCGGGGGGGGGTGGAAGGGTAGGACTAAGTATCGTTTCACCGACCCCCATGCCCATCCCTATCCTTATCCAGGCCCCCTCCATCTCAGCACCCCAAGTTGGGGGTATACCCCTCGAGACCCGAAGGGAACAGCCTATGTCCCCATCCAGGGGGGGTAAGTCGACCAGTGGGGCCGAGGCCACGCCCATGAGGATAGCGGTCGGCTAAACGATGCTCAAAGGCTGTCGACAGTACAACGCATTTCAGCAGAAAAGAACGAGCCGCCACCACCAGCTAGGGGGCTGGCCGCTCTTCCCCCCGAGCTGGTGGCATCCCGTTCCAGGCGCGCCCCCGGGAAGCGCCCAGGACGAAGTGCCACCAGCTCGAGGGGCCACCGGCTCGCGGGGCGGGGTGGTGGTGGCTCGATGTGCTCATTGGAGCCGGCTGGGTGTCTGAGGTGGCCCAGTTTTGTGTCGGGGCGAGGTTCGAGGTTCGAGGTTCTGGGTTCGGATTGGTTGGCCCTCTTCGGCGACTGGAGACCTCTGTCCGGCCTCTGAACCATCAAACACGGATGTAGGGTGAAAACTGCAGCAGGTGGACCTGGGGTCCTGGAACCGATTTTGAACGGATTTGGCTTCATCCACTTGCTCCTGACCGATTTTCTGTGGTCCCAACCAGTTCAGACCCCAGGCTACCTCCAAGCAGCGCATACGCCCATGGGGTTGGTGGGGTTCTCAACGATTCGCGTTTTTCCACCAGCAGCCCGCCCAGAACGCATCAGCAGTCTTAGCCAGAGTGCCTAATTAGGGCAGAGAAGTTCCAGAGCTTACAGTGAAACAGAAGGGGAGGGCAGCCGACAAACCAGAGCTCGGAATGTGGATGGGAGTGAATATTAGCCAGGCGCTCTGCGAGTGACTGGGAGTTTTCGTATGTAGAAGAAGGGGCGCATGCTTGTGGGCGAGAGGAGAATGAACGGGTGGCGGTGGCATACAGCCCGTCCCGCTCCCATGCTGGAGCCTTCCATCTTCTCTTCAAAATTCTCCCAGGGAGTCTCCCGTGGTCTCCGGAGGTCGTTCCTCCTCCGCCTGCTCCTCCTCCACCTCCTCCAACTCTCCTCCTCCTTCTTCTTCTCCTCCTCCTCCTCCTCCTCCATTCCTGTTCCTCATAAATAACTTCTCCCTGTCGCACCCCGAGGCCAGTTTTTAGGGCGGTCCGGATGACCCTGAAGCTAAAACATTGACAACAGCTTCACAGATGGAGGGCGGGTCGTTTTCAAAATGTGGCTCTCGTCTTAGCGCCACGCACATTCGTTTTAAACATTTGTAAGGGTTTCACGGATTGAGGGCGGTTCCTTTTCAACATGTGGCTCTCGCCTTAGCGCCGCGCACACTCTGTTAAGAATTCGCAAGAGTTTCACGGATTGAGGGCGGCTCTTTTTCAAAGTGTGGCTCTCGCCTCAGCGACGCGCACATTCGTTTTTTTAATGTGCAAGAATTTCATTGAATCCCATGGTTTGAGCACCAGAAATGGCGTTTTGGAAGATTATGGATATATGAGGGTGCAACAGTTTTGTTGACTCGCGGTGCTGAAGTCCCAGGAGGAATGACGTTCTCTCACGATTCAGGATCGTCAAGACGCAACAGTCAGGTTTATCCGTGGCGTTGGAATCCAGAGAACGATGTTTTGGCATGCATCAGGGTCTTCAAACGGTTGCTTTCCAATGGGGCAGTTCCCTCAGTGGGCATGAGCCCGTGTAGGGGCCTATGAAGTGGGAGTTTGGAGGGAGGGTTTATGCAAACATCGTTGATGACTCTTGGGTTTACACTGGTCCTCCTCCTCCTCCTCCTCCTCCTCCTCCTCCTCCTCCTCTTCTCTCCTCGCCTCCTCCGTCCTCCTACTACGTCTTCCTCCCGATCATTCTCGTCATCGTCTTCGTGGGACTCCCTCGGGGACACGCCCAGCGCGCCCCGGCGCGCGCCGGGAGATCCCCGGAAATGGTCCAGGGCGCGGTGGGGCCTGACTTTCTCGCGCGCCGGGGGTCGACTTCAGGAGGGTGTCTCGAGTGAGAGCCCTGGAATGGGGACACGCCTGGTGCGCCCTGGCGCGCGCCCGCAGATCCCCGGAAGTGTTCCCTGGGGGCGTTGTGGGGCTTGACTTTCTCGCGAGCCGGGGTCCACTTTGGGAGGATGTCTCGAGCGAGAGCCCCGGGCTGGGACACGTCCGGTGCGCCCCAGCGCGCCTGGGCGCAAGTCTGAGGGCCTCCTTTGGGGAGGCTCGGGGGGCTGGTTTTCTGAGGGTGTCCGACGCGAGGGAGCCCGTTTGGAACTCGTCGCCTGAAGTCCCGACTTTCCCTGAAACGGAACGAGGTGGCCTCAATGGGCCTCATTGGGGAGGCTCGGGGAACCAGTTTTCTGAGGATGTCCCACGCAAGGGCGCCGGTTTGGAATTCGTCATTAGATTCAATGGCTGACGCCACACCGCCAACCCCTTGGGGCGGCAGTAAAAGTGAAAAACGGAGTTTGCGGAACGCCCGCGATTTCTGGGGAATCTTCGGGTTTCAGATTTTTGGGATTTCGTCGGGGGCGGTTGGCGGATCGCGGCTCTGCTCTTGGGCTTCTCTGGGCTCTCCTGGCAGCACTTTTGAGGCCTCTTGGGAGCCGTGTTGGGGCCTCTAGGGGCCTCTTTGGGGCCTCTCGGGGTCCTCGTGGGAGCCTCTTGGGGGCCTCTTGGCGCCTCCTCTGTTTTTTTCGGGGCGGAGTGCTCGAAGTGTCCATTCGGGTTTCCCCCCTGCGCCTCCTCCTGGGGCCGTCCTGGGGCCCTCCTGGGCCGTTTTGGAGGCTTCTGGGGCCGTCTTGGGGCCTTTTTGGGTCGTCTTGGATCCCTCTCGGGGGCCTCTTGGGCTATCTTGGGTCGATCTTGAAGGCTTCTTGGGTCATTGTGGGCCTCGAGAAAGCCCAAGAAGCGAATATCCAAAATATACGTTTTCCCTAGGGAGTTGGACGATCTTCGCTTCTGGAGGGCCTCTTGGGACGACTCTTGGTAGCTTCTTGGGGCGTCTTTGGGGCTTCTGAGACCGTCTGGAGGTAATCTCGGGCGTCTTGGAGCGCTCTCTCGGCGACTTGTATCCCTCTTGGACCGTCCGGGAGGCCTTTTGGGACCCTCTTGGCCCGTCTTGGGCCCCCTGAGGCTCCAAGGGTGCAGGCGCTCCCCCACCCACCCCTCCAAACTGGCCAAATCGGGCTCTGGGGGGAGGGCTTTGGGGAGGGGGGAGCATCTCACACGCCGTGACCCCAAGGGGTTTGCGGATTTGTTGGATTTCCCAGGAACGGAAGAAGGGAGCTTCAGAGGGCCTCCTTGGGGAGGCTGGCGGTGCCGGTTTGCTGAGGATGTCCCACGCGAGGGCGCCGGTTTGGAATTCGTCGCCGTATTTCCCTGATCTCTTGGAAACGGGGGCCTCACAGGGCATCCTTGGGAAGGCTCTGGTTGGAATTCATCGCCGCATTTCCCAGATTTGTTTGATTTCTTGAAAACGGAACACATTATTTCGCGCGCCGGTGGTCAGGAAGACGTGAGTTCTCAAGACAAACTTCCTCAAACTATTGAGTCTGAGCGTGCGAGTCTGAGTCTGGGTGAACCTCAGCGCCTGGGACTGAGTATGAGCAAGTCTGAGTAGAAGTGAGCAGTCTGAACGAGAATGAGCCTGAGTGTTCGAGAGAGGGGCGTGCGACTCGCGCGACTCTGAGTCTGGGTGCATCTCAGTGCCTGAGCGGAGTATGAGCAACTCTGAGTAGACGTGAGCAGTCTGAACGAGAATGAGTTTGAGTATTGGAGAGAGGGGCATGGCTGGTCTAAGTGTGAGTGCGAATGAGTCCGAGCGGGTATCAGGCAGGAAGAGGCAACATTACCACACTAAGGAGCTGTGTGCCATTGACCCCCTCTTCGGCCCCCCTTAACGGGCCCAGCCGAGGGCTCGCCTAGAAGCCACCGATGATCCTCTGGGTCCAGGCTGCACGACTAACGCACAGCAGGCAACGTTTTGGGATTTGCTCGATTTGGTTCCTGGGCCCGCGGTGGGCTTCAGTCCAGGGCGGGCTCTGCTCGAACTTGGAGCTGGCGCTCGCTTCTTTTTGCTTCTGCAGTGGATGAGGGTATGTTACCATGTTCACACCTTGCGAGTCGCGTCCCGCAGCATGCTGATCCGTCGAGGGAGGAAGCAGAATGCTGAAAAAATGGGTACAGTGAAAACGCTGAAGAAAAAGGCATGTTTACGCTGAGGAGGGACTCTGGTTTTCGGGCCGCTCCTTAGATCTTGGTAGGGAAACCTATTCGGCCCTTCGTTCATTCTTTTGGGTTCGTCCTTTATGGCAGCACGGGGACTGTGTGGAGTATCGTGAGTACCGCGCAAGCAATGCTGATGTCCTTGTCATGCGAGTTCGTCCGAAGCAAATCGTACCGAGAAGGCTGCTCACAATGTTTGGCATGATGTGTGTGTGATGCGTGCCTGTAGTTGCGCACGAACGTCCTATCATGCTAGCGTTTTCGTCCATGCGCTCTGGACTGGAAGAGGAGCAGCAGCAAGAGCAGAAACAGGAGGAGGCGAGCAGAACGATCAGGACACCAAAGACGTCGCTCCTGATTGTGCTTAAGTGTGTCATTTGAAATGTATAAGATCTGCATGGGCACATCGTGGAAAAATGTGCACGCGAGGCTGAGAGCGAGACGGCGTCAAAGCAACAGGACATCGACGGCCTCTTGGGACGTGCTTCTTCTTTCTTCGTCGAGTGGCCCTGTGGAGGTGGAGTGCCCGGTCGCGGTGGCTCACATCTCACTGCGAAGGGCGTCGATCGACGACACGTAAGGGTGACCCTTCGCCAGAGTGACATTTGGTGCGTGCTCGCGTGGGCTCCACGATCGCTGAAAGCGATGCGATAGCAGTGGCTTGCTCCCTGTGGTTTGTCGGCGGCGAGCGAGGGGGGGAAGTGAGAAGGAGAAGGCCTTCTCAGAAGGCTCGGAAGTCCCCAGGCCTTCTGAGAAATTTTCTAAGCCTTCCCCGAAGACAAAACAACACTTCTCAGAAGGCGCGAGGGCTTCTGAGAAGATCTGCCGCCTTTGAGAAGCCCTTCTCCTTCTCATTTCCCCCCCTCGCTCGCCGCCAAAATCAACCCCTCCGCGCCCCCCCTCCCATGAAAGCCCGAAAGCTGCGCACCAGAGGTCACTCTTGCTCAGTGTCGCTTTTGCGTGTAGCCGGGTCGACATCACATGGTTGTTTGTGAATCGATTTCACGAACGAGTTCACAATTCATTGTTCCGAAACGTCCGATGTGATCGCTCGTGGTGCGCATGCCGTTCTTTCGTTTCTGTTCGTTCACTGGGGTTTGGGGTTGTTGGCTCAGTTGGTGTTCTATATGCTCTCGGTTCGACCCATCTTGATACTTGCCCTGATGTCGAGAGTCACCTGATCTTCACGATTTCGCTTTTAGGCCAGGTAAATGTTCTGGAACGCCAGGAGTGATTCCAGTTGGCCAGCTGTGCTGGAAATCACCAACGGGTCCGCACGTTCAAACCTACGTTCGCATGGAGCGAACGCCCTGACTTTGCTCCTACCCTACTCCATCGTCTGGCTGTGTGTTAGTTGGTTCGCTTCGAGCATCATCGGCCTTGCTTGGGAAACCAGTGGTTTGATATTGATCCGACACATACAAATACACCAGAGAAGCCCCCTAATCAGTTCTTCGTGAGTGAGATGTAAGGGCAGCGTGCTGTGGACGAGGGGCAGGGACAGATGAATGCGGTTATCTGTTCTCTCACCGCTATGCTTTCTGATCTGCGCTCTCTATCCTCTAGTCTACTCTGTGCTCATGTCTAGGAACCCTCTCAACGTGTGGTACCTACGCTCTACGTTTTCTCTTGCCTTTCCACTTTTGGCTCTCTACTCTACTATAACTATCCTCTGTCTCTCCCTCTCTCTGCCTCTCCGTTGTTTCAGCACGTCGTTCTTTGCCCCATGCGCTCCGGTAATTCATTCGGCTATATAGTCATTGCCCCCCAGGCTGGTTCCAATACAGTATTCGGTCCCGCTTTCGTCTTCAGCTCCTGCTTTCCGCCATCGTTTTCTACCCTTGTGCTCCGCTGCCGTGTTTTGATCCTTGTTCTGCTAGCCGTGTTTGCGCTCTCGCTTCCCGCCTTCGTGTTCTGTTTTTCTGTTCCGCATTCGTTTTCCAATCGAAATGGCCGCGTGCATTCTGACCAGCACGCGCGCCAGGGCCGACTCCAGGTAGTGTGCGATCATGTGTTGCAGAGTGTCTGTGTCTGGGGATTTGTATAAGCGATGGACCGTGAGTTCAACATATGGTGCATGTCGACCAGCGCGCCATATACAAGTCCACTTTGTCCGCGCTGCTAGGTTGTACGATCTGCCTTTTTGCCTTCACGTATCAGTTCAACCACGTTCCATCCGCAACCTCGGTGTATACGTATTTCAAGTCCTTGACGACTTTTGAAACGGCCAGCGGGAGGGTGCCACATTCCCAGGTGTGTGAAACCCCATGTGTGTGGACGCGCATGTGCGTGGCACCCCATGCGTGTGGAACCCCATGTGTTCGGAACCCCGTGTTTGCGGAACCCCAAGTTTTGGTGTGTGTGTGTGAATCTTGAGTTCGGCCAGGCGTCGACGCGCGCGTTCCGCTGCTTGCCCCGTCGCGGCGCGCGGGGCCGCGACGCCCAAAAGTGTGTGTGTGCGTGTGTGTGTGTGTGCGTGTGTGCGTGTGTGTCTGAGTTCGTGCGTGTGGATCTTCAGCTGTTCTTGCAAGCGCTGATTGTTTTTGTTGGGGTGCTACGTTACGTTCCGGTCTTGGCTGTGCCGAAGCGGTGTGGAAACGGCGCCCGAGATATTGGACGTCAGGCATGCGGCATTGCCACGTACAAAGTGCAACAACAACAGATAGCATGTTAGCCAGTGTGGGGTCCCACACAGTTTCGTCATTGCACGATGGAATTGAAAGCTATGATGTGTAAGATCGGTGGTGGATGCTATGTCGTGTGCTTAAATTGATTGAGCTATGGAGGTGGGAATTATGCGATGCAAGCTATGTGGTATAACCTATCTCGTGTAAGCTAAGCGGTGGGGGGAGTGGAGGTGGGCGCAATGTGGTGTAAGCTAGGTTGTCTAAACTAGGTTGTCTAACATATGCGATGTAAACTATATGGTGTAAGCTGCGTGGTGAAGGCAACGTGGTGCGAGCTCAGAGAATGCATGGGGTGCCCCCGAGGCGCCCACGAAGCGGCACGGGTGGCGCAACCTCGGGAGATCCACCCAGCGCGCGAGGTACCCACGAGGCGGCACGGGCGACAACATGGGAAACCTCGGGAAACCCACCAGCGCACGAGGTGCCCACGAGGCACCCTCGAGGTGGCACGGGCGGAAACGTGGCGCAACCTCGGCATATCCCGCAAGCGCGAGGTGCCCACGAGGCACTCACGAGGCGGCACCAGCGGCAGCGTGGCAACGTCCGAAGCGCGGGGCGTCCACGAGGCGCCTACGAGGCGGCACGGGCCCAGAACGTGGCGTATACTTAACACACCCACTCAACCCCTTAAGGAAGCAATGTGAGAACCCCTACGTGCAAACACTGTTTGGGGAAATGGGAAACGGCAGAAACAAGGGTATTCCAAAGGCGAGCCTCAATGGATTCCAAAGGCCGCGGTGTGCCCGATTGGAGGCTCAATTTGCGATTTTGATGTCTCCAAAGAACCCCCGAGGAATGCGAGCAGCGCGAGCGCGAGATCGTCGACCTCAAGAGGAAGCTGGAAGCATGCGGTGGACCCCGCGTGCTAATCGCCACACCTGCCTGTTCCGCACACTTGTTCGGACGAATGGTCAGCAGAGAGCGCTCAGCGTGATCACAGATCGCACGCGGTGGATGCCAGGTGGCATGACGTCAAGCCAAACGGCCGCATTGCAACGCACGTTCACGTTATGACGTGCTTGGCTGGCGTGACCGTTAGTCTACAGCCGTCATGGAGTTGGATAGTGAGGGTATTTTCCAACTGGTGCGACGTTATAAATTGTACACCGTTCGTCTTTGTGGGTCCCGCAGCCACGCTCTCGTGGCATGACCCTGGCATGACCGTCCGCGGCGTCACACTGCTGTCGCAGTGCAAATCAGTCGTTCTCGTGACTTCCTGGGAGCTCTGTTGGGCCCCCTGGAGGGCTCTAGGGAGCCTTTGTGGGCTGTTGGTGTTGTCTTGGGGTCCTGCCAGAACGTTCCAGAAAGTGTCCGCTGGGACAGTCAGAAATATTGACATATGACCACAGACACAGGGGCGAGGATGAGTCGGGCGCACGAGAGGAAGCACACGACAGGTGCTCCAACAATATTCCAGGAAGCGTCTGAGCGCAGCAGTGCAAGACACCGAGAGTGCAGGCGACGGCGAGGAGGGCGCGATGGAGAAGGCTGGGAGCACAAGGAAAACGACGGCGAATAGGAGCGCAGGTGCGCTCATATGAAAGAGTTTCTTTCAAACTACTCGCGTCATCCTCAACCCCGACGCGCGAGTAGGTCAGGCCCCACCGCGTCCCCAGGGACCATTTCCGGGGCGCGCGCCAGGTCCCAGCAGCGAGCGGCTGCGCGCGGACGCGTCGAGCTCTGCCAGCTCCGCGGCGCACGCGCCTCCGCCGCGGCCAGCTCGGCGCGAGCCCCCCCCGAGTCGGCCGTTCGCGGCGACCTGGCCTGCGGCATCGCCCATCGAACGTCTGGCCGACGGTTGGCGGAGGCATCCAGCGCGCCGCCCCAGTCCAGCTCGGGCGGCCCACAACGCGAGGTCTCCCACAGACCTGGCGTTGCTGGGCGGGCGGAGGAGGCAGGGTCCGACGCGCCCGCGTCCGCGGTTGGGCGGGCGTTGGCCGAGGTCGAGGCGGCGGGCCCTTGGGGCCGCCCGCCAGCGATCTTTCGTCGAGCTTCACGCGTTGCGAGCGGACGCAGGTGCAGCGCAGGCAGGGGCTCCGCGAGGACGCCCTCGAGGACTGCCGCAACCTTGAGGGCCATGCCCCTGGCGCGCGGACCGGCACGGGTGTCGCGCGCCGAAGGCGCGTGGCGGAGGGACACCGCGAGTCGCGCGCGGCTCTCCCCGCGCCTGTGGGCTGTGAAGCCCCGCCGCCGGGGCAACGCGCCCGCCGCGCGGCGAACCAGCTGCGCTTCGCTTCGCTGAAGGCGGGTGCAACGGCGCCCCCGGTGCCGCCGTTGCCCCCGCCCGTCGCGCGCCTCCGGGCGCGCCGCCCGCGGCGGCCCCTGGCGCGCCCCCGGGCCCGCCGCCCTAGGCGGCCCCCTCCGCGCGGGCGCCCGCGGGGATCCGCCCCGAGGCCGCTCCTGCGCGGAGGCCGGCGCCAGCTGGCCCCGTCGAGGCGCCGCGCCCGCGCGCGACCCCGCGGGCGCCTCCGCCGCGGCTGCCAGGCCCCAGCCGATCGCCTGGCTTTGAGGCGCGGGCCAGGGCCCTGGCTCCGACCGCGGGCTTTTCGGCCCACGCCGTCCGGTCGGCGCGTGCCACGGCGGCTCAGGCAGCTGCCTCGGCTGCTGAGCCGCTCGGGTTGGCTTCTGACTCGGGCGATCAGCAGCAGTTGTCCTGGCAGCCTGGCCATCCCGCGACGCCGTCGGCGCTGCCCCAGTGCGTCTGCGGCGCGCAGCTGGAAACAGTGGCGAGCGCGGGGTGGACTGCTGCTGGCGGGGCGAGTGGCCGCAAGAGATGGGCCCAGCTTCGCTCGAACCTCCGATCCCAAAGCGGCGCTCGCCAAGGCCCTTGGTGCGAGCCAGCCCGTGCGCCCCCGCCGCCTGTCGCTGCGTCCTTCGGCGAAGGTGGCGGGTTAGTAATTATCCGCAGTTCGCCACGCCGCCGAGCCTGGAACGCCCCCGCTCTGGGAGCGAGCCAGTTTGCGAGGAAGTTGTGGACGCCTCGCCGCCTCGCGCCCCCCGGTCGCCGCCGCCCTCCGCCGGTTGGCATGGCCCTCTCCAGCGATGCTTCCACGGCCCCACAGGGAGAGGCTCGCGCCGCCGCTGGGGTGGGCAGAGCGCCGCCGGGCGCGGCAGCCTCGCCAGCAGCTCCCAGTGCGCCGTCTAGCGAGGTGGCGCTTGCGGCCCCTCGAGCAGCGGTGCGCCCGAAGCCGCGGCAGCGCCGCCGAGCTCTTCCCACCGCCGGCTTTGCGCCTAGCGCCCCTTCTGTGGCATCCTTGTCGCCAACGGTCGCGGCTCTTGCCGCTCGCGCCCTATCTGGTCCGTCTTCTCCGTGAACAGTTATCGCTACCGGAGGGAGCTTCCACGGCGGTGGGCTGGCACGTGGAGGTGGCCGGCGAGACGCTCACCATCGTCTGCTGGCTGCCCAGGTAGGACGACCTGTTCCACCCTTCGGACCCAGTCTGCTTCCACTAGGCTCTCCACCAGTACCGACGCCTGTTTCAAACGAGCGGCGCGTGCCCTGTAGAGAGTGCCGACTGGCTGTTCCTTGTGGGCGCCGTGTCGTTGGGGAACGCCTGAAAGATAATGGAGAGCTCCTCGCTGCCCTGGGGCAGGGAGACATCCGCCGCGTCGGACTGGGGAAGAACGCTACCCAACAACGCAGGGCCGCCGCAGCGCCGCCGCAGCTGCGGCCGTCTTCGACCTGCTCTGGTACGCGACCTTGGGGGGGGCGAGCCCCCCCCCCCAGTGAAGTGGGGAGATCACGGGGAACCGCAGGAGTTCCGTCGTGTTTTCGCACGCGAGGTTCCCATGGCGCACTGGTGGTTGCCTTCGGCCCAGCGCTTGGAGTATTGTATCGCACCTACGCTCCGCCTCCTCCCTCCGCCATCGCTCTGTCCTACTTCCTCCTCCGTCTCCAGCTTCCTCCTGCGCCCTCCTGCTCATCTTCCTTCTCCTCTGCTTCCTCCACATCTTCCTCCTCCCTTTCGTCTCCTGCCCCCTTCACTCCTGCCTGCCTTCTTCCCTCTTCCCACCGTGGACGGAGCAAGGCAGCGGGTCTGATGAAGCCAGGAGATCAGCGTGCACATGGCGCGGCCGGCCCAGGCCAGAGCTGGAAACGCTCGTGGCAGGATGCCTTTTTCAGCGCTCGGCCCTTCGACGGCCGTGTAGTCTGGGCTTCTGCGTGTGTATTTCGCGCGTGGCCTCGGGATGTGCCGCATGTGGCTCCAGCCAGGTATGGTTCCAGCCTCTTGGTCAAAGCGCTGTTGAGCACGCGCGCGCCCGCGCCAAGCGCACTGGGTGTCCAGCATGCGTGCGTGAACAGAGGCAGAGAGAGAGAGGGATAGGGAGAGGAGAGGCGAGGAGTGGAAAGGATATTACGGCAGGGAGGAGGCAGGGAGAGACAGGCGGACGGATGGGCCAACGTGGCGTTCGTGACGAGGGGTGGGCCATGGAGAGACGGCGACCCAGCGCGGCGCATGCGGTCACGGGGGGCGGTGAGCGTGGGCTCAGCAGGGGCAAGGAAGTCTGCTTTGTCAGCAATTGTTCCACTGGCTTGTTTACTGGATAATAGACGTCCAAGTGGGATGTACATTGTCAACACTGGCATTCGAGAATCTCGAGGCAAGCCATGCAGGCAGTGCCAGGCAGGCCTGCGACCCATCTTGCTGCGCAGCTGTGCATGACCCGCCCTCGTTGATTCATATTGATCTGCATGTGTGCATTACCATGTTTCTTCTGGCTTCTGATCCATCACCTCACGTGTTTCACATGCGCTATGGCGCCCACCTGCGACGCCCCAGCAGACGGTCCGATGTCTGATGCCTGCTGTAGTGAGATGGCTTCCCACGTCTGTTGTGAGCAGCTCGTTCTCATCTGAAATCATCGTGCGTGTCGCGCTGTGCTCGCAGCTTCTCGTGGGAGAGCGGGGAGGTGGCTCGCGAGAAGACGAGATAGCCCGCTGGGAAAGGCGAATCAAGGCGCTCGAGGCACCAGCCTGCTTCCATCCCCACCCCGTCTGCGTTGCAGCAGGGCCTCCGCGGCTGTTGACACATGAGACTCCTGCGGCATGAGACCCTGCTCAGCTTGACAAGGACAATGATTGGGGGCAGCGCCGGGGCGCCACGCACGGGCACCCGATCTCGGGGGCCGGGCTTCCTGCAACGGGCATGGGGCAACGATGCTGTGGCAGCGGGAGGCAGCCTTGGGGGGCAACGGGGGGCAACGATGGGACGGCCCCGGATCTCGTGGGCCCGGCCACGATGGGGGGCGGCGGGGGGCACCGATGCGGGGCAACGGGCCCCTGGTTTGGAGGGGCGGCATGCTCACTGGGCCATAGAAGCAATCCGTTTTTTTTTCGCATGCGTGTATCGAGCCCGTACAGACAGACTGTTTAGGGAGCATCGGCTTCAAAACTGAATTCTACCATGGCGGCACAGGCAGCCAAAGCTTTCGTTGCTGTCGCTGGTGGGCCGCAATCACTTTCTCCCATTTCCTATCATCCAGTTGCCTACGGCAAATCCCGCCACCGTGCTTTTTCAATAGCGCAGCAGGAAGGAGCCTGCGTGCAGAAAAAACGCAATTCTGACGAACGGTCAGGACTGGGATGGGTCGTGAACTCGGAGGTCGAGTTCACACCCCACTGCAGTTCAGTGAGCGGTCTGAACCGAGGCGGGCCGAGAACTCGACCTCATCTTCGTCCGCGTGCTGGGGAGGACAAGGAAGGGGAAGAGGAGGAGGAGGAAATGCCCGGCAGTAGCGTCGGCTTAATGAGGTCAGGCCTTGGGCTCGGTGAGTGGCTCACGCGAGTGACACATTTTCGTGTTATCTGTGTTCGCGCACATGCAGCTCGAGGCAGCAGCCAGCCACCCATGCTTTCTCAGTGCATGGTGTGCGGCGCCGCACTCGTGATCTCGTCGGTACAACACATTGCGTGGCGTGTATGCAGTTGTCCCACACTCGAGTACGAGTGGTGACCCATTTGTAAGAGAAGTATGAAACTTGCCGCTTTGTACTCATGGCTACTTTAACAGGTTGCCGAATGATGTCGTTTCCGAACTTGGTCGGAAGGATGACAAGGACGCCCGCGAACGGGCCAGAAAGGGCCAGAGGCTGCACCACGCTGACGCTCTGGCTGGCCACCTGGAAGGCACACTGACCTTTGAAGCGTTTGCGGCCCGTCTGAGACAGAAGGCATCTTCCTCTTGCTTCCCTCTCCTTGACGAGCCAGGGGGCGGTGATGATGTAGCAGCGCCGTCCTCTAAAGGAGGGTCGATGCACGAACAGTCCTTGCTCAACCGTGCATGTGCCTCCCCGCGCGCGCACGTTCTAAGTTCTGAAACGAAACGAGAGGGATAACACAAGGACAATGAGGACAAGGCCTCTTAGGGGCTCTGTGGGAGCTTCCTGGGGGTTTGCCGGGGGCCGCTCGGGGGCCTCAAGGGGGCCTCTGGTCTCTTGGGGCCTCTTGGGTCGTCTTCAGAGGTTCTTGGCCCGTCTGACGCCTTAGGCGACCGTCTTGGGGGGCCCTCTGGGGCATCTTGGTGCCGTTCTGGCTAGCTTTAGCGCCGTTTTGCGCCCTCTTGGGAGGCTCTTGCGCGATCTTGGGTGTTCTTCATCCGACTTTAGGGCCACATCGGCTGTCTTGGAGCTATATCGGATGCCTCGTGGGCCGTTCTAAGCAGCCAGATGCCCAAACAGGCGAGACCATCAGGGGGTCCATGTTTTTCATATCCTCAGAAGCCTCTTGTAGCCTCTTGGCCCGTCTGAGTCTGTGGCCGTCATAGGGGGCCTCTCTGTGCTGTTTCGGTGCTTTCTTGGAACGCTTCAGGGCCGTCTCGGGCCCTCTTGGGAGGCTCTTGGGCGATCTTGGGGTCCCCTTGGATCGACTTGGGGCCCCGTTTGGAGGCCCCACGGGGTGCCCTGGAGTCATACTGGCGGCCTTTTGGGCCGCCTTGAGCGGTCAGACACCAAAACAGGTGATACTTCCCCAATCATTGAACATCATGGAAATCGATGTTGTTTGCCTCCTCGGGCTCTCCTGGGTGGGCCTCTTGGACCCCGCTTGGGGCGTCTTGGAAACTTTTCGAGCCGCGTTAGGGCCGTTGGGGAGCCTCTAGCATCGTCTTGGGCCATAATTGACCGTCTTGGTGTCATGCCTGCTGTCTTGGAAGCCGTTTTGGAGGCCTCTTGGGCCCGCGCAGTGGGGGCGGTCTTGGAAGGATGAGCGCGATGAGGGGGGGGGCAGCGGCCCTTGACATCAGCTTCAAACCTCCAAGGCAACAGGAGAGAACTCCAACACGCCCGCTCCGTGCAGGCACGGCGGTGGAGATGTTCGGTGTGCGGGCATGGTTGCGTCGTGATCAACATGCTTCGCGGGCTTCACCGAGATCGGGATTCGGGACCACACCGGCCGCAGGGGTTCGTGTGCCTACGGCCAGGCATTCGGTCGAGGATCGCGGTCGCTGGGCCTATCCAACGCGTGCTCGTGGATGGTTTTTGCCTGGCCAGACTCGACCGCACATTACCATCGCGAAGGAGCCCAGCGGCAGGGTGAGAAAAACGGCCGACGACGAGAGAGAGAGAGAGAGACTCGACCGGGCATCGCAGCTTTGAACGATCAAAAGGCCCGTCGTCGGAGCCGTAACAACCGTTGTGATGGGGGCCTTGGCCTCGGGGGTCTGTGACCAGCAAGGTGATCGAATGAGCAAGGTGTATTCGCGGACGTCCTCGCCCTGACGAGTTTGTCGGTGACCGTCGGGTTCAAGATGCTTCTCGTCGGCAGCGGCCATTTGTTCAATGAAATACTCCCTTCTCCTGGCCGCCGCACGTTGCCTGAGCGCCCTGTGCCAGGATAGGACGGGCGGCGGCGGGCACAGGCATGGGGCGCCCCCGTTTTTCTGTTTTTTTGTTGGCGGGGGGGTCTGAATGTCGTCCAGGCGTGTCTTTTGAGGGGGCTTACATTCCAGCGAGCGGCTTGCATGTCACCAAAACGTAGTGTCTGCCTTGCTCTTCTGCTCATGTAGGCGGGACGGACCGCTGCGGCGCCTGCGAGGGCGGCTGCAGTCCTTTCTTTGCAAGACTGCTTTTCGGTGCCAGAGGCCAACATGGCGCGAGCGACGCTTGTCGGTGCTGTTCCTTGGCCATGTGGCCATGTGCTTTGTTGGGGAACCCGCGTTTTCCGTGCACGAGAAGCAACTTAGCAAAGCAATCGCGAAGCATTTGTTGAGCACCATGGGTTTTCTTTGATCCTGTAAATGCTTGAGTGCACTCTCTGATGTAAGATGTGGCCCCTGCGCGGCTGGTAGGTCTTCCCCTCCTGAGCCGATGTGTCGTGCGACGTAGCGTGCGAACGAACGATGCTGCTTGGCCAGCGTGACGGACGTAGTGCTTGTGCTTCTGGCGTTGGCTCTGCTCGCCAGTAGGGTCCGTAGGCTGGGGCCCGCAGTCTGTGATCATGTGTCCCGCTTCGTTGACCAAGATGTAGTAACAGTTCCGACGGCAAGCGTTACATATTGCGAAGGCCTTACGGCTGGTGCCGCTGACCCTGAAGGGGGACGACGACGAAGACAGCGACGATGAATATATGCAAAAAGCTGAGGAACATCTGTGATTTTGTCCTCTTGGGGTTCTCTTTGAAATGCTCCTGGGACTCTCTTGGGCCTCTGTGGGGCCTCTTGGTGGCGTCTGGGGCGCCTCTTGGGGCCTCCTGGGGGCGTTTCGGGGCGGAAGTCTCGAAATGTCGGTTGGCGGATGACGGGGAGCGCTTTCTCAAGGCCCTGGCTCGAGCGGTTTCTGGCGTTTATCGCGTGTCGACGGGGTCGCAAGCCCCCGCACAGCATGCATGCAATCGATGGCGGGACATGTTTCGTTTCTCCTTCTTCTTTGCGCCATCGCTCGCCGAAGTTACCCACGCTGGAGGGCCGAGCGTTCGGTGACGGCACGATCACCGTGGAGCTCCCTGACATCGACTGACGCCGATGATGGTTGCGAACCAGTGCACAGCACGAGGACCTATCACCGTGCCTGCCGCGCCATTCTCGCCAGGGCGAGCGTGGTCGTGGTCCGATCTCTATGAAGGCCAAGGCGTTGTGGCAGGTCGACGCTATGAGGTTATTCAACTCGGCGACACAGCAGTTGCAACAGCCATGCGAGATGCGTGGGTGCCCAAGTGTTGGGACGCGTCGGGGCCTCGATCATCTCCTTGTTTTGCTGTGGCCCGGTCATTTGGTTCGAGGAAGTTCAGGATGATCCCAACACCACCTGCCATCGTGTACGCTAAACGCCAGCCCACGGACCTACGTACCTGCTTCCTCGACGCAGCGGAGTTGAGGACCCTCAGCAAGGTCTCTCCCCGGCTGTACAACAAAGCGGACATCGCGCCCACCAGATGGCTCGTGTGGGACCCGACTGTAACCAAGTGGCTTGGCTTCCCGTGCGCCTACATCCGGTGGTTCGCGGTCGACTACGCCAACCAATTCCGTGACCTTCGGATCAAGCAGAATGGGAAGCTGGTGCAGTATTCCTCCGTGGCCCGTGAGAGCCGACAGTGACCGCAGTATTTAGACTCGGCCAAGTTTTGTGCTCTCGCCTTGGTGAGGTTTCAGCCGCTGCGAAATTTAATTCTGCGGTTTTCCAACGCTGGCGCGTCTTTTGCCCTTTCCCTGTTCTCTGGCCTGCTGCGCTGGTGACTTTGAGCTTGGCTCGGCCCGCGGCCGGCAGACAGGTGGTCGATCTGTCTGTCTGCCGCTCTCGTTTCGCCATGGTGGAGCGTTGCCGACTTTGCTCTGCTGGCAAAAGCGGCTCCAGCATCGGTGTGCTATGCTTTTTCCGCGCCTACCGCGTTGCGCCGTTTTGAGTTTTTTTGCCTACCACCAGTCCGGTGGCCAGAGGGCCAGGCACTGATGTGCGAGCCTTCCACCAGAGGGTGGTAGCTTCGTATGTGACGCTGATAGCTCGCGAGGCCTCTTGATGTGGGGTTGCGGTAGTAAAAAAGAATCAGGAAAAATGCCCTCTTGGAACGAGAAGGTGATGGGACTTTTTTAGAGGAAGCATTCTACATATTTATTTCACAAAACAAGGAGGCGCGAGGGACAACGGGTTCGCGATCGCAAGTCATATTTCGCTTGGCGGATGACGGGGGACGCCTTCTCGGAACGAGAAGGTGGTGGAGTGTGTTAGGCTTTTGTTAATAATGACCCGATGAAATGTTAAGTCGCGAGGGGCCCCTGGTTCGGGGTTTCAAATTATATGTTGCTCTTCGGATTCCCCATCAAAAGACGATCTCGCCTGAGACATCTTAAACAAACTGATGTATTGGAGGAGTTGTGCTAAGGCTCTTCATGCGGAAACTGAAGCTCTTTCTTGAGACATCTTCAGAACATTGACATGTTGAGATCGGTCGCGAAGTCGCTCGAATACTGAGAAATGGCTGTTTCGCCTGAGACATTCTGCGGCCATTGAAATATTGGAGGAGTTGTTTTCAAACGTTGTATGTGGAAACTGAAGCTCTCACTATGTGCATATTCAGATCGGTCACGAAATCGCTCGAATACTAAGGAGTGGCCGTTTCGCCTGATATATCTTCCAAGGGTTGAGATATTGGGAAGACTTGTTCTATGACGTCGTACGGTAAAGGAGGAGTTCTTGGCAGGACCGGTGTTGGACCGTTCTTGGCAGGCCTCGAAGCTTCGCGGCGGAGACCCCCAAATCTCCGAATTCGTCAGCGCCGTCAGCACCAGTATCGTCATCGTCGTCACCGCCATCGCACACAAAACCTATACCGGATATTTGATTTTGAATTTTCGCAGCGGATGTCCTCGTGAAGTATTCGCAGAGAAGACATGTCACATACAAGAGTGCGACATGTACCAACATGGTCAAATACGATAAAATCGAATAATTCCCCTGTCTTGCCAAAATTCGTTCCGACTATCCGAACAAGTGGTCGCATACAAGAGTGATCGCACGGGTTCGCAATGCGCGTGGCGGTTGGGGCAAACGTATTGGGGTTTGCTGTGGAGGCGGGGGGAGGGGGGCAGAGATGCCGGAGTTTGCTGTGCGCGCCGCCGTGGGGGCAAACGTATTGGGGTTTTCTGTATAGGCGGTGGTAGCAAAAGTAACGGAGTTTGCAGCGCTTGCGCCAGTGAGTGGACACAAGCGTCGGATTTTGCAATGTGCGCGGCGAGAGGGCAAGTCCGTTGTGTAGGCGGCGGTAGGAGAGCAAACGTGCGAAAGCTTGCTATGCGCGCGGCGGTAGTGGCAAACGTACCGGGGTTTACTGCGTAGGTGGTGGTAAGGGGGCCAAACTCGCTGGGGTCTGCCATTCGCGCGGCGGCAAGGTCAAACGTACCGGGGTTTGCTGTGTGGGTGGCGGCAGAGGGGGGCCTAACGCGCTGCGATTTGCTTTGCGCGCGGTGGTATGGGCAAACGCGTTGGGGCTTGCTGTTCGGGTGGTGGTAGAAGTGCATTTTTGCTACGGTGTGTTATGCGCGCGGTGGTAGCGGCAAACGCACAGATGTTTGTTGAACGTGCCAGGATTGCCGCGCGCGGGGTGGTAGGGGCAAACGTACCGGACTTTGCGATGTAGGCGGTGACGAGGTGGCGCTAGGACGGCAAACTCACAGGGGGACAGGGGGTTGTTTAACCGGCCGAGATTGCCGCGCGCGGCGTGGTCGGGGCAAACGTACGGGGTTTGCGGTGTAGGCGGCCAGGCGGTGGTGAGGGGCAGACGTGCCGTTTGTCGTTGCTGCACGCGGTGGTAGAGCAAACGTGCTGGGGTTTGTTGCGTAGGCTGTGGAAATGAGGCAGAGGTGTTGGGGTTTGCTGGGCGCGCGGTGGCCGGGCATACGTACCGGGTTTGCTGTGTGGGTGGTGGCAGAGGGGGGCCCAACGCGCTGCGATTTGCTTTGCGCGCGGTGGTAGGGGCAAACGCGTTGGGGCTTGCTGTGCAGATGGTGGTAGGGCGGCAAACGCACAGGGGGTCGTTCAACGCGCCGGGATTGCCGCGCGCGGGGTGGTCGGGGTTAACTTACCGGGGTTTGCAGTGTAGGCGGTGGTGATGGGCAGACGTGCCGTTTTTCGTTTCTGCGCGCGGTGGTGGAGCAAACGTGCTGGTGCTTGCTGCGTAGGCTGTGGTAACGAAGCACAGGTCAGCACGCAATTGGCCATATAGAGACGTACACCACGCACAGACCAGATTCATACCATACATCCCCCCGCCCGTCCCCCCCAGAACACATCCCGCACGCCCACCGTACACTCCCCCGCCCATCGCTCCCAGAACGCACCCCGCACGCTCACCGCACATCCACCCGCCCGTCCCCCTCAGAGCACACCCCGCACGCCGTACACCCCCCGTCCCGCCCGCCCAGCGCACACCCTGCACGCACAGCCGCACGCACGCGCACAGCCGCACACAGGCACACACACACACACACAGACACACAGGCACGCGCACACACGCACACACACACATGTGCACAGGCCACGCGCAACACCTGACCAAAGCAAGCGCAGGCAACCACTAAACGTAAGCTACCAATGGCAACCATCTGGGCAGGCAGGGGATCCCAGCGATTGCACCCCATGCGCACGCACGCGTGTTGGGTGCAACTCCATGCGCGCGCGCGCGCACGCAAGCTCAGAGAAGCGGCGCTTCCCGTTCTTGTCCGTAAAGGTTCCCCCCACAACGGCCGTTTCGCTCGAGACATCCTCGAACGAGTGAGATCTTCATGGACGTTGTTTAAGATGCTTTATGAGGCGCCCGCTCGAGACACCTTCAGAACAATGAGATCTCCAGGGATCTTGCGAACTCGTCCAAATCTTGAACATCAGGCTCTCGCCTGAGACATTCTCGAAAACATGGGAAGGTGGACGAGCTGCTTCAAGACGTCTTCTGTTCAAAATGGAGCTCTCGCTCTAGACACCCGAGGCAGGAGGAACAGGCACGGAAAACCCAGACAAACTAATAAAACGCAAGTTCAGAGAAGCGGCGCTTCCCGCTCTTGGAATGGAAAGGTTCCCTCTCAGGAGCTTCTTGGGGCCGTCTTTGGAGATGGATGGCGGAGGAGTCGCCATGGGTTCGCCATCTACCAGGATGGGGGTGGTGTGTCGCCACCAAGACAAAAAGGCAGCGCGGCAACTACTTTACTGTGTATACACCGTCGGGCTGCCGACGACGACGACGCTGACGTGGGCCAGAGTCCTCAAGGATGCTTCTTGGGGTCTGGTCGAAACGCTCTCGGGGGTCCCGGGGGACAATGTAGGTGACTCTTGGGGGCCTCTTGGGGGCCTGCTGGGGCTTCCCGGGGGCCTCTCAGGAGCATTTTGGGGTCTCCTCGGGGCTTCTTTGGGGTTTGGGGGGCCTCTTGGTTTCTCCTGGTAGCACTCGGGGCGGAAGGCTCGAAATGTTCGCTGTGGTCCGTCGTCTCGGCACAGCATTGGAGTCATCTTGGGGGCCCTTGGGGCCCCATGAAGGCGTCTCGGGCCGTCTTGGTACCCCCATGGGCTGTCTCCGGGCCGCTCGTGGAGACCTCTGGGGGCTGTCTTGGGGCGATCTGGGAGGCCGCTTAGCCCGTCTTGAAGCGTCTGGAAGCAAGGGAGGCGAGAACGCCGAAATACATCAAAACACAGGAAATGCACGATGTTCTTGAAGCACTCTTGGGCCTGCTCCTGGAGGCCTCTTTGAGCGTCTTGCAGGATTCTTGGGCCGTCTGGAGGCCGTCCAGGCGTCTTGGGCAGATCGTTCGGCGATTCAGGGCCCTCGTGGACTGTCTTTGGTAGCTTTTGGGGCAGTTTTGGCCCGTCTTGAGATTTTTCTGCGGCCCGGGAGACCCCGGACGGGAAGCGTATCTGACGCGGGCCCCCCCCCCCCCCCCGACGGGGGAGGGGTCAAAGGGAAGGGGCTTCCCTTCGAGTGTATGACGACGTTGCTCAATGTCGCCTGGGCTGACGCGCTTGAGGCGGAGAGCCCAGGAAAGGAGAGAGGAGCGACGAGACGACAGAGACGACGGAACGAATGACGGCGACGACGGCTCGAACGGAGAGGCCCTTCACACACGCCGACAGGGCCGGCGGATTTTCCAGCGCGGTAAGGCGAAGGACGATCGACAAAGACGACGAGGTCGACGAGGGGGAGAGGGGGAAGGGGGGCCAGACGGAGCGACGCCCCGCGCGACCCAGCGCCGCCTCAGTCTGTCAGGAGGGAAAAAAAAACACACAGACACAATTAATCGTCGATTCCCCAGAAAATATACGGAAATATGGGAAGTGGGGGGGAAGACAGAAACCCAGAAAATATGGGGAATCTTTTTATTTGTGTGTATTTATTTGTGTGTCCCAGGGCCCCTTCAGTCTGGGGGGACCACAGCTGTGTGCACACAGCCGTGTTCCACGCGGCCCGCATGTGGCGACCATGCCTCGCTCCTGCTCGGGGCAGCTGCCCGTGCGCTCGGCGCGCCAGGAGGAGCTCAGGCGCGTGAAGAAGGTCATGACGCAGCGGCGGCTGGAAGAGGCGGAGCGCGCGCGCGGGCGCCCGGGCCGGTCGTGCAGCAGTCGTGCCAGCCAGCGCCCGGGACAGGAATCGGTAGCAGCCAGCGCGTGGGGCAGGACTCGGTAGATTGCTGCTGTGCTTCGGCGCGGGCGCACTGGGCGTCGCGCATGGGCGAGGCACCTGCAACGACCCGCAATCTTGTGTCGTCTGCGAACCTGGTGCTCTTTCATGTCTTGTCCAACCTGCAGTCGTTTGCGCACGCGGTCCCATGCGCGACCCCTCCTGTCGAAGACGCTTGTCGGGAGGCCGACGCCGCCCCAATCTGGCGGGAAAAGCACGCGAAGGGCACATGCGCCGCAGTTTTTGTCAGTGATGTCGGCCTCTCGGGGACATGATGGGCAGCCTCCGTGGGGCCTCTGGAGCCGTCTTGGTCGCCACTTGGGGCCCCAGCCCGGGAGGATCAGAGACGGCCCAAGCGTCGGCTGCGTCTAAGAGTGACCCTTCGCCAGAGTGACCCTTGGTGCTGGCCCAATGGGGGTCGGACAATTTCCACTTGGGACTGAGCTCGGCCTCGCGTCGGCGCACGCGGCGTGGGGTTGCGCTCGGATCGTAGTGCGCCAGGGTTGGGCCCCTCCTCGCATTCGACCGCAGTTGCGCGGTGCATTCTATAGCATGCGTTGTTTTTCTGAGAGGGGTCCTGGCCGGCAGACTCGAACAATCTTGAAAAATCTCGAACCCTTTCTGAGTAGGTTCGAATGGGTAGGTGGTTGAGACGTCAACGCGATACGGCCCAGCAGTGCCAGACCTCGTCGTGGTGGCGCCCCTCGCGGCGCCCGCTGCCTTGCAGCGCCTTCGAGGTGCCACCCGGGGCGCTCGAAGGGAACCGGCAGACTTCTGCAGCTGCCCGCTGGCGCGAAGGATCTTGTGAGTCAGGAGGGGAAAAAACACACAGACACAATTAATCGTCGATTCCCAGGAAAATATGGGAAAATATGGGAAGTGGGGGGGGGAAGTCAAAAAAAACCCAAAAATATGAAAATATGGGGGATCTTTTTATTTGTGTGTATTTTTTTTTGTGTGTCCTGGGGCCCCTTTAGTGAGGCGCGTCCCGCCGATCGTTTTGATGCGGTGCGGCAGCGGCGGCTCGTGCAGTTGCGTGTGGGGCGCCCACGGGCGCCCAGAAAAAGCCGCGCACCACGGAGCACTCTTCTGCCCGGGGGGGTCACTCCTTGCGTGCGGCCAGCTTGGGCCCGTCTCGGATCCTCCTGCGGGTTGCCTGGGGAGCCGAGCTCAGGGCTCGTTTCGACTCCTCCGATTCGATTCGATTCGATTTCGATGGCTTCCGATTCCGATTCGATTCGACTTGGGATTCCGATTTGGGTTCTTGTTTCTTATTGGAGGCATACTAGCCTGCCGATTTCTGCCGATTCGACTTTTCCCGACTCGGCTGCCGATTTCCGCCGATCCGACTCATGTCGACTTCCGATCCGACTTCTCGATTCGATGTTGGACTCTCCTGCGAGCTGGAGCCACGGAGGACCCTGGAGGCGCCTCGGAGGGCGAGAGGGCGAAACACGTGGAAGTGCGCTTTCATGTCGACGCCTCTGGCTCACGGCCCCTCGCCTTGGCGGCAGAGGGCCTGCGGAGAGGCTCGGAGAGGCAGACCCGGCAGGTTGACCTGGCGCTCTGCACGCCCACGGCCCACTCCTCTCGACAGAGAGAAAGCGGCATGAACAGAAACTTTCCGAGGTCCGCTCGGATTTCTTGGATCTGCGCTGGGCACCCCTGGCAGCGCCTCCGACGCCGCCCCTGGCGGGCTCTGCGCGCCAAGGTGGGAGGTGCCAGCGCCGATCCAAGAACTCCGCTGCGGACCTCCAACATGTTCTTCTTACGCACTTGTTCGTTTTCTCACGCTCTTTAGGACAGTCTTGGCGACCATCTGGGCTTCTGCGGGACCCTGCGTCTTCCCAGGGGCATCTTGGGGGTCCGTGGGGCTGCCCGTGATCCTGCTGTTCGCTTGCTGTGGTCCGCCACAGGCATCAGTGTACCATGCAGCCATGCGGTATCAGGAGTCCCTGTCGCCCGTTGGCACGAGATCGAGTTTCCTCTCCCAACAGTGTGTCTGCTCACCACTGCCACCATGATGACACTACGCTCGCTCGCCGCTGTTTGCGTCTGCGTGCCAGCCACGAGGCATCCGAGGCTTCGATGGACACAGGGGCGCCGAGATCTCCGGATCGCTGCCCTTGTCGCACAATGCGTGGCCCGTCTTCTTTATCTGGTTCCAAAGACTCTGAATTCAACTGAGTTGGCATCTTTTTGGGGCGCACGTTTGACGTCCGCCGCATTCGACAGTCGTCCTCAAGCGGAGCTGCCCTGGTTTTATGTCCGCTTCCCACACATATCCCGACATATGCCGACATTTTCCTGTAGTGTATGTGGTTTCCCATGCCGCTCCACAGGGGCACTGCAAGAAGTATTCCGTGACACAGCCTGTCTGGATCACATCAGGCATACAGGTTCTCTTCGAAGACTGGTTGCGCGGCCTTGTGCCGCCTTGCGCCGACGAAGAGATGCCGTCCTAACCCCCACCCCTCACCTCCCAGAGCGTTTTTTCACTCCCTGGCGATCTGGCGGTCAAGGGCGTGACCAGGGGGGGGGGGATGGGGCCGGTCACGTCACGATTAGCACCGGCGCCGCCTGGGTCACGATTCGTACCGGCGCCGCCTGTGAATGCTTAGGAACTGCGCAGTCGCACAGGGCGCCGGCGGGAATCGTAACGTGACCAGGGGGAGGGGAGGGGGGGAGGGGTAGGTGGGGCCAGTCACAAGCGTTATCGCGAGTAATAGACAAAGATGCGCTCCTTTCTGCCACTGCCCGCTCATGCCAGGGGGGAGGGCGGGCTGCGAGGGCAGCAGATCTGTGCGCAGCTTGCGCCCACGGCCGCGCGACGCGTCAGGGCGAGAGGCTGCGGAAGGAACTGATGGAGTACGTGACCGGCTTTCGCCGCTTTTCTTCGCTTGCTTCAGGGCCACGTGGAAAGCCACAATTCTGAAGCTGCTCTTGGTGTTCGCTTGTTGATCTGCATCTTCGGGGGGCACGGCGTGCCCCGGGAATTGCGTTTTTACTTGTACCCGATGCGGGTTCATGGTCCCCAGTGCGGGCTCGACGCGGATTCAACACGGGATCGAGGCGGATTCGGCGCGGATATTTGCGCGATTGGACAGACACGGTCCCCCGCAAATGTAACAAGGTTCGTGTCCCGGGGTGTGTTTCCTGGACCCCGCGCTGGGTAGTAGCGCCTTGGACAGCTTTCGGAGCAGCCCTCGGCGCAGCCCTCGGCGCAGCAACGACGGGGCGCGGAGCCAGGGCGCAGGGCGCATTCTGGGCCGAGTCCGCTCTGTCGATTCTCCTTCCCATTGAACGCGCAATCATCAGCACACACACACACACACACGCACACATATCAGCCACGCGCAGAAGGGGTTAGGGGGAGAGGGGAAGGCTTCTCAGAAGGCGCGGGCCTTATCTACAGATGTAACGCTGGTGCCTTCTAAGAAGCAGCCTCCTTCTGATGAGCTTTCCCCCCTCCCCTACCCCATTGAGCGTGCCGCCGAACATGAGGCTCGCGGAAGTCCGCGCACGCATCTCTTGGGTCGGCGCTGCGATGGACCCTCCTGTTGGCGCCTCTGGCGCCGCCCCTGGACGCGCTCCGTGCGCCCGGGTGGGGGGGGTCCCGCGCCGAGGCCCCAGAGATCCGCCGGGGCCTCTGAGAGTTGATGCTTGTGTTATCTGGGTCTCTGCACCAGTCCTCCCTCCTGTCCTTCGCGGCCGCTTCCCCTCTTCGCGCGCCCCCCCCACCCGTGCTGCGGGACAGTCAGTTTGTCGAGCGCCCCCGACAACTCGAGCGCCCGTGCGGATTGCCTTTGCCGTACCGCAGTATCGTTTAACCGACCCTTCCTCCCATCCCCATCCCCATGCAGACTCCCGCCATCTCACCACTCCTGTTGGGGATCTACTCCTGGAAACCAAAACGGAGCAGCCTACATTCCCATCTAGGGGGGTGAACCGGTCAGTGGGGCCCAGGCCACGCCCATGAGGATATGGGTCGGTTAGACGATGCTCATATTTGCATCTTGCCAGGACCCCGCGATCCAGAGGCGGACAGGTGGCGGCCACGATCTCACCAAAGTAGAGTTCTGTATATCATGTGGCTCACACAATCCCTGCAGCTTATCGTCCCGGTGCTGCTGGACAGGGTGCGGCGCACAAGCGGCGCGACGTGGGGACCATCGGCAGGTCATTCATGTCCGCGTTGTGTCGTCTCCATAGATTGTTGCTGGTCTCCCAATCCCGCGGCAGGTGAAATTTATCGTAGCCATCTTGCCGGACAACTGGAAGGCCTGCCGCCGCCCCTGCGGATCGGTGCGGAAGCGCTCGCGGTGGAGGCGAGGGGGAGAGCTATACAGCAGGCGCGCAAAATGAGAAACTGGCCTGCTTGCAGGTAGCCGGCCGAAGTTCCTTATCCCAAGATGGTCTTCGGACCCACAGGTGCTCTGGGCACCTTCTCGGGCCCTCAGAGATCGACAAAGTGTGTGTGCTCAAGGTTTCTTGATACCATATGTTTTATCGTATGTGCCTTCTGTATCACAGCCGGCGCAGACGCGGATTGCAGTGAGTGGTTGTTCTGGGTTGTGATAGTACCAGAAGCAACAGCACCAGAAGAGGCAATATAGCCCGCCGCGGTTTCTTCTGATGCGGTGCGCTCCTGCTGCGAAGCACACGAGCGGCACCCCAAAGCTGGTGGAGGGCCAGTTGAAATATAGGAGGCTCTCCAAATAGGTCCCTGGACCCACCCCTCCCAGGGTCCATTCTGACCCGTTGTTCATAGCATCCGGCCCCTATCAGCCTACAAGGTGTGAGACCCCCAAAAAAGGTGACCGAAAACGTGCCGAAAATTGTAACCGAAAACGCAGTCCGCCCGAAACTGAACATCGCACCTGTTCGGAACCAAGCAGCTTGGTCACTCTCGGGCACGTTCGGGCAAATCCAGGCGCCGGTTTCAGCCACGCTCGGGCAGATGTTCATTCGGGTACAGCTTCGGCTATCACATTCCCCCGATGAAGACCAGGGCTGGACCTAAACGCTGTTTTGCTGGACTTCGGTTGTGCTTTGTTTTTCTTTTGGGCAGGGAGGTACTGGAAAACAGGTAGAGCAAAACGAAAAACAAAACGAAAACTAAACGAATGACAATGTTTAGGTCCAGTCCTGATGGAGACGAGGCCACGTGAGCGACGCAGCAAAAAACGGGCCGCGCTGGCCGCCCGCGTGAGCCGCGGCAGAAGATCGCCATGGCACCTCGCGCAAGACTCGGCCCTTCTCGTCGCTCACGTGCCCTTGTTCGAACCGGACCCGTTCTTGAATTCAAGAGGAAATGTTTTTGAATTCGCCGAACAGGGGCTCGATGTCCCATCCCGCGAAGGAATGTGCGGATTCGCTATTGGCGGCCTGTCGCCGATCTATCGGCGATGCATCGCCGACTCCAGGTCGATACTTTCCCCCTGAGCTGGTCCCGCCCTGACGCTGCCCCTCAGCTGACGGCTCGGCTGGTTCGCGCCATGTCGACGCGGCGGCGACCCCGCCGTGCACGGCCAAGGTTGAACGCCGCTGGTGGCCCAGAATCGGTCCACACGGGACGATCTAGCGATCGAAATGCCGCGGGTCGTTCAAGGCTGAACGGTCCACGCGGTGTCACGACACGAACTTGCCGTCTGTTGCGCTACTCGTGTCTGGCCTGCCGACCTTGGAGTACACCGGTTTTCAGTGCCTGGGGCCGCCTGCGCACTCCTCGTGGTGACGTCTTTTCTCGCCTGAGGTAAGCCTTTCCCCGCGTTCCCCCTGCGCCGCAGCCCTCTCCTTGTCCACTCCTCCAGTGTGCTCATACCCAGCGTGGCCCGCTGGCTATTCGACCGCGTTGGTGCTCGCCCTCCCCCCCGTGAGCCCCAAGCGTGTGTCGGATCGGTCCCTCGGTGTCGCTCTGCTCCCACGCTCCGCGGCCAGGTCTGGCTGTTCTTCCCAACCTGCTGGCTTCGGAGGTGGGCAGAGCCCTCACCCCACCAGGTCGATGAACGAATTGCTGTGTGTTCGGGGTTCTGAAGGAGGCATTGGGGCCGCCAGTCCCCTCCTGGTCAGCCTCCTCCTCCTCTCCATCCCCCTCCTCCTCATCCCCTCCATTCTGCCTCCTCCTCCTCCTCCTCCTCCTCCTCCTCCTCCACCCCTCCGCCTTTCTCGGCGGTCGCCTCCCTCCCCCGCTTCCTCATCCCCTCTCGTGTGCCTCTTCGTCTTGCCCTTCCACCCCCTCCGCCTCGCTGCCTCGGGGGCGGTGCAGTCAGGGCCGCCGGGCCTCGGCCTCGTGGGGCCAAAGGGGTGCTGCCCCCGGCTCGCGAGCGTCCCATAGAATTGCGCGGTCCGCACAGCTGCATGGCGCGCGTTGTCCATAGCCTCTCATGGCAGGAAGTGAGCACAGGTGCAAGCACGAGTTGCAGTTTCAGGTCGCATCCCATACATGCCATGCCGACTCCTATCGTACCCTTTCATCCGCCTGCCCCTCCCCCCCCCGACCCTGGGCCAAGGGCTACGCCACCCAGGGCCTGGACGGTCAGGAGTTCCCCCTGTCCCCAGAGCTGCAGCAGCAGCTGCGAGAGGCTAGCTGGCCTTTGTCCCCGTCGCCCTTCGTCGTCGCCGCCGTTGCCGCATCCTCCTCCGTCGTCGTCGTCGTCGTCGTCGTCCTCGTCGTCGTCGTCGTCGTCGTCGTCCTCCTCCTCCTCCCCAGAACCCCTCGCGTTGTGAAAGGAGGGTTCGGGACATTTTCCAGCTCTGGGGGGCTCTGCCAGGCCCCGTGGCCGTCAAGAAGTGCGTCGGGAGGAAGAACCGGGGTCCTGGGATGGGGCCGAGGCCTCAGTGGATCCACGCTGCGAGATAGGAGATCACGACGTCGAGGATCTGGGGTCTCCGTGTTCCCCATCCACCTCCTTTGCTTTCCTGCTCCGCTTCCATACCGCTGCGCTCCTCGTCCACCCCTTCCTCCTCCTCCTCCTTCCCCCCTCCTCCTGAGCCAAGAAGCGGCTGCTGCTGAACAAGGACGTGTCTACCTGACGCTGGTTTCAATCGCATGATGTTTTTGCTGGAAGCGTTGTCTTGCAATGTTTAAATTCGCGACCGCCTCGGCGTGCAGAGATTCACGAGGGAATGGGTGCGAGTTCCCGATTGTGCAGAGCTGCCCTCTGGAGAGATCCTGCACTGCGCAGGACACTCGAGGTCCTGGCGCCAAGGGCAGGCTGGCGCGCCCCTCGTGCGGCGGCCACGCGCCGTGGGAAGACATTCTACGGCGTTTCTGCGCGACGGAGTGACGCCGCAGCTGGTCGGCCACGCGCAGAGGGGGGTGGGGGGTGGGGGGGGGAGACTGCTCAAGAGGAGGCCGCTGCTTAGAAGGCGCGGCCCTTATCTACAGATGTAAGGCCGGCGCCCTTCTAAGAAGCAGCGTCCTTCTAAGACGCCTTCCACCCTCCCCCTACCCCCCTCTGCGCGCCGCCAAGCTGAACGGAGCTTGCCGCGGACCAGGCTGCCTGGTTCACCTTGGCGAGCCAGTACGCCACGCGGTGCTATGAGCGGGAATACCGCAGGCGCGCCCGCCCCCAGGGCCTCCTGCAGGAGCTGCTCCCCAGCTTTCCAGCCTCATCGTCCTTCCTCCTCATTCTCCTCATCCTCCTACATCCTCCCTCGTCGCTCGAGGGCACCTGGATCCTGGGTCTCTGACAGGATCGGTGGTGCGGCGCCGATCCAAGGGCTGGGGCAGACGAGGGCGGGGGGGGGGAGGGGAAAGGGGGAGGGAGTCGAACACCGTTGCACGCAGCTGGCTGCAAAGCCCCGCCGCCAGGCACACTCCCCGGTAAAGGAGAGAGCCTCTGGTGCCTTCCGGCGCCGGAAGCGGCAGCTGCATGCGGCTGATCTGCGATGCCCAGCATGGCACCAAAGGTGGCTCCAAGTTGGCCCCAGGAGGCGGCGGAGGACGGCATCGACGCAAAGGAGAGCCCCAGGCCACGCCACCCAGAGGGTGGAGTCTGAAAAGCGGACAGATTCTGGACCCTTCGAATTCTGGCATGCGCAAGCACCATACATTCGATCTTGTTTCGCAGCTGATTGCCCAGGAAATGGCACGACACAGTAATGTGGCGCAGACTCGCGTTTAACATAATAGAGCATTTCTAACTTGCACAAAGGACGCAAAACATTCACGGGTAGATTTCAATTCGAGATTCCTTCTGCGATTGCGATGAGTACAATCTTGTAACTATTGTTTTCCCGTCGGATGGGGGCACCAGGCAGTGTTGGTTGCCACTGGCGAATTATCCAGGCGTAGCGCCGGCATGATGAAAGATGGGAACATTGCAATTATGTTGGCGACGGGTGGTTCTGACCTGTCTTCTTGTGGAGGCTGCAGCATAGAAGCGGAGACCACAGCATAGCCAGAATGCACATCTACAGTGAAGCGGTTGCTGCATGCACGTCCTGGTGCCAAACGGCGCAAAGCGTCTGGAGGGCGGGACAGCAGATCGAGCCAGGGCCGTACTTTCGGTTTCGCCAACAGAAAAATAAAACATGCAGCTGACTATTCTCTCCTTTTGCTGTCCGTGCGCGGACAGGGGGGTGGCGCGAGGGGGCAGCCTTTTACGGTGGCGGGGTGTCTCTCAGAAGGCACGGGGGTACGTGGAAGCCGGCTTCCAACCTTGGCCCCGCCTATAGACCCCGCCAAATTCTCGGATGTCTCTCCCAGCGAGTGTGCCAGGGCTCTTCGCACTGACGTCGGCCACCGATACCACGACGACAATGGCTGCGACAGTGACGACGTTCATCTTGCCCAGAGAGATACATGCACCAACCAACCTTCTTCTAGGGGCGGGGTGTCTCATACCAGCTCCAGGGAGAAACATCCAGTGCAGCAGTGAACTCTTTGTGCGCCCCGCGCCAACATGGCCGTCATGCGGGCGAACGCGCCCGCGGGCAGCTCGCCAACTTGAGGGAAGTGCGAGGAGGTCTCGGCAGAGAGCGCCGACCAGGGCGTCTCGGAGTATACTGTGATGAAGTATTGAGCGGGAGCTGTTGTCCTCGAGTTGGGCCTCCAACGATTTCCTTCGTTTGTGAGGACGTCTCGAGCGAGAGCGCCGTTCCTGAGGCCTGGGCAGGGCGTCTCTGAGTAAACCGTTAGTAAGTATCGGGCGGGAGCCGCTGTCGTCGCGTGAGGGTCTCCAAGATATTGATTGAATTGCGAGAAAGTCTCGGGCGAGAGCGTCATTCCTGGGTTTCCCCTCTGGCCAGGGCGTCTCAGAGTTAATTCTTGCTGGGAAGTACGAGCGGGGGCCGTTGTCGCAGTTGGACCTCTATCAAATGCATTGACTTGTGAGGGAGTCTTGAGCGAGAGCCTTACCTGAGGTTGGGGGTCTCTCTGGCCAGGGCGTCTCGGAGTAACTTGTGAGGAAATATCGAGCGGGAGCCGCTGTCGTCGTAGTTGGGCCCCCAACATCTTGGCTGGATTGCGAGTCTGGCCAAGGTGTCTGGGAGTAAATTGTGAGAAATGATCGAGCAGGAGTCGTTGTCGGTGTGGTAATCGGGCCTCCAATGTGTTGGTTGAACTCGGGCGAGAGCGCCCGTCCTGAGTTTTAGGCCCCCTTTGGCCAGGGCGTCTCGGCGCAATGTGTTGTTAGGACTCATCGAGCGGGATTCATTGTCGTCGCAGTTGGGCCTCCAACAACACACGTTGGTCAACAAGCCCGCGCTCGAGCGGGAGCATCGGTTCCAAAGAAAATGCAGCGGGCGTCGAGGCCAGAACAACCGGAACCGATTCCAGAGAACAGCATCATTGAGTTTCTACAAAGTGTATCTAACAACGACGGCGCGACCACGGCGAACACGATCAATGAGGAGGAAGAGGAGGAGCAGGAGGAGGAGGAGGAGGAGGAGGAGGAGGACCGGCGCACGGGCGCGGCGGCGCGCTGCGGTGAGGGGCTGCCCAAGCGGGCGCGAGAGGCCGCGGTCGCGGCCGGTAGTCGAGGGATTTGAATTGGAGCACGCACCTGGAGGAGGAGGAGGAGGAGGAATGAGAGGAAGAGGGGGATGGGGAGGAGGAGGAGGAGGAGGAGGAGGAGGAGGAGGAGGAGGAGCATGAGGAGGGGGAGAAAGAGGAATGGAGGGGGGGAGGAGGAGGAGGAGGATGAGGAGGAGAGGAGGAGTGAGGAGGAGGAGGAGAGGAGAGGAGGAGGAGGAGGAGGAGGAGGAGGAGGAGGAGGAGGAGGAGAGAGGAGGAGGAGAGGAGGAATAGGAGGAGGAGGAGGAGGGAGGAGGAGGAGGAGGAGGAGGAGGAGGAGGAGGAGGAGGAGGAGGAGGTAGGAGAGTAGGAGTAGGGTAGGAGTAGGAGTAGGAGGAGTAGTAGGAGTAGGAGGAGTAGGAGTAGGAGTAGGAGTAGGAGTAGGAGTAGGAGTAGAGTAGAGTAGAGGAGGAGGAGGAGGAGGAGGAGGAGGAGGAGGAAGGAGGAGGAGGAGGAGGAGGAGGAGAGAGAGGTTTGGACGCAGGTCCTGGGATGTTAAATTCAGCATCGGCGCCAGCGTGTCAGTGGTCGAGAAGTTGCCCCATCCGGCATGATCCGTGCGAATATCCGAGTCCTTGTCGGCTTCATCCAGGTCTGAATCCAAACACCCCCGGCTCAATGGCCCCTTAATCGGGCTCGTCGTTCTTACGAGGACCTCCCAAGAGTTGCTAAAGGGTGGAGCGTGCTGTATCGCAACTGTTTGGACCGCCACTCGGCGCAGGCTCAGTCGCTGGCAGAGCCACGGAGCTCTGCGGCACATCCTGCTGGAGCGCTCGCCATAGCCATCGCCGGTGACATGCACCCCGCACTGGCCCCGCGTCGAGCACGGGGGGGCCGATCGCCTGCGTCCCAGACGTCCGACGGGTTGTTTTTTGTTCGCTCGTGGAGTGTTTCTCTTTGTGTTCGGGACTCGCGGGGGGGGGGGGACAGCGCTGTCGGGCCCCAGGCAATCCAGAAGGGAAGGATGCTTGTCCCTGTGGAAGAGGCTGGGACCTCCATGTTAGGATGCAGCTCCTGACGTCAAATTCAGCATCGTCGCTGGTATGCGCATGCGCAAAATTAGCCTGGCGAAGGACCCCACCATATGCAGTTGTGAATACCGCAATTACGAATGTCATCTTCGCCCGCGCTCCCCATGGGACCACGAACCGTGTGAGGGGCGTGCCGACATGCGTGGCGGGGCACACAACGCGAGCGAAAACGATAGGTCTGTGTGCGAGAAACTGACAGCGAGTGAGTCTGACTGTGGATGAGTCTGCACGCGCGTGAGTCTACGTGCATAAATGTCGACGCCCATGTCGGCGCGCCTCTCACGAGGATCGCGCCCGCGTCCTTCCCGTTCTTCTTCTCCCTCTTTGCCCGTGCGCGCCCGCGTCCAAGGCTGCGGGCGTGACGCCGCACGGAGTCCCCGCGACGCGCGCCGGTCGCCCCGAAAGGGTCCCGGCGACGGGTCGCGGGTCGTCCGCTGCGCGGAGCAGAGAGAGCGAGCAGGAGCAGGCTGGCTCCCGCCCGGGATGCGCGGCCCGAAAGGGGCATCAACACGTCGAATACGACAAAAAACTTCCGAATATCGAAAGTCGCCACCATGCGAACTCCGCCGCTGGGCCGCCATGCCAGTTCCGCCACGGAGACCTTAGGTGGAGCTCCTTGTGGGGGCACGAAACGTTGTACTGGGTGGTGGATGACGCACGCGGGCGGTCCCAGTGGGGCCTTCGGTGGAGCCTCCTGTGGGGCCACGAAACGCTGTACTGGGCGGTAGATGACGCACGCGGGCGGTCCCACTGGAGCTTTCGGTGTAGCTCCCTATGGGGCCACAAAATGCCGTACTGGGTGGTGGATGACGCATGCGGGCGGTCCCGTTGGAACCTTCGGTGGAGCTCCCTATGGGGCCACGAAACGTTGTAGTGGGTGGTGGATGACGCATGTGGGCGGTCCCATTGGGGCCTTCGGTGGAGCCCCCTTGTGGGGCCACGAAGCGTTGTATTGGGTGGTGGGTGACGCATGCGGGTGGTCCCACTGGGGCCTTCGGTGGAGCTCTTCTGGGGCCACGAAATGCTATACTGGGTGTGGGTGACGCATGCTGGCGGTCCCACTGGAGCCTTCGGCGCAGCTCCCTATGGGGCCACGAAGCGCTATACTGGGTGGTGGGTGACGCATGCGGGCGGTCCCACTGGGGCCTTCGGTGGGGCCCTCTCTGGAACCGCGAAATGCTGCACTGGGTGGTGGACGACGCATGCGGGCGGTCCCACTGGAGCTGTCGGTGGAGCTCCCTATGGGGCCACGAAGCGCTGCGCTGGGTGGTGGATGACGCATGCGGGCGGTCCTACTGGAATCTTTCGGTGGAGCTCCCCATGGGGCCACAAAGCGGTGTGCTGGGTGGTGGGTGACGCATGCGGGCGGTCCCACTGGGGCCTTCGGTGGAGGTACCTATGGGGTCACGAACCGCTGTAGTGCGTGGTGGATGACGCATGCGGGCGGTCCCGCTGGAGCCTTCGGCGGAGCTCCCTATGGGGCCACGAAGCGCTGTACTGGGTGGTGGATGACGCATGTGGGCGGTCCCACCGGGGCCTTCGGTAGAGCCCTCTATGGGGCCACGAAGCGTTGTACTGAGAGGTGGGTGACGCATGCGGGCGGTCCCGGTGGAGCCTTCGGCGGAGGTCCCTATGGGGCCACGGAGCGCTGTACTGGGTGGTGGATGACGCATGCGGGCGGTCCCATTGGAGCCTTCGGTGGAGCTCCCTATGGAACCACGAAGTGCTTTACTGGCTGGTGGATGACGCATGCGGGCGGTCCCACTGGAGCCGTCGGTGGAGCTCCCTATGGGGCCACGAAGCGCTGTGCTGGGTGGTGGATGACGCATGCCCACTGAAGCCTTCGGTGGAGCCACCTATGGGGCCACGAAGCGCTGTACTGGGTGGTGGATGACGCATGCGGTCGGTCCCACTGCAGCCTTCGCTGCAGCTCCCTATGGGGCCACGAAACGTGTGAGGGGTATGCTAAAGTGAGGGGGGTAACGGGCGGAGAGAGGAGGGAGGGGAGGAGGAAGAGGAGGAGGAGGAGGAGGGACGCGGGGCGCTGTCTGTTCAAAACGAGGACCCAACACCACAGGATGGTTGGGAAAAAGAATCCGATGACTTCCGTTGAGTTCGGCCTGGTCGAGCTTAGTCTTGTGCTGGTCGAGCTTAGCCTTGTGCTCGATCTGGCCACATCTGGGGACAAAATAGCCTCCGAATCGGACTTAGTTTAGCCCTTCGTCATTTGGACGAAGTCCTTCCTCCCAGGAGTTGCCTTCTAATCCTGGGGGCCGCTGATTGAACGAACACATTGTCGGATGTCTCTTGGGTCAGTATCGTTTAAGCGATCCCCTTTGGCCACTGTATCTCAGCCCCACTATCCCACCACCCCAGTTGAGGATAGTCCCTTCGAAATTCTAAGCTGGCAGCCACATCTAGGGGGGTAAATCGGCCAGTGAGGCCCAGGCCACAGAAGTGGGGATGCAGATCGGTTAAATAATGTTCATTGAACCTCGCGGCGTTGCGCTGCACCTCTCGCCCTGCTCGCGCGCCCCCAGGCGTGCGGCAGGCAGCCGGGCGACGGTCCGAAGGCGGCGATCCGGGGAGGGGTTGCAAGTCCGAGGCTGGAGTTCGCACGTATCCACTAAACGTGCTCGCATCGTGGACAAAATCACGACGGGAGGTTTCAGGCAGTTTTTTGCTTCTGGGTGCCCCAGGACCGTCAAAAAATGATTCGGGGTAAAGACTAATCTTGGAGAAAGGGTTGGGAAATCTTAGGGCCGCATATTGCAAAATGAAGACGTCGCATGTCTTGGAACTGATGTCCCATGATCCCAGGAGGCGATGGATACCTTTGGGCCTTCCTGGGGCCGAGAGCTTCGATTTCGAATATCATTAGTTACACCAGAGAGAAAACTCAATCAGTGGATGGTTTGAACACTACTGATACGGATATTGAGATCGATGGTGAGATCAATAGTGAGATCGATCGTGGAATCTATAGCGAGGACGATAATATGGTCGATCGTGGGACCGATAGCGAAGTCGCTTCAGTGAGATCGATGATGACATCGATCGTGTGACCGCTCGTGCGATCTATAGTGAGATAGATATGCAGATCGTGAGATCGATAGTGAGATCGATTGTGATCATATCGATCGTGAGATCGATAGAGATATGGGTAATGAGATCCATGGTGTGACCGATAGATGAGGAGACCCGGAAACCCGGGAACCCCCGCAACCCACCGAAATCTTCCCGGAACCAGCAACCTGGAACCCGGAACCGGGAACCCGGGAACTTGGCCGCCCACCGAAATCGGCCCAGCAATCCCGCCAAATCTTTCAATATCCGCTAGGACCCCTTCAGTCCAAGCACTGATTGGAGAATGTCCCCTGGGCTTCTGGGGCACAGGTTCCCCAGGCGACGGTGGATAAGGATGAATTGCAGGCTCGAGCCAAGTGAGTCCCGGATGCGTCTCGAAAAGATCGAGACGGCATGCTTTCGGATAACCTCATGCCCGTGAGAATAAACACTAGGGGATAATAAAGTTCGGGGTTCAGGGAGAGATAATAAAAGTAGCCCAGCAGACCTCAGCATAATCTCGAAGTAAGAGATGATCAAGAGGAGACCAAGCCGAGCACGTTTTGAGACATCCTTGGCGTTTAGTTTTCATAGAAATATCCTCAACAATGGCTTATCTCTCATGAAAATTGTTTTTTGTAAGTGCTCGTGTAGGGTAGCTCATGTGCCTCAATTTCCATGGATAATCAACCCCAGAGATAAAAAAGTTCAGGCGAGCGTGGGGACAGAGAGAAATATAAAAGAAGAAGAATACAGTAGAAGAATAATAAGAAAGAAGAAGAAGAGGATAATATGAAGAGGACGAAGAATGGAAAAATCCAAAGTTCCAAATCTATCAATTTTCATTTACAAACGCTTTATGAAAATTGATTTTTAAGTGCTCGTGTAGGGTAGCTCATGTGCTTCATTTTCCATGGATAATCAACCCCAGGGAAAAACAAAGTTCAGGCGAGCGTGAGGACAGATAGAAATATAAAAGAAGAAGAGGAAAGTAGAAGAATAATAAGAACATTGCTCGTTTCGTTTGAGTCTGCCTCCCAAAATTATTGGTTTCGCTTGACACATCCTGAAAAAGTGTGATCGCTTCGCTTGATGTTGCTATATCAACATCGCTTGATGTTGCTATCTCAACATAGCGTTTCGAGGTGATAATGAAGTTCGGCCTCAGCGCTCGCCGCCCAATTTGAATTTTGTATAGGGCGACGATAATCAACTCTAAACACTGAAGGGGGGGGGGTCCCTTTATTATCATCGGCATGCGGTTATTCTGGGAAGCCGTTTTCGGGCCCAAGCGCAGTGAAACTGATACTCTGGATGGAAATCAATGGGAATCTAGCCCCTGGGACGGGGGCAAGAGGCATGTGGGCCCATGCTTCGAACAAATTGAGCCGCCAGACGTCTGAGCCTCGCTCTTCAGCCATACTCTTTCTATTCCCGGACCTTCAGAAGGTGAGCACCTTGACGCATCTTCTTGTGTGGACACGGGATTTCGGATTACCTATTCCGTGATGAAGCACCTCAGCACCTGCAGCGAAGTTTCTTTTGACATTTGTTTGTTTTATCTCGGAGTGTTTTTTGTCAGCTGTCAGATAACGGCGTCGCCACAGCGGCTGGACCTGGTTTCAAGCGCAGGTCAGGACATGCTACTGTGTCCTAGTCTCTGTGGCCTCTAGATTCTCACTGCTATGGGCCGAAATGAACAGGTGTAGTTAATCAATACACGGGTCACGCCTGTTTTCACGAAGCGCCGTTGGTCGTTTAACGCCAGATGGGAGATCATTGCAGAATTGAATGTATGCGATGCATCGGCGCCAGCGGGTTCGTTTTTTTTCCACGCGCAGGGTAATTTGCTCTGGGATCTGACCATGTGCAAGCGGCAAGCTGCTTCCTCGATCTAACCTTCAAAAGTCCCCCCGACGTAGCCTGCACCGTCTGGATCAGAGTCTGGTAAGCAGTTCAACGGGGCCCCAGAGCTGCGTGGTGAGAGAGCGCACCGTGGTTCCGAGCACTGTGCACTGAGGGTCGGTCGCCGTCAGGAACGATTCATGATGTTGTTGCTCCAGAGGTCCCAGCCGCATTGTTTCACAAGATTGCTTGCGGCGGGTCGGTTTGCGATGGTCTCGAGGCCAGACTCGTCCTGGTGAATCTCGGCCTTCGGGGGCCGTCGGAGCGTGGTGTCATTTAGAATCTGGCAAGTTCGCTTGCATGGCGTTCCCCCCCTCCCTCCGCCGCCATCTCAAACAGCGCTGGGCCGAAAAGGCGTGCAAGAGTATCCCGACTCGCGTGAACCTTTCTGGCCTCGCCCCCCCCTCCATGCAGGTAACCTTGGGAGCATGTAAAGAAACACTGCGCCGCTCGGAAAGAAGGACCACGTTGCAGTCAGGAGGCGCTCTGGTTTGCGGGCCGTTCCGTGAACGTTGGTCGCGGAATTTGTTCGTCGCCGAGGCTCACCGGGGCCAGAGAAGCCCCCTTCAGCCCTCTGATGCTGCCAGAGTCCAACGAACAACTTACCTCTTGCCGTGTCATCGAGGCGCTGCGGAGCCGAGGGCCAGCTCCTCCCTCCGATGATGGAAGCGCTGCTTCTCAAGAGCGACACGGCGACGTGCGCGCACACGGATGCATGCGGGCTTCGACGCGCGATGGTTCTCAGGGGCTACCTTTTGGGGGTGGGGAGACGACTCGAGGTTCGAGTCTCGAGGTTTTCAGGCGTCCTCGGCGGTTTTCCAAACTCGGGGTGCTCTCCAGCAGCTGCGCCTCGCCGAGAGCGTTCGAGGGGTGCCCGAGCCGTCCCGAACGGCCGCTGGAGGCCCGGCGGTCGAAGAGGGGGGTGGCGACTCAGGGGCAACGTTAGGGGGGGACAGGCTTCGGGGGGGACGCATCGACCGCCAATCGCCCACTGCTCGCAGATAGGGCCATCGCAGCCCACCCCGCCCAGGACCGTGCGGATTCGCCATCGAGGGCCACTCGCCAAGCTATCGGCGATGCTTCGCCGACATCAGGTCGACGTTGCCCTCTGAGCCAGTCCCCCCTCCGATCGATGCCCCTCAGAATCACGTCAAGAGGGCGGCCTCGCGACCTGAGGGAGCATGCTCATTCACGTGCATTTCTGCCCTGTTGGGCTCCCGACTGTCGTCCCAGGCATTCGGTGCTCCGACTTTTTCAGTGCGCGCTCCCCGGAAGTCCCGGCCCCTTCCCCGGCCGGGGCTGGCCCCTCCTCCCGAGTTGCTGCTCGACGGCCCCGCGGCCTGGCGAGGGCTCCGAGTGCCCGAAAACTGCCAAGAGCCGCCGCCCCGAAGCTTCCCCACGGCGCCAGCACCTCGGGTGCCACGTCGTCCGGGCGCCGCGGAAGCGGAGGCCCCTTCTGGGCCACGCCGCGGCCCCCAGCAGGGCCAGACAAGACCCCCCGAGGGCCGAACTCGACGGAAAAACGCGGGCTGATGTCGAAATCAAAGGACAAACACAGACAATCGAGGGAGAATTGAAAAAATGATATCATCGGCGTAGTGTCCATTTCGATCCGATCGAGCCGATTCGATGTCGATCCTGGCCGGCTCGATCGGATTCAATGCCGATGTGCCGAAGATCCGGCGCGGCCCGATGTCTGCATTGCGCTCTTGTGCATGCATACTGGCGCGGCAGGTCCGATTCGACGTCGACTCCGTGCCGATGCCGGCCGACTCGACGCACATTTCGATTCGACTCGATTTCCCGATTCGATTCTGACTGATCCCGATCGGATATTCTGAGAGCGCCGCGTCCTCGACGGGGCGCTCGCTGGCGGACGTCGATGCGTCCGACTCCCGCGCCCTCGCGAGGCCTGCCGGTGACCGGCGGCCTCGCGAGGGCGGCCTCTTTTTCGCGGCGGGAGCGGCGGCAGGTCCTCGCACGTGAGGGCCCCCGCGAGGACGCCCTCGACCCCCCGAGCCGGTGGGGTCACGCGAGGGGCGCCGCGTCCGGCGCCGCTCGCGACCAGAGGGCGGCGGCGACGTGGCGCGACGTCGTGTCGTCGAGGCGCCGCGAGGCAGAGGGCTGGGCGGGCCGCGCTCCCCCCCCCCCGCTGGCAGGGCCACGTGCATCCGCCGCACCCAGCCGGCGCCCCCGCGGAGCCGCTGCCGCCGCTGCGGGCCCCAAGGCGCGGGGGTGTCTCCGCCCCCGCGGCGCACGGGGAAATCTCAGTCGCAGGCGATGTCTCGCCCCCCAAGCTCAAATGGCGCCCTCGAGGGCGCGAAGTCCTCCGCGCTTCGCGGTTCGGCTCCGATTCCTCCTCATCCTCCTCTTCTCCCCTGCGGGGCGGCGCAAGAGCGCGAAGCTTTTCGCGCTTAGCACAGCGCGAAGTGCGAAGTTCGACGCCCTTGAGCCGCTTAGAAAAGGAGGGGAACTCGGGAATACACCCCAGGGGGCCCAATCGGACGCCACCCCATCGAGGATGGACGCCCCCCTGTCCTACATCCCCGTGTTGGGCCCAACATGTTTGGTCCATTCGAAAATCCACGAAGCCTGGAATAGGGATGGACATACCCCCTGTTACTCTGATCGGGACAACCACAAAGCCACACAGCCGAGATGCTGAACTGAGACGCGCTTGGAAGTTCCCATCGGTAAGCGCTGTCGCCGCCGCATCACTTGCGCCAGACCAGCTGACAGTCTGCATCCGCTTGCGCGCGCCAGCGCGCCGCAGAGGCGCGCCAGCCAGTGCCAAGCAGACGCCGCAATCGCGGCCGCATGAGTTTTTGTTAACAAGTTGCGGGTGGGAGGATGGGATGTTTGCGCGAGCAGTGGAGTTGGCAATTCATTCGCGTGGAGCTGGTCCTTTCTGAACAGGATATAGGTTCCCCCCACCCCACCCGCGGGATTGTTAGACCGCCCACTTCGGGTATGGCAAATTGCATGTGGTTATGCTTCCTCGCTCATTGACCACATGAGTTCATACCATCCCAGGCAGTGCCCTTATCGCCCCGCTCATCCTTGTCTGAGAATACTGTGCGCGCACTCGCCAATCGGAAAACATCATGTTGCAATAGTCCCTTTGCAGACAATGGCACAACGTCTAAACGCGCGCGCACGTGTCGAATTCACACCAAACACACCAATTGTGTAATATTGTAAACCGAACAGGTTGAAAGCTGCTTCCAGGTTTACCAGAATAGATGCTTCAGATCGTCTGCCCGCGCGCATTTGTGGAAATTATGTTTTAGCAATCTTGCGCAGAAGCCGCATGCTCGTCTCACCACGCGGTGCATCTGCGTTGATACAGCGTGCGCCCAGTGCACGAATCCGTATCAACTAGTATTGCGCGGGCCACGCGCGCGTCGCCACGCGCGCGCGCCGAAATCCTTACAAAACCACTTGTTGTTGAAGCGTTCCAAATCAGAGCTTTCGAAAACGTATGACAAAGAAAAATGTGTGGCAGCCAAAGCGTTGCCAGGGCTTTGGGACTTCTGCGCGCGCGCACCTCATCACCATCACCAGCATCAGCGCCGCCGCATCACGTCATCGTCATCGACAATCGCCGCAATTGCTGCCATCATTATTCAAGTACCATCATCACCGACATATGGACGTCATCATCGTTGGCCTCGCCGTCGTCATCGTCATCATCGCCGCCAATCATCATCTTTGCCGCAGTTGTCGACGTCATCCTGATACCGCGCCCGCCCAGATCACCGACCCGCATTGAAGCGCACGCGCGCAAGCGCGGCCATTGAGCCTCGCTGGGGGCTGCCAACAGTAAGTGTCATCGCGACCGTATTGGTTGTGCCAAACTGGTTGGCCGCTCTGCGCGCAAGTTTGCCCGCGCCACATGATGCCCCCCAGCAGCCCTCGAAAACGGCGACAGTTTTTCATTTCGCAGCCCCTCCCCAGGATGTCGACGATTACAGTGAATCTGCCGTCGGCACCCAGATGCTGCCCCCCCAGCAGCCTTCAAAAGTGGCGACATTTTCACAGATCGCAGCCCCCCGGGGAAATCAAGGTCTAAGTTGAACCGGCCGTTGGCACCCACCATGTTGTTTCCCCCAGCAGCGCTCGAACGGGGCGACACTTCGCAGTTCGCAGCCCCGCCCCCCCCCCAAGGAATTTCAATGTCTAATTTGAATATGCCGTCGGCATCCCTTATGCTGCCCTCCCCAGCAGCCCTGAAAAGCAGCGACGCTTTCGCAGATCGCAGCCCCCCCCTCAAGGAGCGCCGAGGTCTAATTTGAATTTGCCCTCTGCGCCCACCATGATGCCCTGCTGACCCGTCCTGACCCCACCGCAACCTTCGAATGTGGCGACAGCCTTGCACTTTGCAGCCCACCCCAGGGATGCCGAAGTCAAAGTTGAATCTGCCGTCGGTACCCATTATGCTCCCCCCCAGCAGCCCAGCAGCCTTCGAATGTGGCGACAGCTTCACCCCCCCCACGGAGCGTCGAGGTCTACTTTGAATTCGCCGTCGGCGCTCACTATGCTGTCCCTTCCAACTCCCTTCGAAAATGGCGACAGTTTCACACTTCGCAGCCCCCCCAAGGCAGTGTGAGGTTCCGTTAGGATCTGCGTAGGACACCACTATGCCAGCACCCCCAGCGATTCTCGAACATGGTTGCTGTTTCACACTTCGCGGCCCCCAACATTAATGGAAGCAGGCAGGTCTAGGCACGCGGGAGGGGGACAGAGGGCGGGAGGAGAAGGAAAAGAAGGGAATTGGCACCCCACTGCTCTATTCAAAACGAGAACCCAACCGAAAGGGTTTGGGATACTACCCTGAGACGTACCCAACCAATTTGCTTCAAGTGTCCAGAGGAGTCGGCCCAACCTTGCCAGGACAATGACAGTGCTGGCGCCTTTGTATGCTGTGCAAGCTACATGGGGCACGCTCACGCGGCACGATGCCCAGGACAACAACAGAAGGACGAGGAGAGATGGCCCAGGCTTTGGGAGGACATGGGGGCGGGAACGGAAGGCAGGACAAGGGCGCGGGGGGGGGCGAACCGTCAGCGCGGCAACAGCAGAGGGAAAGTGGCAGGGGGCAGAGGACGACGACGAAAGTGACGAGAGGAGACCGAAGCGTGTTGCTTTTGTCGGTAGTACGTTAAAAATGCAGCGCTGCGTGCGCCATGGCGCTGCGGCGCTCGACAAAGTGCTTGAACTTGCTTATCGTTAGTGCAAGAAGCGAGCGAGGCCTAGCTCGCCCGCCAGCTTCCCTGCGTCCTTCCTGCACTTCTCAGTGCGGGAGCTAAACATTCGAAGGCGCGCCGCCAGGTCTGCGGGCGCCCCGCGACAACGCCCCGCTGGACCCCCAGCACCCTTCGAAAACAGTGGCGACAGTTTTGCAGACCGCAGTCCCCCGGGGATGGCGAGGTCGAGTCTGAATATGGGAAGTGCCGCATTCCGCTGAACCCCCAGCAGTGCTTGAAATTGGCGTCCGTTTCGCAGATCGCACCCCCCCAGAGATGGCGAGGTCTAGTCTGGGTTTGGGTGGTGCCTCACTCCGTTGGGCTCCCCGGCAGCCCTCGAGAGCGGCGACCGTTTCGCAGATCGCCGCCCCCCCAAGGGATGGCGAAGTCGAATCCGAATCTGCGTAGGACGTCATTCGCTGGACCGCCAACAGCCCTTTAAAGTGCTGACAGCGTCGCAGATCCAAGCCCTCCTCCCCGGGATGGCGAGGTCTAATATGAATTTGCGGCGGGTACCCAGTGTGCTTGTCCCCCCAACAACCTTCGAAAGTTGCGAGTGGTTCGCAGATCGCAGCTCCCCAGGGGTGGCGAAGTCTAGTTTGAATGTGCGGCGGGTAACCACGATGCTGGTCCCCCCAGCAGCCCTCGAAAGTGGCGACATTTTCGCGGATCCCGGCCCGCCACCCAGGGATGGCCAGGTGTAATCTGCATTTGCGGCGGATACCCACTGCGCTGGTCCCCCCAGCACCTTTCGAAAGTTGCGACAGGCATGCCAGCTTCACACTTCGCAGGCCCCACAAGCAAACCACCAGGCGCACAGGAGAAGAGAGGAGAAAAAGAGGCGGGGAGGAAGAAGGAGGTGGAGGACGTAAACCGCATTGCTCGACCCAAAACGAGGACCCAACGCAAGAGGGTTGGGAAAAACATCGCGCTCTGTCCGCGAAAAGTACATATATTCAATGCGTGCGAAACGCCGAAGTTGTTGTACAGCCTCCACAGTGCATGGCTGAAAGCAGCGGAACTGGGCGCGTTCCAGCCACGGTGTTTTCGTAAGGTTTTCGGTATTTCACATTCTTACGTCGTCACGTGACACACTCTTCATCGTTTGGCCAGGCGAGGCAAAGCCGGCTGAACCATATCTGGCTGGAGCGACAACCCACATTGCTTGGCAAAATTGCCCGTTCGGGCGACGGCCACCCCGTGCGCGAATGTACTGTGAAACCCGAAGCGTGGAACTTCGAGATCCTCTGTCAGTCCGCCAGTGCGGCCGCTCCAGACAGGAGTGGGCGCGCGAGGTGTATAGACACGCTGTGCACGCATGCGCACAAACAAATATCAAGATTTCAGAGGTTGTTGCCATGCCGGCCAGCGTCTGGAAAAGCACGGCGCGAGTGTACAGCCGCTCTCGTCAGCTCCCTTCCATTGCTCATGCGCGCGCCACACAGCTGATACATATATATATATATAGATTGATTCATTCATCCGTCCTTTATTTCCCCAGCATCCAGAGTGACACTGTCCCCGGCCCCGCCCCGCACAGTCAGGGGTGACATGGGGGACCTGCTCTTCCTGGCTCCGTCTGGCTCCTCCCTCATCGCTCTTCGCTGTTTCAACCTAGCCCGTCGCGTTTACCGACAGCAAGGCGTGGCATGGGGAACAGCGTTTTCCGGGCTCATCCCTCGTCGCTCTTCTCTCCTTTCCCGTCGCTCTCCCCGACAGCATCGAATCACGATCTTGCCTGTTTCTGCGCCCTCCCAGGTCGTCTCTTCGTTATACTCCCTCCTCCTCCTCTTCCTCCTCCTCCTCCTCCTCCTTTATGTTCCTCCTCTCCTCTTCCTCTCCTCCTCCTCCTCCTCCTCCTTCTCCTCCTCCTCCTCCCTCCTCCTTGTCCGCCCTCTAATCCCCAACCTTCCCCTTATCCTCCTCCTCCTCTTCTCCATGTCCCCAGATCCAGAGTGGCAGGAAGGATGGAGGGAGGCAGGAGGAGGAGGAAGTGGAAGCAGGAGGAGGAGGAGGAGGAGAAGGAGGAGGGAAGTGTCGAGGTGGTACGTCCCCGTGCCGCCCCAGAGTGGCTTTCATCACCACGAGGCCCCCCGAAAGTACCCAAGCACCTGGCAGGAGGAGGCGCCCCGCTGGGCGACGGAGCGCAGCGCCCCCGTCGAGACCGCCGCCGCCGCCGCTCGCTGCCGCTCGCCGCCGCCGCCGCCGCCGCAACGCGCCCGGTCGTCCGCGGGAGCGCGCGCGCCGCCGGCCGCCCGGAGAGGCGGAGCTCACCGGGCGCCTCGCACGCCGCGCACCAGAAGTCGCCCTACGGCGCGCCCGCCTCTGCCTCTCTCGGCCACGCGCATAGGGGGGTATGTCACCAGCCTCGAACGTAGATCCCTATCCCTAAGATTGACACCCCAAAAGGCGATGACAATCTTAGGGATGCGCCCTGAAAAACTAAGGGAATCCCTAAGATTGGCATTGTGTTGAGGCGATGCCCAGCTTAGGGATAGGGATATGTTCCGGGCTGGTAAGTATGGGGGCGGGGGGAGGGCTTCTTAGAAGGAGGCCGGTTCTTAGAAGGCGCCGGCCTTCTCTATAGATGTAGGTCTAGCGCCTGTTAAGAAGCAGCCTTCCAAGTAGCCTTCCTCCCTCCCCATTCCCTTGTGCCCACCACCAATTCTCGCGTGCACGCCCGCGCCCCGCGTGGCCGACACGGTGGGAGTGCGCACAGTGGTGGGGAGCAGCGAGGTCGGACGCCAGCGCGTTCGGAAGGTTTGCGGGCCGCGCCTGAACTGCGGGTCGCTCAGCCGGTTCTGGCCCACCACGCTGCGGCGCGACACGCTCAGCCGCTCTGCGGGTGACGCAGAGATGGCTCACGGAACGATCGCAGCAGTGTGGGCGCGCGCGCGGTTTTGGGCGTCGGCGGTGCGCTGCGCCTCCTCTTCCCTTCCCTCTTCCCTAGACATGCTTGCGTCTTAAAGATTGTAACGGGAGGTTTTTGGCTCTTTTCGGCCTCCGGGGTCCCTCGCCGGGCCTGGGGACCGACAAAAAAACAAGACTACTCGGGATGAAACACTGGCCCTGGGGGAAGGGTCGGGACTTCCTAGGGGTCCGCATTGGAAAAATCGAGGCGTCGCATGTCGCATGCTTGGGCCTGCATCGGCCTCTCAACACGGAGTGGCGCGGTGTGGACCTCGTCGGGCCGCTCCTTGTTGCGGGTTTCTCGCTCGATCGCCGAGGCCGCCAGGCGGGCTGTTGAAGGCCCTGCACGGCGCAGAGGGGCCGGGTAAACCTAGGGCGAGTTCGGGCGAGCTCGCGGCGACGCTCTGTCTCGTCTTCTTCTCCCCCCTGTCCCAGTCGTGCCGATAATTACCGTCAAGACGTTGAAACAAGGACTCCTTCGGGCTCAGGAGGGGCTCGGGTTTTCAGGCCGTTCCTTAAATCTAGGTCAGGGAGTCTCTTCGTGGCCAAGGTGCGCCGTGGCCAGAACGGCCCGTTCGTTCCTCATTCTTCAGCGTTCCTCGTAGATGACTGTACAGTATGCTCGTGATCCTGGATGGGATGTATGTGAGCCGAGCCAGAGTCTTTTCACCGCCGAGCTCGACGGCAGCCTGTCCCCAGACCTGTCACACTGTGGTCATGGTGGTCCTCTCCCCAGACATGTGGCCAGGAGCTAGAGTCGCAGGTCATACCAACCCAAATCCCCGAGTTTCGCCCGAACAGTGTGGCCGCTCAGAAATGGGGAAAGTCGGGGATGCACCCCTCGGTGGCTATTCGGGCGCACCACTATCATGGATGGACGCCCCCCTTTGAATATCCCCGAGTTGAGCCTGAAATTCTTGGTCCGTTTGAGAACCCGACGAGAGCGGGGGTTGGGGTCGCCATGCCTCCCACTCCCGGCCCGCGCCGCGCCCCCCCCCCCCCCTCGGGCGAAGGTGTGCCGCCCCAGCAGCCGCCCGCCCGCGCGAAGACGGCACGCTGAGGGGGCCGTGCCCCGGCGCGTGCGCGCGCACAGCTTTTCCTCGTCTTCCTCCTCCTCCTCCTCCTCCTCCTCCTCCTCCTCCTCCTCCTCCTGAACCGAACACGCTCGGGGCGGAGGAGGAGGAGGAGGAGGCGGAGGCGGAGGAGGAGGAGGAGGAGGAGGAGGAGGAGGAGAAGGAGGAGGCGTATAAGCGCGAGATCCTGGCGACTCAAGTTTTTCCTCGAGCTGGGCGCCCTCGCCGGGCTTCGGGCCCTGGGGCCCTCACAGATCGATCCGGGGCGACAAAGGGCGCAGACAGACGGGATCCAGGGCTCCGGTCGTGATTTACACGACGTTGCAATTTTTGTCACTACGTCGGGTCTCAAGGGCCCCCCTTTTGGAGGCAATTTTTTTTAGATCCTGGCAAGATAACTTGCAGGCAAGTTCACTTGCATGAAGGGGGGGTGGGGGCGTGGCGAGGCCCCGAAAGGAAATCTGGACTTCACGCGAGTCGGGACGCACTTGCGCGCCTTTTGGCCCAGCGCTGTTCGGAATGGCAGCGGGGCGGCGGGAGATGGGAACCATACGAGTACAAGTGCCAGAGCCTCAATTGATGAGAGCACGCTGAAGCCCAGACATCCAGCTTTTCGATTCTTTCGAGACACGGGCTCCCAACCGATCTCTCCACCCTAGATCGGGCTTTCCATCCCAAGTTGTTTTTTGACGGTCCGAGGGCCTGGAGCCGGCCTCCGAATGCCCAATTGGAGAGAAACCGGCCGTCTCGATTTTGTTCGAGACGCCGGTTGTCTGAGAGTCTGCAGTCCTCCATCCAGGGTCCATGTCGATCCGATCGATCCGATGCGATGTCGGTTTCGACCATTTCGATACGACTCGATTCCAGTAGTCAGACGATCCGCTGTGAGCCGATGTTTGCATGGCCTTGTTGTTCATCCTGGCGCAGCCGATCCGATTTGATTTTGACTCCGTCCCGATGCAGCCCGATCTGACTCGCAGTCCGATTCGATTCGGTTTTTCCGATTCGGTGTTGACTGGTCCTGCCACTTAAAAAAAGGCATCGCCCCGAAGAGGGCCCATTCCACCCCCCCTCCGAGGCCGTCAGGAGTGGATCTGGGTGGAATGAGAGACCAGCCCAGAAGGCACCAGGGCGGAGTCGATGTTGATCGGATTTGGGTCGGAGAGGGGGCGGCATTGGCCCCGTGGGCCCCTCCAGGATCGTCGTCCGTCGACTCAGGCCGAAAATAACATGTGCACACCAGGTTTTGTTTGTACGATGCTCGCGTGGAGAGTCTGGAGCAATCTGCAGTTGTTCTTGCCAATACCCAGTGCAGACTCGCGCCTTCCACACTCCCTCTATCTATTGTCGCCAAGCGACTCCTAGCACAGTTGGGGCGCATGTGCCCATGGTATCCAAAGGAAACATTGGCCAACTTAGGCGACCGTTGCTGCGATCTGAGTGACGCGCGTGGAGGAGGAGGCGCGAACAGCGTGCGGCCTTCGAAAACATGCCGCCTGTTTCTTGTGCCAGTGCGTCTGTCTTGCTTGGCCGCCCTCTGCCTTACAATGTCGTACCGCTTCGCTGAGCATCGCCATATAGCCTGTACGGTGGCGAACTGCGCACAGCAGGAACGCCAAATAAGAAACCAGCCTGACAGCAGGTGTCCCGCGGATATATTTTATTTTCCAACGAGCCCGGGGACCCATTTAAGTTTATGGGTTTCCCGCGAAATCCAGAGTCGACCGAACAAAATTCTTCTAGAACTCCCACTGCCACATTTCTGAATGCATTCAACCACTATGGCATCCGCAGATGCGGATGAGAGTGAGGCGCGGGGAGGCCGGTGGCGTTAGTGCGAGGCTCGAAAACACGTGTAAGGGGCTGACAAGCAGCAAAACACCGAATCCACACTGCGGAACCCCACTTCGCCCTCACATCCAAGAAAGAACGCTAATCTGGTATAAGAAGCGTCCGCTGAAGAGAGGAACCTCAACGTGGGATCACACGTGATCAAATACTTTTTGGTTAGCGGGCGCGCGAAACGAGTCGAACGCCGAGCGTGCTGGGGCGGGCCGCGCCGGTAGCGAAGTGATAGGCAGTGCAGGCGGCGACGCGCGTGGCGCCGTGAGACCTGGCGGTCAGCAGCAGAAGAGCGTGCGTGGGCAAATACGCAAGGCATGTGATCCCATTGAGGGCTTGGGGAACACTTTGGCACCATCTTAGAGCCTCTTGAAGCGTCTTGGGTGTGTTGGGTGTCTGTTGGACTCTCTTGGGCGTGTGTCGTTGATGATGTCGAGGACGTGTGTCAGCCAAATCAGATCAGCCAAATGTGTCGACCCCTTTCAGATCCACAGGTGGCACGCCTCCTGTGTCGTCTCTCATTACACCGCCTGCGTCGTATTGCAGATTTCCCATGGGCAAACACATTCTGGCGCTAACACGCGTTCGGAGGATGACTCGGAAATGCAGGCAGAAGTACGTTCTCGTTTTGGGACTGCAGACTGTGGGCCCCGGACCCAACAACAAACACACGCACGCACGCACGCACGCACGCACGCACGCACGCACGCACGCACGCACGCACGCACGCACGCACGCACGCACGCACGCACGCACGCACACACACACACACACACACACACACACACACACACACATTCATCGCGACGCGCAGGTACAGCCAAGAACTGTCGTATGCTTCGAGAACGTATTGCGCGAGCGTTCGTGAATCTAGGCTGGCCTCGCGGACTGCGGGGTCGTATTCATGCGCGTGGCTGGGCGCGTACGTTCGACTCCCTGCATGGGGGCTGCTCTTTGCGCGCAGCCGGCCAGGGCATCCGATGTCGTCAGTACGCGGCCCCGGAAGTCCAGCCAGACCTTTTCCCCAAGAGCCAGCTCGTCATCCCGACTCTGACGGCCCCGGGGCCTGGGAAGGGCCCCTCACCGAGGTCGAGAACGTGGAAGAGAAGCCTCAGCCTTGAGCTCTTCAAGGCGCTGGACGCTTCCAAGAAGGGGCCTCACGAATTCTTCCATGGCCTGATTGCGCCGCCCTCCGCTCACGAGCGGCGAACATGTCCGTATCCGCGCCCTCGCGGTCTGGATTCCAGGGCGCGATTCTGCGGATACGCAGTCGCATGGATCCGTACATTCTGCGCTTGGCATCCGCGAAGAAACGACCCGTAGCCGCGAGGTCGCGGCCCAGGGGCCTGGGCCGCGAGGCGGCGGATACGGGGCATGTTTTTCGCCCACAATCCGCGTTTCCCTCCGCGGCCGCCCTCTTCTGCCACCCCTCCCGCCTTTTTTGCCCACCTCGCCCTGCAGCGGCCCCGCGCATGCTCCGACCGCGCTGTGCCCTCCCACACGCCGGCCGACGGGCCCACCGCCTGCCACTCGCGCAGCTCCATCACGGCACTCAGCGCCGCGTTGTGCCCCTCGCGGAGGTGCCGCCACCCCGCCAGGGACGGACCGGTCTCGGGAGGGGAGCGCGGCCGGAGCATGCTCCCTCCCGTTCTTTGCGGCCGCTCCTCCTCCCGAGCGCCCCGTCCCCGACAGCTCGAGCGGCCGTGCGGCTTGACTCTGCCGTGCTGCGACTGCAGAAGCGCGGCGGGAGCATCCCTGCACCGGCGCTTTGGGGGGCCGCCGCCGGCAGGCGTCTCGCGCGGCGGGCGGGCCGACGGCCGCGGGCCGCAGGCCGCCATGGCGGCGCGCCTCGTGGCCGGGCTGCTGGCCAGCTGCCTGCCGCCAGGAGCGTGCTGCAGCGGGGGTCGGAGGCCCAGAGGTTGGCACTGGCACCGACGTCGGCGGTCGCCTCCACCCACAGAAGCTGATCCCAACCTCGGTGACGGGGGGAATTTTCTGGCTTGCTCGGTGGCCGAGAGGTCACCACCATCAGAAGCTAGAAACTTTGTTCTTCGCCCGGTGGAGGCCCCTGCCTGTGTGTTGCTATAGGTGTCACTTTCCAGGCCTCGAGGAGGGGGGGCGGGGAGCCATATCATCAGGGGCAGCGTCAGGCGGGCGGAAAGGCTCAGGGGGGGCGGATGCGTCGACCCCCTACTATCGCCTGCTCATCGCCCAAAGGCTCGACGCTTCCCCTCCATGAGCATGTTCCCCCCCAGAACTGCCCTCTGGGGGGACGGGGGGGGAGCAGGGCGTACGGTATGGATGTGCTGCTCTATGTGGATGTGTTCCTGGGGGGCCTCCTCCTCCTCCTCCTCCTCCTCCTCCTCCTCTCCTCCTCCTCCTGCTCCTCCTCCTCCTCCTCCTCTTCCTCCTCCTCCTCCGTGGCCGTATTTGCTCCGCCGACGTGCTGAGCGAGAGCCTGCCCGAGCTGCGAGAGGCGCCGCCCACTGGCGGCCGGGGCTCCCGCGGCCCCCCTCCCCGCCGGCCCGCCACCTGTTGCTGGGACGGTGGCGGGCAGCAGCGGGCAGAAGGGAGCGAACTCTTCTGACGGTCGTCTCCTCCTCTGTGGCCAGAGCACGCAGGAACCCTGTGCATTTAGATGGAGAGGTGGCATGTATCATCGAGTCACAGCTAGAGGCTCCCGCGTTACCCCGTCGTGCTACGCTACGTCTTCCCCCATCGTGAGGTGCGCGCTTCTCGCTCGCCGAGCGGCGCGTTGCGGGATGGCGTGGACACCCAGGCGCGCATGGGTTGTCCAGCTAGTGTTGCGCGCTGTGCTGCCGCGCCCGCGCTGTTCTTCCCGCGCGGGAGAGGCTTGTCCGGACTGACGAATGGTTCGAAACTGTCTTCCGCCCGTGGGCGCGATTCCTCGTTTCGCCATGAAGGGTTCTGAGGGAGGTAGGTCCTGAGGTATATCGCCGTGGTTGGCATCCTGGGGCCTTCAACGGGCCCGGGGACTGCAGAAGACGACTCGGGACGAAAACTTGGTCCTGGGGGTAGGCCCCAGGGTCCATAGCCTGTTTTTCTTAGGACCCGTTCGTTTCATGTTTTTTTTTCTCGGACTCGCGCGTCCTCTTTCTGTTGCCGAGCGATCATGGCAGCCCCGCCGTGCTTTTTCGCCCGTCTTCGGCGCGGCTCCGCCCTCGCGGTGGGGCCGCGAGTCCAGGGAATCCAGCTTGCTTCCCGCCACCGCCTGCGCCTGATTTGATAGCCGCTGCTGATCATGTTGCTTGGGTGGCGGCTGTCGGGCTCCTCCTCCCTAGGCGCTTGGATGATACCCCTAGCGCTGGCTCTGCCGGCGCCTGTGCGACCAGCGCTGAGCGTGGCGCGCCTGTCGCTCGCAGCCTGCCTCGTGCCACCCTTGCCTGCCGCGGAACACCATGGCTGCGCTGGCATGGTTGCCAGCGATGCGCGGTGTCCGCCCACCGGTGCTGGTGCTGTGGTTTTGTTGTCGCTGGCTCGTACGTGGTGCCCATCGCGAAAGTCCCCGCATCGTGTGTAGACATGCGCGCCCATCGCTCAACATTGCGAGCTTCTGAGTATGGTCTCCATTTGTACCGGCCAGTGGGCCTGACCGCAGCCTCCCAACCCGCTGGGGCATGGCGTTCTGTTCGATCGGCTCGAAGACCAGGGTCTGTGGCCTAGTGTGGGTTTGGGGGTGCAGGGCCCTCGTCCTCCTGCTCCTCGTCTTCTCCCGCGCGTCTCGGCCGCGAGTCGGCTCGAGGTGCCTCGCGCCCTCCAGGTTCCGAAGCAAATGCAGGAATGCCCTCGGCGGAGCCACGTTGGAGGCGGTGCGGCCGAGGAAGACAGCTAGGTCGCGGCTGCCCTGCCCTTCATATACCGGGGCGGCTTCCTCGTTCTGAAGGCATGTGGGGCCCAGGATGTGGGCGCGAGTCAGGGGAAGACGCGCCCGTAGGCCACATCTTTCGGCATCGGCGCTGCAATCAGCTGTAGCAGGGGGTCTCCGGGTGCCCTTCGGGAGGACAGGGATCGGCCCCAGACAGATCGCGGCGGCGCATAGCTGATTGAATTGGCGTCGCCCCCGCCCATCCCCCAAGCTCGGCGCTTGGAGCCGAGCTCCCCTGGCTGACCAGGTTTGCAGCTAGCAGTGGTCGGGGGAGATCACGCGTGTTCCTGGTCCAGGTTGTCTTCAGATTTGCGCGCGCAATTTTCGAGCCTCATTCATGCGACCCTCCGGGCCTCGTGAGGCGCATTCTGGAGGCCGTGGGCGTCCCTGGAACAGCAGGGGCTAACTATTCTTTCAGGAGCGAAACGCAGACACGCGCAGATATGAACTCCCATCATCTTCTGAGGCAGCTCAGTGGGGGAGCGCTCGTGACATGAGGGCACCCTCGCGAACAGGGGGGGCATATGCACGCACGTGGCTGGGCGCCCACGTCCTTCATCTGGCGGCGCGATTTGATCGAAGCACGGCCCCCAGATCCCATGACCTCTCGACCACTGCCCCGGGGAAGTGGCCCTGGGGCCCGAAACCAGCGTTTGGAGGCCAGAAACACTGACGGCCTCGATCTTGGGCGATCCGCCGAGTGCGCGTGGGTCTGGGAGTCCCTGCCGGGGGCAGGGCCCAGGAGCCCTCCTCCCAGGACAGGATCTGCGGTATCCTGAGTAGTTTGTTGACGGTCCCAGGGCCCGTGGAGGGCCTCCAGGGTCCGAGTGCAGCGAGCAGCCTTCGGCCTCCAAATGGCGACAACTCTGTTGGCATCTACTTTTCGAGCTGCCGGATGTCGGGGTTGGGGGGGCTCCATGCCTGGGGCAGGGCGACCTTCGATGAGCCTCAGGACGTGTGTTGGCCCACTGGTTACGCCTTTGGGCGTGTGCTGGCCATCCGTGCATCACCTGCGCCGTAATGGAGGATGACGATTAATAAACGACTGGGGGTCGTGTTCACGCGGCGGCGCCCGGGATGACGATTAGAAAAAACCGAGGGCCACCGAGGCCTCCGAGCAGCCCCCGACGTGGGCCGGGCGGGCCGCGGCCTCCGGCGCGCGGCCGCCGCGGACGTTTGGCGCGCCCGGGACGGGCACGGAGCTGACGGGTGATCCACCTCTTCCCTTTCCCCCCCCTCCTCGCCCTCCTCCTCCTCCTCCTCCTCCTCCTCCTCCTCCTCCTCCTCCTCCTCCTCCTCCTCCTCCTCCTCCTCCGCCCCTCCTCCCTCCTCCCTCCTCCTCCTCCTCCCCTCCTCCTCCTCCTCCTCCTCCTGCTCCTCCTCCTGCTCCTCCTCCTGCTCTCCTCCTCCTCCTCCTCCTCCTCCTCCTCCTCCTCCTCCTCCTCCTCCTCCCCCGTCCCCGAGTTCCGCCCGAGAAATTTGGCCGCTCAGGGAAGGGGGGGACTCGGGGACACACCCTTGGGGGCCTACTCTATCGAGCATGGGCGCCCCCTAGTCGTGCATCCCCGAGGTGCGCGGCCTGCGCGAACTTGGCACGCCCGACATGGGTACGGACAAAAATGGGGTACGATGCCCAACAGCAGATGTTTTTCCAACGGCGGGCCACGGACTGTCAGAGCTTTCGCTACCATTCTCAATAAGCACGCTATGTGAATGAGCCCCCCTCCGCTTTAGTCCCAAACCCACAGCGGCATTGGAGCCAGGTGGGTGTCCGAGGTGGCCCCAGCACTGGTTCCGACCAGCAGGAAGACGGGGCGAGGTTAGAGGTTCTGGGTTCGAGAAAGTTGTTTGCATGTTTCGGTATCCGGGGGTTGATTTCGGGTCACTGGACCGTCGAAAACTGATCGGGGGTTAAAAACTGCACCAGATGGACCCCGGGGTGAGTCAGGAGATTGATTTTCAGCGGATTTGTCTTTACCACTTACCACCGCTTCTTGGCAGATTTTCTTGGGGCCCATCCAGTTCAGACTCTCTGGCCGCCTCCAATGTGGTAACCCAAAATTGGCAGCGGCCGCCTTTGCTCAGGCAGCAGTTCTTCTAAAACCGTGCTTGCACTTGGGTGGGGGCTACTCCTGTCGCTCAGGAATTGAGCGAGTCCGCCGAGGTTTCGCCGCCTCGCAGCCCGTTGCCGCCTCGTTGCCGCCCACTTGGGGGGTCCGCCGAGGTTTCGCCGCGTTGCCGCCGCGTGGCCGCCTCGTGGCCGCATCTTTGCCGCCCACTTGGGGTCCGCAGTTGGGCAGGCACCCTTTTGTCCCAAGTCGGGTGGGCAACGTTTAGTCTCGAGTGGAGCTCGGCGTCCGCGGCGACACCGACAGCGAGTCCTGTTCAAAGCTGCTATCAGTTTTCGTCCCCGCTGTCTTCATCCTTCGTTCTTCCTGCGTGAGCTTGGGATGCTCGTGGACAGGGCGTGGCGACGGACGTTGGCCACGGCATTCTCTAGGGTAACATATGGATGTGAGCTGAGGGTTGGTGGAGTGTTTGCCGTGAAAAAATATGTGTACAGTGTTCCCAGAAGTGTGAATCTGGTCGCTAGGGACAGCATATCGTCTGAGAGCATAATGCACGCACGAGTTCTGCGCCCAAGGCGCCACGGTCCTGAGTCGTACTGGAGCGACCTTCAAACAAAACGACATAGTGTTGCACACATGAGACACGTGCTTAATTCGCTGGCGATGACGGGCGTGACCTGCTTCGCGCCAGCGCCGTTTGGGAGTGCCTAGGGATGGATAATTCCCCGACGGCACTGGCGCGAATCGTGACGTGACCCAGGCGGGAGGAGGTGGGGGGCCAGGGTCGGTCACAGATGTGCTCGCGAATCTCCAAAAAATATCTCCATTTCGATCGTGCCGACGCTCGCCGCAACGGGCCGTGCCGAGCCCCTGCTGCGCGAGGCACCCCCGCGCTGCCGTCGGCCGCGCCGCGGGAGGCGGCGCAGCAGCCGCGCCGCCTGCGGAGGCGGCATTCTCTCGGCCCTTGGCAACGCAGCGGGCGCCGAGGCTCAGAGGACGAAGAGGCACCGACCCAGACATGTTCGGCCACGCGCAGAGGGGGATGGGGGGAGGGGGGAGGGCTTCTTAGGAGCACCCCTGCTTCTTAGAAGGCGCGGGCCTTATCCATAGATGTAAGGCCGGCGCCTTCCAAGAAGCCCTCCCCCTTCCCTCCACCCCTCCACCCCCTTCTGCGCACCGCCAACATGTGGCGTTTTGAAAAAGTCACGACGGAGGGTTTTGGGCAGGCTCCTGCCTCTCGGAGCCCTCGCTGGGCCCCAGGGGGCGTCCAAAAAGGCCCGGGATGAGACACTGGCTTCTGGGATAGGGTCAGGACTTCCAGGGACCGCGCATTGAACGAAAAACAAAACAACGCATGTCTGGGACCATTGCCTCGAGTTCGCCGTTTTGGGCGCCCCGGCAGGCCCTCGTCGGCACGGCTGGATCCACCCCGAGGATGCAGTCAGAACGCATCCTGGGAGAGATCAGGGCAGTGGCGGTATCGGTATCTTTGGGCCTTCCAACGGACTTGCTGCAGGTGGGACGCAAAAGGACCCCGAGATCCGGGATACGCATTTTTGTTCACTCCTGGCGCTTCCGCCTGGCTTCTGGCCCCGGTCGATCTGATTCGAGAGATGCCGCAGAACGATGGGGATGTCCACGGCTCCGGTGGCGATTTTTCACGAGGTTGTTCTTTTCGTTCGCGGCGTCGGTTCTCCAGGGGCTCGCACAGGCAAACAGGGTCATACGGACAAGAAGCTTGCCAAGGGTGCTCCTGCATCCTTGACTCTTCGGGCCATCGCTGCCCACGTTCGCTGGCCACCCCGCCTGGAAGGCTTCAACGTGGGTGTCTACGGGCCTTGCACTCTTACGGTGCGTCCCTCCGATCCGACCGCGCTGTACGACGTGCCCCCCTTGGGAGGCCCGCGTCTGATCGGAACATGCACTCCAGTTGTCGGTAATGTATGGCTGCTGCTCTTTGTCGCTCATCGTCATCCCCTCGTTGTCTGCATCTCTTTCCTGGGCACCCCAGTCTAGGGGGCACGCGCTGTGAGTCTGCCAACTGCCATGCGGAGTCAGTGAGCCCCACTCGATACACAGCATTGCAGATTGCTTCCGACTCGTTGTCTCGCTCCTGCCGCTGTCAGTAATTATGGCGTTGCGCCCTACGATGAGATTACGCTTCGGCTTGAGCGCACTCGTGACTGTGCGTGGGTTCCGCCTCTCTCTCTCTCTCTCTCTCTCTCTTACCCCCCTTCCGCTACGTAATGGGTTTCGTCGAAGTATCGTGCCCGCGTAGGGGCCCTCCGAGGTCGTGCGCTGGGCCCCGTCCGTCAGCGGCCGGCTCTCGCCGACCGACCAGAGAGTCTTTTGTCTGTAGGGTCTGGCCAGGTTGTTCGCATGGTTTCGCCCCTCCCCCCACTGGGCCGAAAAAAAGCGCGCAGGGGAGTCCCGACCTGCGAGAAGTCCAGCTGATCCGTTTCGGGGCATCCACGCGAGCAGACTTGCCAGGATCCAGACGCGGATCGCCTCCCGCCTGCCTCCTCCGCCGCCTGCAGGTGCCTCTGCCCGCCCGCCCGAGCCCCCCCCCCCCCCCTCCCCTGCAGCTCGGGCGAGAGCCTGCCGACCACCGCGCCCCTGCGCAAGCTGGAGCGGCTGGGCGGGCGAACGGGGCACCGCTATACCGCTCCTCCTCCTCCTCCTCCTCCTCCTCCTCCTCCTCCTCCTCCTCCTCCTCCTCCTCCTCCTCCTCTTCTCCTACTCGAACACTAGTCCCGACGTCTCACCCCTGTCCTGCCTGGCCTGATAAGTGCTATGGTACTTCCCTGGGCGTTTGGCTCAAGGTGCGTACCTAGCGCGCCCGCCCCATACCCGTCTCATTCCCGCCTCATACACGCCGTCTTTGTACGTCGATACAGGACACATGTGCCTTTCCCATCCACATCGTAAATCCATTTCTCTAATTCACCCCACCTCCTCCTCCTCCTCCCCACCTCCTCCTCCTCCTCCTCCTCCTCCTCCTCCTCCTCCTCCTCCTCCTCCTCCTACCTCCTCTGCTTCCTCGTCCTCCTCCTCTTCCTCCTCCTCTTCCTCCGATTCGGCAGTTCGAACATCAGGCTCTCCAACAACTGCTGCGCTTGCCCCTGAACAGCTTCAGTCTGTCGGGCTTCGATGTGGTGCTGTCGTTTCTAGCGAGAGCGCCTGCATCCGCACCGTTGCTCGCATTGGCCAGTAGTTGGCGCACCTCTTTTCGCACTGTGAAGACAGTATGGCAGCGCGCGCTTCGCGAGCGCCGCGAGCACGCCCTCTCTGCCGCAACGCTGGTCAGGTTCGTGCCAGCTAAACACTCAGCGCCCTGCTGGTGCAGGCCTTACTCCATTGCTCAGTTTCTGGAGAGAGCCCGCCTCTCTCCTCCAAGACGGCAGGCACCACCATGGCTTGCCGCGGTCCGCGAGGCGAGAAGCCATACAGAGCAGGCGGAAACCTCGGGGAAACGTCCACACCCGCAACGTATCTTTTCCCGTGTGCTGCGCCAGACCCTCTTCGTTGAAACATTGCCGCTCACGATTTCCAAGAGGTTCAGCGCGTGGGGCCACAGAAGTCCTGGGGACTGGGGCGCGGACGGGGATGGTGGTTCGGTAGACTGCGTGCAAAGAGGCCCGCACGCAGCTGAAACCCTCTTGGCAGTGGTGCGCCTGAAAAACTCGCAGGTGTCTGGACCACCTCGCACCGTCTGCACGTAGGCACACCGCCGACCACGTGCATCTAGGTGTAGGGCTGTTCGGCTCCTGATGCCATGCCACAATATTGCACGTGCTCACGTTTAAGGCATCGCATGGCGGCGCCGCGACTTCCCAGCGGATCCGATTCTATATCATATGGATGGGACTCGGGCGGGGGTCTGACTATAGGGTGGCGGGTTCGAAATTCACTCGAACTGAATGCCTGGAAGCGACGGTCCAAGCATTCTACATGTACCACAGAGCGAAGGAGGCAGGGCAGCGTTCGCCTCTGTCGCTCGAGCGCTCCACGTCCTTTCGACTGGCGGAGCGCGTTGCCGTGGAGCGATCGGATTTTTCAATGTCGTATCTTTGTTCGCGTACTTTTCAGGCGAGTTTCAGGCCCCAATGTAGCCTTCCTCGGACCTGCTCTCCTGGTTCCCGAGGCTCCTGCATCAGAAAGCCGGTGCTGGAGGCCCGCCCCTCCCTGTCAGTGTCGCCTCCCTCTCCTCCCTCTTCCCCTGAGCGGAGGCAGGGCTTGGCGACGACTTTTTGGGGGAAGTGGTCGCCTGAGACTTTTCTGTCCCAGAGAGTGATCATTTGGGCTTTGGCGGTTGTTTTTTTTTGCCAGGGCGATGGAGGGCCTGTCTGCGCTCTGGAGCGCTCCCCCAGTGCCGAGCGCCCTCTTTGTCGCTCTCGGCTCTCCTCGTTCTTTCTTTCTTTTTCTCAGCGCACGGTGAGGTCTCCCGGGCGCTGGGCACACAGTCGCTTTTTGGCCCGCTCTGCTGCTGAATCGGGCTCCCCAGGTGGCGAAAGTGGCAAAGGTGTCTCCGTCTGCAACGGACCCTAGCGACACCCTGCGGGCCTGCGGGAGCCCGTGCTGCACAGACAAACCACAGCGGGTACGTCGTCTCCTCCTCCTCCTTCTCCTCCTCCGTGGCCAGTTTGGCTCAAGGCCAGCGCCCCCGCTTTTTTTGTGCGGCGTCGTCGCACGCGCGGAGGCCATCCCTCGATGGACACACCGGTTGCTCGCCTGCTGTTCCTCACCGCATACGCGGTGCTCGTCATGTCTGTGCGTCTGACTTCAGGTCCTGCGCTACGGCATCATGTACATGTATTTCCTCTTTCGCTGCACGTGCGGCGCCCTCACCCTCTACCTGGCCATGTGGACGCTAGAGACCGCGCGGTGCACGCTCCCTGGCGGGGATGAGTCAGCGCCGTCTGCGCGCCGTTGACAAGAAGTACATTCTCCCGAAGCCCGCGGACGTCAGCTACCTCATGGTCCCGACGGTCATCAAGAGCGAGTCTCGGATGCTGGTCGCTGCCACTGCCTACAAGCGTGACCTGGAGCTGGAAACTGGTTGACATCGTCGCAACGGTGCCCAGCTGTGCGACGAAGCGCTCCGCAGCGGCTTCATTTCGCCCGACCGCGCCTCCCACTTCAAGCAGGCGAACCGCGACGGCAACATCGCGCGGCACAAGAACTGGACGAAGCCGCACGAGCCTGGCACGAGGCAACAGTGGGCCGACCTAGACGACGGCGAGTTCCCGCCCCTCCCGGCGCTCGAGAACAAGGAGTTTCAGACCACGGGCACCATGCACCCGAACCTATACGAAACACCCTCGGCGCCTTTTGCCTCGCCGTCATTCACCACCGTCGAGATGCTGCACGCTTCGGCCAAGACATGGCCCCAGGAATTGGCAACGCTCAAAGAGGAGCTGGTGCAGCAGATGACGATCTTCAGCGGCGCCCCCTCGGCCTCGAACCCGTTCGTCACAGAACAATATTCAAAGACTCGCTCATGGACATGGTTACACTCAACAGCGAGGCGCCCAAGACCTTCGCCGCTCAGGTGAACACGACGACGGCCACAACCCACAAGACGGTCTACGATACCGTCTCCGAGCAGATGCAAGCGCTCTCCGCGGCAGTGCGCCAGGACAGAATGTGCGCATGGGCCACAAGACCATCATCCAGCGGATCGCCAAGCTGAAGGACATCTGCAACTCCGCGCGTGAGGAGTTCCACGACGAGTGTGCGTGCGACGTGCCGCCTGAGGTTGCTTGGGCGCTGCCTGCGAAAAGCTCGCACGACACCGTGTATTTCAACACCCTGATCTCGAGCTTCCGCGACGAGAGCTTCGTCTACACGTTCAATCAGCTCCTGGACGCCTATTTGGATTCATCGTCGCCTCCTTCTCACTTCATATCGTTCCCGAAGCAAGACAGCTACGACTACAACAAGCACTACCAGAAGCCTGTAACGGCCGCGCGTCCCGCGCCGCCGTCGTCGTCGCGCTAGCTGGCCCGAACGTGACCTCGTTGGTTACGTTCGCTCCTCCTGCTCCTCCTCCTCCTCCTCTTCCTCTTCTTCTTCCTCGTCCTCCCTTCCTCCCCACCCCCCCATCCTCTCCGGCGCCTCCTCTCCCCCCCTTCTCCTCCCCTCCAGGGGTGCGTTCTGACCAGAATGCCGAGAATGGCAAGGGCTTCGGGCTACATCCTGAGATCCTGGCGTCCGTAATTTGTCGAACCGGGCCGGAAATGTCGCAGAAAAATCAAGTCTTGGGATTTGGTCGTGATTGCTTACGATGTCGCAACTTGTGTTCGGGACGTCGGACCCCGCGGCAAACAGCACACCAGGTAGTGTTGGCTGGCCGCAACATGCCCCCCGAGTTGTCCCAGCTGGCTTCAACAGGCCCCTCGAGTATTCCGGGGTGGTCTCAACACGCTGGCGCCGACTCCGGCGGCGCGCCCGGGGCGCTCTGGTCGAGGTGTTGAAATCGTTCTGGACCACTCGGGGGGCCTGTCGAGGCCAGCAGGGACTACTTGGGGGAACTGGCGGGTTCGACGCGGTGGCGACCCCGCCGCGGCAACATGGTGCGCCGCGGGCTCTGGCGGCGCCCGCGCGAAAGCGCGAGCGCTGGACTGATGCATGCCGAGGACGGCGAAGGCGACGCCGACGGCGACGCCGAGGGCTAGCTGTCGCCCCCCCCCGCCTGGCGGCAGCACGCTGGCCAGGCCCGGCGAGGGGCCAGGGCCTTGGGCGCTCTGGGTGGCTGACCAGCGGGCTGCGGCGCTGCGCCAGCAGGCGGCCGCCCTGCGAGCCTTCGCGTGCGACGGCGCAAGCGAGGCCCGAGCGGGGGCGCTGCTGCTGAAAGGGGCAGCAGCAGGCGACCCCGCCGCCCAGGGGCCCGCTGCGTTCCTCGCAGCAGCCAGGGCCCTGCTGGGCGCCTCGGAAAGGCGGGGGGGGCGGCGCGGGCGCGCCACCGCCCGGCGTTGGGCGGTGAGCTCAGCTCGCGCCGGCGCGGCCGCAGCGCTGATGCGGCCCCCCACGGGCGGGCGATTCGCTTCGGCGGAGGCGTCGCCTCGCCTCTTGCTCTTGCCTACCGCAGGCTGCGCGGGCCCCCGGCGGGCGGCTGAGCGCGCGCGCGGGTGCGCGCGTCGCCACTCCCCTCTCATCCCCTCTCCCCCCTACTCCTTCTTCCGCCGCTGAGCTCCTCTTACGTTGGAAAACGCAGCCAATCATACCAGCGTGTTTTTAACATTTTAGCAGCTTGACTTGCATGGCAGTGCCCATTTTTTCCGCCGCCAGTTCAAGCAGCGCTGGGCCGAAAGGGCGTGAAGGTGAGGCCCAGCTTGCGTGACATGCGGGTTCCCGTCCGGGTCTCGCCCCCCCCCCCCCCCCCCCCAAACCCCCATCCGCGCAAGCAGACCTGCCGAAATCTGAAGGAAAATCGCCTCCGAGGAGAATCCGGCCGCGGCGGCGGACAACTCTCCAGGACGAGCAACGGCATCGGTGCTGTTTCCTCCCCCGAGGAGCGGCAGGACCTGGACACGCGCGGGCCCCAAAGCTCGGTGGCGGCGTCGCCTTGGCCCGTGCGCACGGCTGGACCGTCGGCGCGAAGGCCGCGGGGGACCCCCCGCAGCTCGGCGGCGCCGCTGCGCCGGCTGGACAGGCCTTCGTCGGAGGCGCGCGCGGGGGGGGGGCCCTCCCGCCGCAGGAGGAGAAGGAATGGCATAGGCAGAAGCTTTCGGCGGTCCACGCGGATGTGTTGGATTTGCGCTGGGCTCCCCTCGCGCCCTCGCGGCGCCTCCGGCGCTGCCCTCGGCGCCGGGGGCGCCAGCGCGGGGGGGTTCCAGTGGCGATCCAGGAAATCCGCGCGGACTTCCGAAAGCTTTTGTGTGCTGCAGTTCTTCCTTCTAGGTATTGGTAGACCTCTTTTCCCAGACGTGCTCGCGACGTGAAAAATACACACACGCAGCGCCTTGACATAAAAGCAGAGGTGAAGAGACGGGTCGACGAGTCGGAGGTCGGCCAGCGAAGCCGTGTCATTCCGAGGCATTCCTGGGGAATCCCTAGGCACGTTGGCAGGGGTGAGGGCACGGCCGTGCGCCTCGTAGTGGAACTTCTCATCGGCGATCGTGGCTGTCTGGGCCAAAGCTTTTAGCAGGCAGTGAGGCGAGAGCGTGATGCCTGAAGGACCTGCGAGGAAGTCTCGAGCGGAACGGCTGCAGGACCAGGCGATCGAGGGCGGCGGTCTCGGGCTCTTGTGTCCGTGTTTCGTACCGCCTAGAAATCCTTCAGCGAAGCGTTTTTAGGGAATACCGACGGAATTTGTGTTGGCAGTTTTTCGGCCTCCGGGGGCCCTTGCCAGGCCTCGTGCCCGTTCATCAACGACTCGGTATGGAAAGCTGGCCAAGGGGAAATGGTCGGGACTTCTGGGCACCGCGTATGGAACAAATCAAGACATCGCATGCCTGGGAACGCACCATCATTACCAGACAGCCCGCGGCTCGAACAAATCGAATCGGCGGTTGTTTATTGGTTTTCTGCCTGGGAGGCAGTTTTCGAGCTTCGGGGCCGTCACAAACGGTTCGGGATGAAAGACAGGTCCTTGGGAATAGGTTCGTGGTCGAAAAACATATCCGTATCCGCGGCCTCGCGGGCCGGGCCCCTGGGCGGTGACCCCGCGGATACGGGGTATTTTTTCGCGGATGCCCCGCGCGGGACGTGTAGTGCCCGTGCGACCGCGTACCCCTGGAATCCAGATCGCGAGGGCTCGGAGATGCATACGTCCGCCGCTCGCGAGGGGCCGAGAGATCCGGGGGCCGTTCTCTCGACCAAATTCCGGGTGCGCCAGGCCAGGGGCCATGCTGCCCCCCCCTTGGCCTCGACCCTGAGGCCGGAGGGCGCATACACGGTGCTATGCTCGCTGGGGGTGCAGACGTGGCTTCTGGCGCGTGGATTGGCGACGGCTCCCGCGTTCGTGCAGAAGCGGACCGCCCGGTCGCCCGATCGGGCGGCGCTGGCGCCTAATCTTTCGGGACGCCTTCCCGACAACCAGCGACGTTTTCCGATATCGTTTTCTCTGATGTCAGCGGTTTTCGCCTGGTTGCTCGGTCCGTTGGGGCGAGGCTCAGGCTCGCTTCGCTGCCCGGCAGTGGCTCGCCGCGTGTTCAGCTCGGGAGTATGCAAGCACCCTCAGGAGAAGTAGGTCCCACGTCCGTGGCAACATACTCACGAAGTCTTCTCGTCCCCATATGCCGATTCTGTTCTTTCAATCATGATCAACATCTTTCCCACTCGTTGCTCTTCCCTCTCTATTCCTCCCCCTCCGCCTTCCCCTCCCTCGCCGCACCTTTCGTAATCAAAATCCCCAGTCCCCCCCACCATTGCATCTTTGTTCTCTCATCCCCCTGTAGTCTTCCCTCCCTCTTCCCGCCTTCCCCTCTCCCCGATTCCCTCCCCTCCCACCGAGGCTGGCATCGCGTTCAGAGCTCCTTGTGGCTCGAGTTGTTGCCGCCCAGGTGAGTTGCCATCCATCCAAGTCCTGGTCAGGTCGCCGCAGTCGAGATGACCAGCGCCTCCAAGCCCGTCAATCTGAGCCAGACGGTGTTCACCCGAAGGCTGTTGTCCAACATGAGGATCGACCTCTCGATCATCGCGGAAACGACTCTGGGGTCGCCATGCGTCATTCTTTTCAGCCGCGCAGCGTTTCCGTTTCAGCCATGCTTTGTGGCGCTTGTTCTGCTCGTGGGCCACAGCCTCCACGTTGTCGCCATCCTCGTGCTCGAAATGCGACGCTGGCGCCACCTGCGCGGAAGAGTACAGAACCCAGACATATCACAGCCCGGGGGGCAGAGAAAATCCCCGCGAACCTATGACTACGTCTGGGGCTCCAGTCAGTGACAGAAGCCCACAGCGAAATCGATTCGCAGAACAGGCCTCTCCAGTCAGTGACAGAACCCAGCGTACCTACCACTGTAGAAAGAAAAGCCATGACGAGTTTTCTGATGGGCCCCCGGCTGGGATCTGCGGGGGGGGGGTCCACTCCCAGGCATCTCGCGGCACTCCTGTACGAGCCCCTCCGCGCCCCGTGATGAGATGACGGGGTCAGACGAGGTGGCCCTTGCCCGTACCGTGGCCGCCCCTCGAGCTCCTCACGCCGCGACACGCGTCCCGGTGGACGACGCGGTGCTCGAGCAGCGCCCCGAGCAGTTTCGGCGGCTGCTCCAGCATCACCAGCCTCGAACTTATCCCTATGCCCAAGATTGACACGCTAAAAGGAGATGACAATCTTGGGGAGACACCCTCAGAGACTGAGGAACTGCCTGAGATCGCCATCGTGCTGAGGCGATGCCCAACACAGGGATGGGGATATGTTCCAGGCCGGCAGCAGCAGGGACTCCGGGCCGACCGCGCGCACCTGCAGCGCGGCGCTTCTCGGGGAGCCGCTCCGCGGGCGCCTCTGCAGGGCCCGTCTTCGCGCGGCCGCGCAGCTGCCACAGCACCTGCTCGAGCAGGGAGCTCCCGCGGCCGAGCCCGAAGGCCACACCTCCAGCACGGTCGCCACGCTGGCGGCCGAACCGCCCTGCCGATGCGGCGCCCGAGAGGGCCGGCAGCCACACTCCTGTCCCACATGCGGTCCCTGGGCTCTGAGACTCTGCAAGCAAAAGAGGCCTCGGGAGACCCCCGGAGGCCTCCAGAGAAGCAGAGCGGGAGGCCAAGTCGGGTGGGTGGGAGGGGGGCGCAGGGAAGCGAGGATGGCAATCGCTACCGTGATTCTGATCAGGCGGCGGAGCGGGGAGACCGCGATGGAAGAAGGGGGAGTGACGGCGCGAGCGGGAACTTGCACCTTCTCGACAGTGCTGGGGATGATTGCATTTGTGGGTGCTCATCTCCGAGCACTCACGGGCGGATCTTCGTTGCTGCAGGGGGGGGCAGAAGTCTGTGCCCTGCATTGGAATTCACCCACAGGTGGAGCGGTGAGCCAGTTGCCGCCGCATGACGTTGGTGCGCTAGCTTTCCTTCAGTAGGGCGTTCCAGAAAGGGCTCCGCCTTCGGCGGAACTAAAACGGCGGCGAGTCCGCCAGCGGGAGGCAGTTTTCCTGCATATTCTGGCACACTGACTTGCATGAGGATGGGGCGTGGCGAGGCCCGAAACGAAATCGGGATTTCACGCAGGTTGGGACTCACTTGCACGCCTCTTGAGCCGCCCAGCGTTGTTTGAGATGGCGGCGGGGGTAGGGAAATGGTATGCAAGTAAGTAGACTTGCAATAATCTAAATAAAAGCGCGCCCAAATGAGACGTCACCATTTTGGGGTTCGGTGATCTAGAGTTGGCGGTGCGCCACGGCATGGGTCGCAAGGCACTCTCGAGTTTCCATCAGAACGTATGCGTTGAAGGAGCGCCCCCACGAAAGAAGTTCCAGATGATCCAGCTCATTCGAAAAAGAAGAACTTGCAGTGACGTAAGCTTTCGGAGCTCCGCGCGGATCTGTTTGATCGGCGCTGGGCCCTCCCAGCGGTGCCTCCCGCGCCGCTCCTGTCGCGCCAGGGAGGGGGCCCAGCGCCGATCAAAGAAGTCCGGGCGGAGCTCGGGGAGTCTCTGGCTATGCCATTTTTCTACCTCCATGGGCGGGGCGCCACTACGAGGGACCTCCCCGATCCTCCAGGTAGTCCGCAGAGGCCCGAAGATGATCGCGCCTCTCGGGGGTGGACATAACCCCCACCCTGACACGTCGATTAGTGAATTGTCCGTTTTCGGTTCTCAAAAGGGGGCCGCGGCCATCATTTTCCAGGCTTGCGCACGCCAGATTTGGGCCCGAGGTCGCTTTCACTAAACCACGTTTTGCTAGAGGGGGTCCTGTCCATCCCCGAGCCTCGCGTGCAGCGGCCGGACCTAGACGCGTCCTCTTCGGAGGGAGGGCGGTGCGAGAGCGCCTGTACACCCGTGCGCGATGCGCGGGGTTTGGTTGGGCACGAAGCAAGCAGGTCCTGAGTGGGGAGGAGGAGGAGGAGGAGGAGGAGGAGGAGGAGGAGGAGGAGGAGGAGGAGGAGGATGGGCAGCGGGTCCTGAAGTTTTTCGACGGCTTCGTGTTCCAGTGACCCCCCAGCGGCCCCAGAAAACAATTCCAATTGGTGAGGAGCTGGTCCCGGAAGACACACTCTGCGCGTCCCGCATCGCGGGCCACGATTTGGTTGGGCACGAAGCGTGCGGGTCCTGAGGGGCAGCAGGTCTTGAGTTTTTTCGACGTCTTCGTGTTCCCGTGACCCCCCACCGGCCAGAGAAAAGTGTTCCAAATGGTGAGGAGTTGGTCCTGGAAGACTCAGCGTCCCGCATCGCGGGCCGCGATGCGCGAAGTTTGGCTGGGCATGGAGCACGCGGGTCCTGAGTGAGGGGGCAACGGGTCCTGAGCACCAGGGTTCGCCTCCCAGGATCTAATTTTCGCCATCTTGAGCAGTATTCTGGGGCCCGTGGAGGGCCACGAGAGTTTTTCCTCGCGGGCGCTAGCGGAAGCGCAGGCGCCGAGTTGAGGGCCACGAGAGCACGAAGACGGCGGAAAACGTCAGGACTTGTTTCCCTCAGGAGCCCTCTGCTTCTAGGCGGTAGGTGGCGATCGGTTTCCCCCGTCGGCCAAGCCTGCGGCAGAAGCCAACGACCTCAACGCGTTGCCCAGTGAGCGCCTCTGCAGGGCCCCCGCCGCCGCACGATGGGCCGCCACCCCGCACAGGCCTGCAGCCAGGAGTGTGTCCTGCACGGCGAGACCGCGTCGTGCGCAGCGAGGACACGGGCTGCACCCAGCCAGCCTCAGAGGAGGAACATAGGCGCCGATACAGCCACAAGTCCTTCGTTTTCCATTCTTTGGGCCTCCTGGGAGGCGCTCGTCGCCATTGTTGGATTTGTTTTGCAGTTCTGGTCAGAGCACAACCCGAGAGCTGATCGGTGATCGGCGGTAACAGTAACTTCTGGATTCCCCAAAGCGTGCGCACGAGGAGTGGCCTGAATGAATCTGTGTCTTGAAGGAAAGCGGTCACGAGGCTTTTCGTAGTTTTCGGACTCCTGGGGCCCTCCCTGGGCCCCAGGACCGTCAGAACTCAGGATGGGAAATCCGGTCCTGGGGAAAGCCCCCAAGATCCAGGACACGTTTTTTCAGGACCCGTTTCCCTCCGCCATGCCAAGACGAGGGGGAGGGAGTTGGGTAGAGCAGGCGCTGTCTTGTGCGCCACTCCCAGTGTCGCCACGTCCCTCGCGAGCACTCTTCCTGGGGCCTTGTGAACTAGCAGCACCAGCAGTATCAGCAGATCTTGTCCCCAACCAAATTAGGGGGAAAAGCGCGTTGATCGTGGGATGAGGTCCCTGGCCCAATAACGTCTCCGAGCACCGAGATGAGGTGTGGAATATACAAGGGGAAGTAGTGAACTCTTGCCCGCGCTTGCCAAACAGGCCCAGTCACTGTGAACGCCCGCCGCCTGCGAATCCTTAATCGAGCGGCGATTGCGGCATATTGCGGCGTGAACTCTGCAGCGGGAGATCGGCCCGACAGCACCACTGCCAGGGCCATCCCCGTCGGACGAGCATCGGTGCCGGGGTTGGGGGCGGCATCGAGCCAGTGGAGTGCATGTGCTGGAATATCGCATGCTTTTTTGTTACCATTGGTTGTCACAAAAAACGCTGAGATGGACCACCGCACGGTTTTCATGACCATTGGTTGTCGTGTAAAGCGCTTTTCGACGACACCCACATCACTCGTTTTTCAAGACATCCCATGGTCAGTACCAAACAGTTTGTTTAAATGACAACGGTCCGGCTAGCCAGGGGGTTGGGGTCGGGGGAGGGGGGTGAGTTTGGGATGCATTTTGGGCCTGGACCCCATGCAGCCGGCCCGCTCCACAGCTTCTGGGCTTCCTCCGAAACGGAGGACACGGGTTCTGAAGGAGACACGGGCCCTGGACTCTGCGGCCCTCCCCAGGGCCAGACCGCCACCACGAGTCCACTGTCGCGGGCGAGCAAAATGTCCATACCCGTGGCCTCGCGGGCCAGGCCCCTGGGCCGCGACCCCACGGCTGTGGGGCGCTCCTGTTGCGGATGCCCTTCGCAGGGGCTTAAAGTGATCCGTGCGGCCGCGTCTCCGCGGGACCGCGCCCCGGAATCCAGACCGCGAGGGCGCGGGTGCGGATATGTTCGCTGCGCGTGGGTCTGGTTGACGGTCCCTGGGACCGTCCCTCCAGCGTCCATTTCGGTCTGGTCGGCCCGATTCGATGTCGATTCCGGCCGGCCGGGTCCGATTCGATCCCGATATTTCGACGGTCCGAAGCGGCCCCCCGATGCTTGCACGGCGCTGTTGTGCATCCTGGCGCAGCCGTTCCGATCCGATGTCGATCCACTGCCGATGCAGCCCGATCCCGTGCACGTGTCGACTCGATCCGGTTTACCGCTTCGATGTCGGCCGATCCTGCCATCCGGGACGCGGGGCGCCTTTCCTCCAGGACACCCTCCCCTTCGGCCGCGCGGCTGGGCCGCGCTCGGCCCCGGCCCCCGCGCACGCCACAGGATGCAGTGGGCCGCCATCAACGAGTTCCCCGGCCAGGCGGGCATGCGAGGGAGAGTTCGCCCCCCAGTGGGCCCTGGAAACGGCAGGGCAATGCTCCTTTACCGCTGCCGTTTTTCCGTTGAAGTGTCCGTTTCCTGCGTTGTTCTTGTTGACGCTTCTGGCGCCGTTGTTTTTTCCCCTGGTGGGTGCCTGGTCCAGATTACAGCCGTCGTACCAGATCAAGGCCGTTTCTGAACTGGTTCCGAATTTCATTCGGGTCCCCAGATTGACTTTGACCGGGCCTTTTTGGTAAACAGTTGTTTTCCGTTGCGGTAGGCAGTTCTTCTGTTCAGGATCACCAGGCAGTCTTTTGAAAACGAACCACACGGGCCTGCCGTGTCCAGGACCCATTGAAGGTAGTCCGAGGGTCTCCAGGCGGCCAAATCAAGAGCTCTGCCAGTTTTTTGGGGATGCAACTCCTGGGAAGTTGAAGTCAGCATCCGCGCTATTACATCGGTGGTCGAGGACTGGCACAAACCTGCATGACTCTGTTTAATTACCAGTTTCATCATATCCAGCCGAATCTTGGACCTAGTCCGGCTCAGTCTAATCTATAGTCTATAGTGTATAGTGGCGTTCTTATGCAGCTGAATATCCTTCAGCCGTTCCCACGCATACCTCCCAGGAGTTGCATCCCACAGTTTTCGGCGGCGCGCATGGGGGGAAATGGCGCGAGGGTGTCGGCTGGCGAACTGACTAGAAGGCGGGGGCTGCGTAGAAGCCAGGGCCCCAAGAAGGGCCCAGAGGCCGCCCAGAGGGCATTTCAGAAGCCGGGAGGGCTTCTGAGAGGCCACCTCCCTTAGCAGGCCTCCACCTGCTTTCTTAGAAGGCCGCACCCCTCGCATCACCCCCTTGTACGCGCCGCCAGCAGCCCCCGTGCTGAGAGTCTCAGCCATTCAGCTTCAGTAGCCAGTCCTCCAGCAATAGAGGGAGATCCCACCAGCTTAGGCGGGGCAGCCTGCCGAGACTGTGAGTACAAAGCGCAGGCAGATAAACAGATCACAGCAAAAAACAGCAACGCTAGCTGAAACAAACGCCAGTGCTTGCACGTACGCAGGGGGTCTGAGCATGTTCCACAGAGCTGCGTCCGGCTGCCGCACGTTTCCGCCGTCGCCGCGTTCAGCCCTGAACCGTGTGCGCGAGGCGCCGCCGTCGCCGCCGCGTGGTGGCCTGGAGCTTCCCTGCACTTCGCGCTTCTCAACTGGCAGTGTGCTGTCGCTGCCCGAACCAGCCAGCTGGGGTCCACTCGCTGGGCTCAGTGGTTGTCGAAGCTGTCTTCGGGAACGGTCGTTCAGGCAGAGCACAACACGCTGCGTTTTTGCGCGCCACCTTTCAGAGGCCTGCACCTGTCCACCCCTTGGCTGGGTCCATGAAGCCCGTCGATCCCACTGCCACCTTTTTTTCAACACGCCACCTGTCCCCCCCCCCTCGCCCGCCTCCCTCGTCCACGCACGTGCCTCGTGCCATGGTGCGCCCGCCCCCCTCTTCTCGGCCCCCTTTCGGCGCACTCGACTCACGGCTGGCGTCACCGCTGCCAATGTTTTGTCCCCCGCGGAATCTGCTTGATTGTTTCGGCGCGTACATGTTTGTGCGCCATGCTCCCCGCTGCCTGCTCAGCATTTCCTAACCCGCCACGCCATGTTCATGTGGAGGAAGCTCCGTGGCTGTTGGAAAGAGACAGAATATCGAAATGCAAGGGCGTCCACAAGGGGCAGAGGCCCACCCACGAACAATCACGCTTCTCCGCGGGCGGCGTGGGGTGGAACGCATGATGTGATCATGCACGGTGCAGCCGTACCATGACCAGCAAGTCCAGGCGAGTGACATCATCAGCTCAACGTCAGTGTGACCCTTCGCCGCAGTGACCTTTCGTGCGCAGATTTCGGGGGGCCGCGGGGGGCCGCACCCGAGCACGCACGCTGCTACTGTCGCGCCGCACGACTATGGCAAGCCGCGCACCGAAGGTAACTACTGCTTGCTGCGCGTAGCCAAAGCTCAAAGACAGGCATGCGCTAAGGCAGTGCGGCAGGTCATGGACAGCCAGTGTAACAGTATCGACTGCGGGACTGCTCAAGGCAATCCGCAGTGTCCAGCTGCTTGCGGCGCACCCCGCCATCCGTGCCCGCAGCAGCAGCGCAGCAGGTTGAGTTTGAGACCCACCTCAGGTCAGTACTCTGTGTGAGTGTTCGCTGGTCTTCAACGCGCCCTCCAGGTCAGCAAGCCTCGTTCCCCTCGTCCTTCGTCCTTCGTCATTTCCCTCCCCCTCTTTCCTCCCATGTTGAAGTCACCTTGGAGGCCTGTTTGGAGGTTTTCGGGTGCCTCTTGCGCCTTCGGCGCCGCCCCTGGCGTGCTCAGCGCGCCAGGGAGGGTCACGCATCGATCCACGATGTCCGCTCGGGCCTCCGAAAGGTGATGCGGAAGTCTTGCGGCAGTCTTGGGGGCCTCCTTGGAGCGTATAAAGGTGATCCGAATCTGGACACCATCGGAAAGACGTGATACATGTTTCATAGATCGGGCGTCTTTGGGAGGTCTCTTCCGCCATCGTGGGGGGATTTGGGGACCGTCGGCGGAGTTCGGTGGGCCATTGTTGGGCGGTCGTGGGGCTTCGTTTGGTTGCTTTTGGCTACCTTGGAGGCGTCTGGATTCCGAAAGCGGTAGCGAAAGCAATCCAGGGTGGGCGATTTTTGGAGGGTGTTATGAACCAGCAAGGCAACAGACAAGCATTCTACGTAACACGTTCCAGCGCGCAATTGCATGTTGCGCACTCCAGCATCCGCGTGCGCTGAAGAAGGGCAATGCCGCAGCATCATCCAGCGCAACATGAAGGCAAGGTTGGACAACTGAACATCGATCGGCAGGCAAACGACTCCAAGACGGCGTGCAACTTAGTTCTTCTGGTTAGTTCGAGATGCCACCGCACACCTTAATCACACATTGCATGCAGACATCGCATATGGTGGGACGGATCTGCGGCGTCGTGGTATGCCAATCATGGCGAGGCACAGAGTACTCAAACATTGCACGGGCGCGTGTCAGTTCAAGCCTTTCCACGCAAGCACGGCAGAGGAGGGACTGAATGGTTAGCTATTTTTCTTTGGGCTGACAGCAAGATCGTGTTACAGGCAGCAGGTCGATCATCATGCAGCAGGTCCGGCTTATCTATATTTCTACATGTGTGCCTATACTATATATATATAGATACAAGACTGCAGTGGCGCTTCGCGCCATGCACCTTGGTCCTTCGAGTTTCGCACTCGGGCGGCGTGCGTGCGCGTGCACATGCTCGCACGAATGTGTGCATACATGGCATGCGCCCGACGTGCATGCACGCCGTACATATATATATATATATACGTATATATACACACCTACAAGTAGGTGTGTGCATATTCTACATAACACGAACATGTCGCGAATGTCTAGTTATATGTAAATATGTATATGCGTGTGTGGGTACACTGCTGTACGCACAGATATGTACATTTATGCGTGCGTAAACATATACATATGTGTACAGGTATAGGTGCATGCATATGTATCATGCCTACCTGGGCATGTCTACGCGTGCACATGTGCATGCCTATATACGTGTGTGCGGTCGTAGCAACAAAGGGTGGGGAGAAACGCAGTGAAGGGCTCGCGAGTGCCGAGATACTTGGATAGGAGACAACATGGAGTACACTGCAAAATGTGGGACGGCGACTTGGGCTTACCAATGACCGTGTCTGTGGGACTATGGAGGGAGCCGTTTGAGGGCCTCGGGGGGCCTCGGGACCGTGTCGCAGCGGGGCTCGACTATCTCGACGCTGAAGTTCTTTTGTGCCGCCGTTCGCTCTTGGAAGGCCTCGCGTTCAGAGCGTTAACGTTACGCGGACCTTATTGGAGCTTCCCGAAGCCTTCTGAGGGCCTCTGTCGGACGTGGTGTAGCCCCTTTATGGCTTGGGCCCGTCTTTGGGCGCGTATTGGCTCTGTTGGGCTGTCTTGGGGTCATGTTCGGGCTCATGGCCCGTTTTGGGCCTGCCTTGGGAGCCTTCTCGGGCGTTTTCGAACTTCTGTGGGGTCCTTGCGGGATCTTTTGGGACTCTTGGGGACCTCTTGGGGCTTCCTGGGGGCCTCTTGGGGGCCTCTTGGGGCCTCTCCAGGGCCTTTTGGGAACCTCCTGTGGCCTTCTGGGGCCCTGTCGGGACTGTCTGGGGGCCCTCTTGGGCCGGTTTGGGGCCCTCTTGGAGGTCTGTCGAGCCATCTTAGGGCGATCTTGGGGGCCTCGTGAGCCGTCTTGGAGCGTCGAGGAGCCGAAAATTTGAGAACTCCCAAATCCCCCACGAACCACCAGAAAATCCATGAATTTTGCCTCTCGGGGCCCTCTTGGGAGTGTTCTGGGAGGCCTCTTGGGACGTTTTGGAGCGATCCTTGGAGGTATGACGGCTCCTTTGGGGTCGTCGTCGACCATTTTGGAGCTTTCTGGGGCCGTTTCTGGAGCGCGCCAGAACGTCGGGGGCCCTCTGGGGCCGTCTTTGGCTCTCGTGAGGTCCTCCCAGGTCTGGGAGGCTGCTGAAAGGGCTGTGGCGGTCCAAATTCGTTAGGGGCGGGGGGGGGGGGGCGCTTTTTTCCCGGGTCACCAGCCTTACAACAAATAGAAGAACATTAATATATGTATATATATATATATATATGTATACATATATATAGAGATGTGTATTCGCGACGACATCGAACTCAGAGGCAATGCAATGACATGGCGATGAGCCCGATCGCAGGTAAAATCCATGTGGGTAATGACATTGCAGAACCTAGGTCGTTTCTTCGGAGCGCTTGGCATTCAGGATGACACGAGCAGTTCGACTTCCTTTGAACCTCTCGTCGAGCGTTGTTAGGTGCGAGTATGTTGAGGCAGGCTTTTGTCACTGGAGCTTGAGACCGGCCCCCGCGTTTTCGCTCTGACCCGAACCTTCCATCGCATGTTCGCTTCTAGGAGCACTCTCCCCACGCACTCGTAAGATCGTTCGTAGTCACGTTGGCTCAAGATATGCTGGGTGTAGTTATCTCGGCTCGATTTGAGCCCCTGATTCTCCGAAGGCAACCCCACCGATGATCTCTCGCAGTATCGCTCGACGCATTGCTAGCCGTTGCGAAGGGGTGCTGGCGGTCTCTTATCAAGTGCCATCGTTAGCACGTTGTGCAGTTCCATTTGGCGTGGTGTCAGGAGTTGCAGCCAAGAGCCATGGTGTCGTTGCAGTCGCCGGTTTGGTTGCAGGCGGATGTTGCAAGGCTGTTCAATGTGATGATGAAGGCAGAGGTTCATCCCAGTACATCGATGATGAAGGCAACACTTTCCATATATTCAGCGACAAGAAGAGTGCAAAAGCAGCTGCAAATCGCGACGGGAATTCGCGAGCAGTTTTCCATGGACCTCACTTGCCAGGCTACCTCCCGCATTACCATGCCGTAGCAGATGGTCAGAATAGTTTTGCGCAGTATGTTTGGTTAGATACGGTGCAGATGCTTCGCGAACATTGGCTTGACCGCGACGTGCCTCTGGATGTGAAGCATGCTCGCGACCGCGTGCAGCGGCAGCTTGCAGAAAACGATCATAGGGAATATACGAGGATGCGAGACATTGAAGAGAAGCAGGCGCATCAGCCTCCAGAGCAGTTGGAGGCAGCGGAGTTCAATAAGTTTGGCGTCCCCACAATAGAGCAGCACAAAGAGGGAGTACAGGTTGCCGTCCGAGATTGCCTGTTGGTTTCAATCCTGATGCAATTCGACAACTCGTCATCCTCGCGTTCGTACTCCATCGGAGACGCTCTCGCTGCGAGCTTGCGCGCAGTATTGATCGAGTTCCTCTACTTCTGTGGGCACTCGTTCGAGGCAAAGTATGGTTTGCCTACCTGGACAGCTCCACTTTTCCCTTGCCTTCTAGGCGGCCCTGGAGGTCAGTGGAGCGCGCTTGCTACGTGGTACGGAATGCGGGCTGGCTGGAGCACCGACGAAATTGTGCATTTCCGGAGCCAGGTAAGTGGTGTGATAACAGCTCACTCCATGTCGACTACAAAATCTCCAACCGATCGTGAGCAGTGACGCAGGAAAAGTTCGTGCTCCTCCGCTGCACGAACCAAGATCCCCCACACAGGAATGCAAGACCACAGGAGCAGAAGAGGCAGGAGGAAAAGCATGAGCAGGGGGAGCCCGAGGAGGGAGGGGAAGACGGACATTTTCTCCGACGCGGCGATAACGGCAGCCAGCGGATAACGAACAGCCGTGCAGGGGAGCGCGCGGAGCAAGTTCACCCCCTTGTATGGTAGCACGTACGGTAGGCTCGCGCCGCGTCGACGCGACGACAACCCCTGCGCGGGCGTTCAAAGTTGAACGCCGACAGTGGCCCAGAAGCGTCCGACATCGGACGATCTGCGCCATCCAAAGGCCGCGCTTGCTCAAGCTTGAACAGTCCATGCTGTGTCAGAGGCTAAAACAATGGTAGTCACGATGCAAACCCGCCGTGCATCCAGACCTCCCAATTTGGTTCCGAGGTTTCGCTGCATCGCCGATGTATCGGCGATGCGGCTCGATGTGAACCCGATTTCTCCACGCCGACGGCGAAAAATGCATCGCCGACGTCGCCGATGCATCGCCGACGCATCGGCGATGCATTGGCGATTCGGCGGCGATGCATTGGCGATTCCGCGTGATCTTCCGACCCCATGTATTCGGACCCCATTCGGGAGGCCTCCAGTAGAACGATGGCGACCTGGATACAGTACGGCTGGGACCCCACAAAGCAGCGGGCTGTGTCCAAACGATCCTGCGCTGCCGAAGGTCCCCCGGGAGCCCCGGGCGACAGGGCTACCCTGGGCAGGCGCGCAGGGGACACCAGACGACCCCAAAGGAGGCCCCAAGAGGGCCCAAGAGACCTCCAAGACGCCCCCACAGCGCTCCAAGAGGGCCTCGGTGGCCCTCAGAAGGCCTTGGACGACCCCGAGTGATGCGGGGAACGACGCCAGCAGCCTGGGGACTCCGCGGGCCCTCACGAAGGCCCTAACCTCCGACGGTCTGACTGTTTCCATCGCGGCGTTTTTTCTTCAGTGCGGCCCCTGGGGTGGCCCAGGAGATCGCAGAAGGCTTCCAAAATGGCCCCATGAGGGCCCCACGGCCCCTAGATGCCTCCAGGATGCTCCCAGAGCGTGGCTGCACGCTAGGACGCATCCCTGGTCAGTGCAACTCGCCTGGTGATTGGTGGGGAGATTCGAAGCGTTAATAATTTGTCAGTCACACATGACTTCTCATCGTTCAACGACATCTACCACCAAAAACAACGCCACATGGGCCAATGGGCCAAATTAACATAATCGAACTTATGCATTGGGTCATGGCAGGGAAGGCAACGCAGCCGGCCGCGCACTTGCAAATCAATCCTCGTTTTGGGCGTGCGCGGCGCAAAACCTAATGCATCATGTTGCACGACTTATTTACTTCACTGGTCGTTTCTGTTTCATTTACCATTGTGACCTCTCGCTTATCCGGGGATATCATGGTCGCGTTCCGACCGATGGTGTCTGAGTGTTGCGTGGCCGAGTTCGGCGCAGATTCGGAGCGTGTCATCTGTTCCGCCAGGAGGCTCCTCAGGCTCCGCAATGGCCCTGTGTCTCAACGGGCGGAATACCAAGCCGTGGTTACAATCGACATGTGTGCTCCTACCTAGGACCTTGTATATAATCAAGAGCGCTGGACTACCCCAGCAATGGTTAGCTCGTATTGCAGGGGCCGATCAGGTCCCAGCTCGAACGTCGACTGGATGTTGGAGGTTGGGGGGCGAGATCGGGGTGGAACTGGGAGCCCCCCGCCGGGAAGTCGATTTCGGTTTCGGGCTCGTGTCGCGCGTGCGGGCGAGGCGAAGCTGCGCGTGCGGGCGAGAGGAACGACTCCGCTGTGGCTGGGGCGAGTCAAGAGTCGTCGACCGCCCCTCCTCCCACTCCAGGGGGCGGGCAGTGGCCAGGTTGTCCCGCGATGGTGTCCCGTCGCTGTCCGCCTCTCCCCCGCGTTGGGCGGGCGGTGGCGGGGTTGACCCGCCGTGGTGTCCCGTCGTTGTTCCGTCGGTGCCCCGTCGGTGTCCCGTTGGGGCCCCGTCGTTGTCCCGTCGGTGTCCCGTTGGTGCCCCGTGGTGAGATCGATTGTGGGATCGATAATGAGGCCGACAGTGAGATCGAGTGAGTGAGATCGATAGTATGACCGATGGTGAGATCGATCGTGAGATCGAACGTGAGATCTATTGGTGCCCCGGTGGTGTCCCATGGTGTCCCGTCGGTGTCCCGTATCCCGTCGGTGCCCCGTCTGTGTCCCGTAGTTGTTTCTCCTTCCCACCAACCTCCTTACCACCCGAAGGGTGGTCGCATAGGTACTCGCTTCTCCACCTCCTGCCTCTCCATCCGCTGCCGTTGCTGATTCCCTGTCTGCCTCCTCCTCGATTTCATCATCCTCATCTCTCTCTGGTCTTATTCTCATCCCCCTCCTTCCCTCACTCCTCCTTCTCGCCATTCTCCTTCCGCGGTTGTTTTGGACAGGGACCATGGCTTGTCATTAGCATTGTTGAGTTTCGCCTTGCCTTCCTACAGTCTTAGAATGGCGCGCTTGTCGCTGAATGTCGAGGCTGCCGAGAGATACCTGGTATCAATCCCGTTGTTCATGGAGGAGCCTCTGCTTGGCAGGACTGCCCCGACGTGGCACAGCTTAGAACTCCAAGCGGCAGACAGCGTGTGTTCCTTGGCGGAAGCCCACGACGAGGCCGCCTCCGTCGAGATCGCTGGCCTGTCCTGCCTGGACGTCCGCAAGGCAGAACACTTCCTCCGCTCGATCGAGCTTGACGCCGGCGAGGGCGCGGACGCCCGGGGCAACGCCCACGACGGCAGCAGGCCCTCGGCTTCCACCAGGGCAGCGGCGGCGCACGCGCCAGAGAGAGGCGGGTGGCTCACCGTGGTCGGCGGCTGGAGGAGCCGCGCCGACCTGGACATGCTCGCGCCGGGGCTCCTCAGGAAGGGGCTGCTCGGAGGTCGGAGGAAGCAGACACCGCCCGAGCAGACACTGTCGGAGGTCCCGCGCAGGTGTCTCGGATCGGCGCTGGGGTCCCCTGGCGGCGCCTCTGGCGCCGCCCATGGCGCGCTCCGCGCGCCAGGGGGAGGGGCCCAGCGCCAAATCCAAAAATGATTCCGTGCGGAGCTCCGAGTGTTTTTGTAGGTGTAGGTTTGTTCACTTGGCCACCTGTGAGCACTTCACGCAAAGGAGGAGGAGTATGAAAGGAGCTGATGGAAGGAACCGTGGAGGCACCGTTGTGAGCTGGTTGTGGCGAATGTTGGTTAAACGTTCTGTGCATGTAGGTGTTCCCAACCATGCTGTGGTAGTGGGTTCTGTTTTGAAGAGACAGTGCCCCGCGTCCTCTCTTCCTCCCTCCTGCCCTTCCTCCAATCCCTGCCCCTGCCCTCCGCATGTCCATTACGGCACACCCCTCTCGCGCGTCGTGGCCCCATGGGGAGCTCCACGGACGGCCCCAGCGGCAGCGTACGCGTCTCCCCCGTCCATCACGGCACAGTCCTGACACGCGTCGTGGTCCCATAGGGAGCCCCACCGAAGGACCCAATGGTGGTGTTTGCATGCTTCCCCCGCACGTTTCGGCACGTCTTCGCGCGCTTCGTGGCCCCATAGGGAGCTCCACCGAAGGCCCCAATGGCAGTGCCCACGTGCGCCCCCCCCCCACGCCCATCTCGGTACATCACTCACTGACGTCGTGGCCTCCTAGGGGGCAACACCGAAGGCCCCAGTGGCGATGTTGGCATGCGCTTCCCCCGCCAGTCTGGCACTCCTCACACGTGGCGTGGCCCCATGGGGAGCCCCTCCGAAGGCCCAAACGGTAGTGTTCGCGTGCACCGCCGCCGCACATGTCCGCACACCCCTCGCACGCGTCGTGGCCCCATAGGGAGTCCCATCGAAGGCCCCAGTGGCGACGTTTGCATGGGTCCCCCCCGCCCATGTCGGCACACCCCTCACAAGCGTCGTGTTCCCATAGGGAGCGCCACCAAGGGCCGCAGTGGAGGTGTTCGCATGTGTCCGTGCCCTCCACCCATCTCGGCACACCCCTGACACGCGCCGTGGCCTCATAGGGAGCTCGACCGAAGACGATGATCATAACGGTGTATTCACAATTGCATAGTGTTGGGTCTTTCGCCAGGCTAATATTCTTTCGGAGGTCGCGTGATCATGACGACGCGCCAGTCCTTCTCGTACGCGTGCAGCACCTGCCCGCCGCAGCTGGACGCTGGCGTCCACGGCTCGGCGGGTGTGCCGTCAGCGGGCACGCCGCGAGTGCTGCCCCGGGGCGACACACGGCAGCCGCATCGTAAGGGAAGAAACGGTCTGACCATGACCAAGATGTCGTGGGATCTTGTTGACGATGATCTCGGTCAAGGTTTATGCCGGCCGTCGCCAATTCGCGAGGGTGATCCACGAATCGATGCAGACGAAGAGGAGTTGTGGCCAAGATCGGCACCGACGTTTCCGCGTTCACTCTTGGTCATGGTCCTCGGTTTCTTGCCCTCCAGCATCTGGCGAGCCTCGGGTGGTGCTGCCTGCGGAGGCGGTCGAAGGACCAGAAGCTGGTCGCGGGCACCTCGTACGCTCACTTTCTGGTACCGAGCGACGAGGGAGAGAAAGCGGCATGACACAGAAATTTTCGACGACGCTCCGCGCAGATCTCTTGGATAGGCGCCCGAGCCTTCCTGGCGGCGCCTCCCTCCAGCGCCGCCCCTGGCGCGTTCCGCGCTCCGCGCGCCAGGGAGGGTGGCACAGCGCAGATCCAAGAAATCCGCGCGGATCTTCCCAGACATGCGACGTCTGGTTTTTCAATTCGCGGTCCCCAGAGCTCCCCTCCCTTTGCCCAGGGCACGTAGTTTTTCATCCCGAGCCGTGGTTTGACGGCCCCGAGGCCCCGTGAGGGCCCCCAGAAGCGAAAACCCGGCCTGTTAATTTACCGTTGCGATTTCTTCACGACGCGAGCACGTCTTGGAGCGCAGATCCAAGAGATCAGCGCGGGCCTTCGAAAGTTAGTGGTTGTGCCGTTCCTTGTTCCTCCACGAGCGACGGGCGGTTGCCCAGGGGGCGTGGCCACTACGACCCGGGCTTCCTGGACGACCAGCGCCTGCGACAGGGCAAGCACCACACGGTGCTGCGCCTGGAGGGCTACCAGGTCTCCGTGATCCCCTTCGTGCGGCCCAGGCGCTTGAAGGAGGAGCTCAACGACCAATTCCGCTCTGCCCATCTGGTAAGGCTTCGGGCTGCGCATGGCAGTCCCGGCTGGCCGTAACAGGCCCCCCGATTAAATAGTCCCAGCTGGCCTCAAAAAGCCCCCCGAGTTTCCGGAGGCGGTCTCAACACCTCGGCGCCGCATCCCGCGGCCCCTCTGGATCGCTCCGCGGGTCGGGCTAGCTGGGAGGCCAGTTACTCGGGGGTCCTGTCGAGGGTCAGCCGGGAGTACCGGAAGGGGCCGTGAACGCGCGGCCTGAATCCTTACCATTCCCATCCGCACATTCACCCCTCGATCACGCTCTCAAAGCTCAGAAATCTGCAGAAGGACATGCGCGAGATAGCGGCTACCGTGGACGAGCTCGACATCTCGACCGTCGCTACAGCCTGGGTGTACTTCGAGAAGCTCGTCCTCGGAGACTTTGTCAGGAAGGCGAACAGAAAGTTGCTTGCTGGAGCGTCTCTGATATTGGCGTTCAAATTCAATCAGCCGTCTTGGGGAAGCCGGGACAAGGAGACATCGGAGGCTGCTTTGTTGAAGAAATTAGCAGATAGGATCAGGAAGTTGGATCGCAAGGACCAGCTTGACCAGGCTGCGCTGCGCAACGCGGAGGTCAGGGTGTTCGTCTGGCTCGAGTTCAGCCTCCACCTTCAGAGGGCTGAGGTCCTCCCTCACTTGCACCGGATGCTGAAGGACAACGGAGAGACGCTAGAGCATTACTACGGAGCCGAGACCACGCGCATCGTCAACGACGAGTGGCGCCTCCTCTCTGGGCTCGACGACACTGACGGTGGCGAGCGCGGGGCGAGAAAGCCTTGGCACAAGTCACCGTTGCAGTCGCCTCTTCTGGGGGCCTGGCTGCCCCCCGCGCGCGTGCCGGAGAGGATTCACCTGGAGCCGCACCCCCCCCGCGATCGACTTGCGTCAGGGTGAACAAAGGCCGCCCCACAGCAGCGCCGTCTTCATAGACTGGGTGTTGTCGTGTGCATGTGCGTTTTAACTGTACGTAATTAGAGCGCGCGTGCCTGCACCGTGCGCACGGGCAGGACGTGCGGCGTGCGTGGACAGTGGATGTGCGTCCGTACGTGCGCAAGCATTTGACAGTGTACTTGCTCCTCTTTTTACCGCTGGTTCTGACGGACTGGCGCGTCGGAATCTGACAACCGAAGTGTGCACGCTGTGTATCTGCGAGTTTGAACGCAATGGGGGCGTAGTAACAGCATGAGATGTGTCTCTCTGATGCCGCCCGAGGGGACTCGGAGTCCATGGGAATACAGTTTGGCATGTTCGTCACAGTGTTTCTAGCAAGGTGTTGATTCGACCTCCTGGGGCAGCCGACTGGTGTACGGACGCAGACCGTAATTATTTGATGTTGCTCTATGCGAGGTGGACAGAATTTAATTTAGCTGAGTCGCCCAAATCGTTAGGTCGCACTTTGACCTCCAGTGTTGAGAATCTTTGACTGGCGGTCAGAGGCCAGGGGGTGAGGGCATTTGATTGTCAGTTTCGATGGATTGCTTGAGGGGTGCTGTCCGAGCAGTTTCAAGCCAGGGGCCGAGGATATGTTGATGGTAGTTGTAGGCAACGGGGTACGCATATTTTTCTGCCAGTTCGGGGAGTTGTGGGTGTGGATGCGTTGGGGGAGGAGGCTGCGTTGCTTCCAGTATTGGGTCAGGTTGAATATATCTCGCTGGTGTTTCGAAAGTGCTGGCAGTTTTGAGCCAGTGGTGTGGGGTATCGATGACGCTACTGGCGAGTCACTGCTGCATCCTGCCTTCAGGCAACGTCCGAGTGGTGGAACGTTGAGCGTCAGCGCGGCAGTGCCAGTGGTTAACGGTTAGCAAGTTCCCCGAGATGTCAGGTACTGGCTGGGGGACCACGCGGGAGGGGCCCTTCTTGGGGCTTGCTGAGGGCCGCTTGGGGCCTCTTGGTGGCCGGGCTATCTTGGGATTCTCCAGGGTCGTCTTTCTGGTGATTTTGGCCCATCTGGCGCTCTGGGCCCGAAAGCCTCTCTGCTCCGTCTTGGGGCCCTCTTGAGGCGCTCGAGGGCCGTCTGGGGACCATCTTGGGCCGTCTTGGGCCCTCTCGGGTCCTCTTTGGTGCCCCCATGGGTCATCTCGAGGCGCTGATGTGCCGTCCTCGGGCCTCTTGCAGGCCTCTTGGGCCATGTTGGGGCGATATTTTTGGGGCCTGCGGGGTCGTATTGGATGGGGGGCAGCCTGGAAAGGCGAGGTCGCGAAACTCATGAAAACACCGACGGGAACTCAATCATGTTGGCTTCTTCGGGGCCCCTGGTGGAGGCGTCCTGGGGTTGGCGGGTGCCCTCTGGGCCGTCTTGAAGACATTGGGTTGTCTCGGGGCCCTAGTGGGGCTTCTTGGAGCCGTCTCGGGCCAGCTTGGAGGTCTCTTCAGACCCTCTTGGGCCATCTTGATAGCACCCTGGGACCTTCCTGGAAGCCGTCTTGGGAGCCCGTCCTGCCAACGTGCCTGGGTCGTGAGAGGCTTTTTGGGGCCTTGGGGCCTCATGGAGGGGATGGAGGCGTCTTGAGGGCCGCCTCCCGGTGATCGATTGGGGTATCTGGAGCTCCCTTGGTTGCCTTTTGAACGCCTGGAGGCGGTCCCGGGGGTCATCTGGGGGTGGATGGTTTCAAATGCCAGTCCGTGTTCCCCTCTCGGGCCCCACTGGGGGCCTCGTAGCGGCCTTTTTGGCCCGCTTTGGAGGGCCTTTGGGGCCATCTAGGGGCTCTCTTGGGGCCTCTTTTGCCGTCGTGGACGCTTGCAGGATCGAAATGCCGAGCGCACGACCATCACACGAACTATCTTGTTGGTTTCATGGTGCTAACCTCTTGGGGCGGCATCTTGGGCCTCTCACGCCGCCCACGAGGCTCCAAGAGAGCCCCCGGAGAGCCTTTCTGGGCTACCTGAAGGCGTCCTGGAGGCCGATGCCCGCACACATGCTCTGCTAGGTGGTCCGGCCCCTTGACGAGCATGATGGGCAACCCTCAATCTACAGAGCTCGGAAGAATCGGATGACAAGCCACTCAGTGCCTCCCAGAATGGCTGTGGACTTTGAGGGCAGATCTAGGCGGGGGTGATGGAGATATGTTGCAGGCAGTGCTAGGCCAGGACGTGTTACTTGCAGTTTGAAGCGAATGGGGTGAGGAGTTGTTGCTAGCAGTTTTCGGCTAGGAGCGAGGACATGTTGCGGGCAGTGTTCGGCCAGGGGTTGAAGCTATAGTCCTTGAAATTTTGGGCAAATAAGTTGAGGACAGTCGCTCAGTCGCTGGCAGTGTGGGGACGTCGCCCAGTCGCTTACATGCCAGGGCTGTACCCATATATTGCTGGTAGTTTTTAGCTGCTGGGACGATGATCATTGCATGGCAGTCTTAGGCAACAGGGTTGGAACATGGTTTCGCTGGCAGGCTTAACCGAAGGGGATCTGATAAATGTGTTGCCATTTGTTTTCAGCCAGGGAGGCAACGGCATGTGAAAGGAAGTTCGCAGCTCAGGGGCGGGGGACTTTGTCACGGGGTGGTTTTAGTCCTTAAACTTGTTTTCTTTCAGATGGATTGCTCTTTATTTGAGACTTGGTCCAGAGAGTGCGGACACTTAGCTGGCAGCTTTTTGGACAGGGGTGATGAGATGTTGTTGGCAGTGTTTGGGCCACGGGGAGTGACGACATGGTGACATGTGCAGGTTTTGTGTAGAGGGTGAGGATATGTTGCTGGCAGTGTAAGGCGATGTGCTTAGAATACTGCGCTGGCAGAGTTTGCATCACAGGATGAGGACATGCTGCTGGCAGTTTTTGGCCAGGGGTGAATACTCTTTGCTGGCAATGTCAAGCCAAAGGGTTGAGGATATGCTGCTGGCAGTTGTAGGAATTAGGACAGGGAGAGGATAGTCGACTGGCGTGGTTAAGCCTTGGGGGGAATATGCTGCTGGCAGATTTACGCCAAGGCATTTTAGTTTGGTTTCTGGAGCGCTTGGCGCCATGACACCGTGAGCTGGTGTCCTGAGCGTCGGGGCATCAGGGTGTCGGCCAACGACCGCTTGCGCTTGAGTGCAGAGGTCTCGACCGCACGATGTGTTCGGTGCAGATACCCAACAAGAAGGCATCGAGCTTGCGCATTTTGGATCCTCGCGGATTTGGCCCAATCGGTATTCCCCCGAACTCCGCCCTCGGCTTCACATGTATTCCCCCTTGAGCCGATTGATTATTGCAAGTGGTTGGGTGATTGAGCTATCAGCTTGACCCCTAGCGAATGCGGCATAGGTCATAGTTTGGACCGACCCACTCGATCGGACCACACAGGATCCGTGGCGAACTCGTGCGTAATACCGTTTGTGTTCATTGGACATGCTGGGCATTCGAGTCTGGTAATCGTGTTCCATGTCTCCTTTGGGCTCGAATACTGCGGAGGGGACCCATTGCCATAGTGCATCGCACTCTGGAGAGAACATGCGATGGCCGTCATCACCACCATCTCAGCGATACCTTCCCCCTTCCCTTTCAGGGAGGAGCACGAAGGAAGGATGCATCTCCTGAGAGGTTAGAAACAGCATCGGCGCATTATATACGTGGACGAAACCAGGTTGTACTCTAGCATAGTCCCGCATACCTGCTTCTTATCCCGCTCAATCTGGTTTAACCGGATTTGATCCTAAGCTTATTCTGCTTTAGTCAGACTTAGTGTCCGTTCAGTTTGGCCTAGTAGCTCGTGATTGTTCTGTCGAAGACCTTCAGGGAGATGCCTCCTAACAAGAGCAGGACCCGGAAGGCGGAGAGGGAAGATGCAGTGGAACTCAGGCGTGGGGGATGGGCGGGGGGTCCACCTACACCGATCGTGGGCAGTCTGATCCAGAGCCCGGGATCGGCGTATAGGTCCTCGTGCCCAAGGCAGGAGGGCTTACACACCGATCCTGGGCCCAGGACGGGCCTGGCCAGGGTCGTTGCAGGTGTACTGTCGGTACCCTCCTGGATGGCGTTCTCCCTGCTGCGGACCCCCCCCCCCCGGGAGCCCAGGAGCAGGCCTGCAAGCTGGGCTACGGCCTGGTGCTCGAAGAGTGCCCGCACTGCGCCGGCTGCCCCCTTGAGGACATCGGCTGCCTGGAGGCCTCGCCGCGGCCACGAGGGAGCAGCCCGGAACTCCGACGATGCTCACGGGCCACGCTTCGCCCCCAATTCGGCGGCGAGCCCGAAGGGGGAGGTGAGGAGGAGGAGGGGCGGGCCTTCTCAGAAGGCTCGGAAGTTCGCCAGCCTGCTGGGAAGTTGTTTAAGCTATCCCCGAAGACGCACAACAGAACTTCTCAGAAGGCCGGATGGCTTCTGAGAAGTCCCGCCGCCTTTGAGAAAGCTTTCTCCTTCTCACTCCCCTCCCTCGCTCGGCGCCGACCAATCCCCGAGTTGCCCCCGAAGAGTCAGGTTGCTCAGAAAAGAGGGAAAAGTCAGGGAGGCGCCTTCGGGGGCCTGATCGAACGCACCCCTATCGAGGATGGACGTCCCCCATCGTATCGTATGTCCTAGAGTTGAGCCCACAATGTTCGGTTGGGCCCGGAATTTCAGGTCCGAGCGAAAACCCCCCAAAGTCGGGGATTGGGGTCGCCATGCCGCTCGTTAGATACAGCATTGAAGAAGAGGACTAAAAACAACATAAACCTAAACTTTCGACGGTCCGCGCGGATTTCTGGGATCTGCGCTGGACCCCTCTGGCGGCACCTCCGGCGCCGCCCTAGGCGCGGTCCGCGCGCCAGGGAGGAAGGTCCAGCTCAGATCCAAGAAATTTGCGGAGACCGTCGAACGTCTATGTATATGTCGTGCTCTTTTGGCTTCTACAGTGTTGGGGAAGTGTGCGCATGTGTGTTTTTCATATCGAAAGGTGACTCTATAACATATTAATCACACGTCCGCGGCCAATCCCGAAAACCTGTAGCCGTTTGTTCGGCTCGAGAAAAAGAGCCCCTCTTCCTTGCCCCCGCTGCCACGGGGGAAAGGGGGACTCGAGCATGGTAGCGGAGCTCGCTTGATCGCGGGCCGCTCCGCATTTTGCGAGCTCGCCGCGACGCGCGCGGCATTAGCGGCCAGGCAACGGACAGCCCCGCGCCTCGGGTGGGACGGCGCCCACAGCGCAGAAGGAGGCCGCCGTGCGATTAATACCGCGGTGGCGTGGACGGCCGCCCCCAGAGTCGGAAGGCAGTGGCGAGACGGCGGAGGACTCCGCTGCGGCCACTGAGCAGGAGGAGCGCCAGGAGGAAACGGTCAGCCCCGCACTTCCGAAGAAGCGCAACGAGCGCGGCAAACGCGGCGGGAACGTTGGAGGGCATCGGACTGACCGCGACAGCGCCTGGCGAAAGCTCGCTTCCGAAGAGAAGGCCGCGTGCAAGAATCAGCTGCAGCGGGACCTGAGGAGGCAAGCAGCAGCAGAGGGCGAAGATGGAGGACCAGATTCGCCAGTTGGTGGAGCAAGCGAGGCAACTGACATCGACAAATCAGCAGTTCTAGGCCGACCTACAGCAGCGAGACGTGGCGTTGACAGAGGTTCGAGGGCAGCTGGAGGGCCAGAGCGATCGAGCGCGAGCAGCGGCAAAAGGCCACGCGGAGATCTTGGACACGAGGATGCTGCACATTGTGAAGCCGTTACATATCGCCGCTCGACGAGATCGAGGACAACGTAGAGGACGTGGACAATGTGAACCTGAGTGCAGAAGAGGTCGAGCTCAGCACGCAGCTGTACTTCGCCCTGGTCCTGGCCATGCCGGAGGATCCAGTTCGGGAGTTGATCGCGAGGAAAAGCCCGCAAGGCGAAGGGGCCCTGTGTTGGAGGCAGCTCTTGAAGGACTGCAACCCCGCAGAGGCTGGAAACGTGCTCGCGATGTGGGGGCATCTGGCAGACGCGAAGGTCGAGCTCCACGACGACGCACTGGTGGACATCCAGATGCTCGACGAGAACATCGCGCGGTACCCGAAGATGACAGGCAAGGGGTTCTTGCGAAGGCGCTGAGGGGCCGCGCGGAATTGCAGAAGTACGTGTTCCGCAACGGCACGCGTCTCAACGCGTTCGAGCTCTCCAGGGCGGAGGTCGCGTTAGCATTGACAGCGGAGCGCGCTGTGACGGATGGCCCCATGGAGATCGCCGCGTTGAAACGAGGGCGCCGTGGCTTTGCCGCGGAGGCGAAGCCAAAGACAGAGGCGAGAAAGGCAAGGGCTACGGCCAACTGTCAAGCGAGAGTCCCGACGCGGACATCGAGTCACTATTGCGACAAGAGAGGCCACCGAAAGAGCGACTGCAGGAAGCGGATCGCAGACGAAAGGAGGAACGCCGATGAACAGTCCGACTTGAAGGAGAAGAACAAGAACGACCCAGAAAAAACAAGAAATGAGGTAGCCGCCGCCATCGGATTGGAGCTGGAGGCAATGGCAGGAACTGCTGAGCTCGTCGACAGCCCCGACGCAGTTGGCACTAGGAAGCGGAGGGGGAGCCCCCGGCGGCGCGGCCAGCGCGGCGACCCAGGCAGCGCCGGGGAGTCCTTCGAGCGAAGAGGTCTCTAGCAGTGAGGGTGCACAGGCGCGAAGACACGACGCGCCCTGGGTCTGGGGACCAAGTGGGCGCGACGCGCGCGCAGCCCCGGCGAACAAGTCTTTCGAAGAGACCGCTGGCACTGCGACGCTTGGAAGCTGGACTTCTGCAGGAAGCGCGCGGACTACAGCTTCAAATTCCATGGGGGGACAGCGACGACGATCGTCAACGCCGTCGAGCGGCCGCGGTTTGCCCCGCGCCAGCTCAGGCGAGTGGACTTCGAGGGCCCGGCGAAGGTGGCGACCGAATGCAGTTGGCCCCGAAGGAGAATGCGGAAACGCTGGTATCGGAGGCGCAGGTAAGCGCCGCGCCCCGCAATCCGGCGGAGAAGCGCAACTACTCGCCGGCGGACAGCAGCGCGGCGGGCCGGAAGGGCATCGGAGGGGAAGGCGCCCCGAAGCACGGCCATGTGGGCGTCGCTTTGTCTCGAAGAGGAGAGGCGAGTCAAGTTTGAGCTGAAGCGGCTGAGTCTGGCCGCCCAGCGGTGGCGACGGACGCCGCGGTCGCCCGGGACATGGGCCCGCTGCGCAGCCCAGCTGGGAACTGGATCATCGACGGGGCCATTGAGGCGCCAGACGCAACCGAGCGCGCGCCCCTGCGAAAGTACCAGCACAACTACTGCTTGGAGTGCGACGAGATCCTCGACAGTGGAGGCCGCGAAGGTGCCCGGGTGGCCGCAGTCAGGGAGACCCTTCCACGACGTGCCGCTGCTGGACACGCAGCTGGGGGCCCGCCCCGAGCATTGGGCCCAGAGCCCGACAAGACGTCTGCCGCACCTGCGAGAGTGCCCAAGTCGCCGCGCCAGCCGAGCGCGGCAGGGAGGGTAGCTCAAGGAGGGCACCGCTACATCTGAACCCACGGCGCCTGCGCGCCATCTCCGAGCCGGCGACGAACCGCGCAGCGTTCAGGAGGTCCCGGGCGAGGAACAGACCCCCGAGTCGCGCAGCTGCATCTACTTTGCGAGCGTAGACGATCTCGCGACGAGTTTCAGGGAGGTGAAAGGAGGTTCCCCATCCCCCATCGGGCAGAAGCTCGAGATGGCGAAAGCGGATCTGGATGACGCGATCTCGGTGCTCTCGGCTGCAAGGTTCTTGCACAGGCAGCGCTCGACGCCACCGCGGAGCTCGACGACTACAAGATCGGGCTTCTTCTGAACGTGCTGAAGGCATGGGGTCGCGCTACTGCTACGCTGCACACGGGCCGTGGGCCTGCTGCGATGGCTGCGGCGAATGCGGTGAGGAACCGTCGACCTTGTTCTGCTTTAGCGCAGGGATCACCGCCCTTCTCGAAATGGGTTCGTCGGGGGCGCGCGCGAGCTAGCAGGTGAGCTTCGAAGAGTCTACTAGCTGAATCTGGGGCAGAAGCCCCGAGTATAGATCTGGGCGCAGGCCATGGTCGCGCTGCTTGTGGACGCCGCGGGCTGGGCGATCAGCCATGGAAGTTCTTCGCGCGAGATGCTGCGCGGCCGCGGGTGCCAGGGGGAGATCGCGGAGTTCGGTGAGCAGATCTGATATAGGATCGCAGCTCGGGTCGCAGCATGTCGAGGCAAGTGGGATGCCACCCTTGCCAGGGGGGCCTGGGCCGGTGAGAGCGACATCGACGACGCCCACTCGGCAATCGACTTCGAGCGCGGAGTCCAGAGGGCACGAACGGCACTACAACCCGCTGGATGAAAAAGTAGAGACCGCGGGGATCGAGGAAGACACTGTTAGTCCCCCGTTAGGCCCCGGGCCCCCGGGACAATGTTGACCTCGGGGCCGAGTCGGGAATTTCAGGTGCATCTTTCACCCTTTTTAATAGTATAACGGCCAAATGGGGTCAGCGACTGAAAATGCGATTCCGCGGCCTGAGACGCCCACCCAAAAAAAAATCAGATCGCTGTCGAGGGCGATTTGAAAAATTGCCGCGGCATCTGAAAGTGGCGATTTTGCGTGGGACTTCCGCGGGAAAAAAATCAGATCCATCCTCATACCGCTTGGGAGCGGTGATATCGCCGGAGAATTCCTAGCAGGGTATTTCCCGACCGCTTTTCACACCGCCAAACAATCGCGCGTCTCGTCCACCCCTGCGTCGCCGTTCCTCCGTTCGGGTCACGACTCTGTCTGGGAGTAACTTGGGATCGATCGAAGGTCGAAGCTTGAGTTCTTTCTCCGAGTGGCGGACACGGGGTTGTTCCCTGCCATAGTTCCGATCACCACTTTTTAATCCAGGGGGTGGCAATAATGCCCGAGGAGTTCCGTTGGGACGCCGAGCAGTTCAATCATGTCACGGCGACGCCATGGCAGCCGCCGACGCCTATGGGCGCCTGTCCACGTTGGGCGCGGCATGCACATCGCGGAGATGATGATCGACGCGCGCGGCCCGACCGACGATTTCCAGGAAGTGCAGCGCGGTCACGGATCGCACTCGGCAGCGTGCCGCCAACAGTTCGAGACCATCCAGGTGAACCTCTTACGATGGAAGCTCGAGAGGAACCCCGAGGCTTCCGAGGCCCGGGCGGATGCGCTGGCCGCGGGTAGTGCCGCGCCAGGCGCAGCGA